TATGTTGAATCAATGTGAAAAACTGATTGGACTTGTGAAGTCATCAACGTTAAGGGCATTTCATATTTTTTTTACCCAACTTTTAACCTAATTCCAATGACATGGTGATATTTGTTGTTAATTTCAAATTGAATTCATGTTAGTTGACAACCAAATAAAAATTTGATGTTGAACTGATGTCTGTGCCCAGTGGGAAGTCTCTGACAGTGGTTAGACATGGGGTGGTAAATGTTGGGTTACGGATGTAACCTTGGTTCTCTGAGTAGAGTTACGGGTCGCCAAACCACCTATGGGAACTCCTTCCCCTTCACACGATGTGATTGAGATGCTTAATATCAAAGATGTTTACAGCGTGACATACTGTATTACTTCACTCGAACCCCAATGAGGTGGAGGAACGACATGAAAGCTTGGCGACTCGTGACTCTACTCAGAGAACCAAGGTTACATCCGTAACCCAACGTTCTCTTTCGTTTTCGTAACGGGGTCGCCAAACGACCTATGGGAGAGGATGTACCGAAGTGGTCATTCGGACAACCGATTGGGATAACTCACCATTTAATTTAGTCCAGATGAGTCCCTGGGACGTCCTTGTATCCACCACAGGATGTAACAGAATATAATTACCCAACAGGGTAGCACAGAATTTCAACTGTGGTATACAACCATATACACAAGCAAACTGAAAGCTAGAACTTACATCATGAGGCTTCAATTGGGTGCAACAGCACGAAGAGTGGAAGGCCTCTGTATAGAACATCCATCTCATGTTCAAGGTACGCTCACTTATTATCTTGTTTGAGAGAGCGTGCCATGTCCAGAACTGGTGGTGTACTACCATGTCATCTGGAGTTGGTCTACCTGCTGCAGCGTATGATTTTGACACTGCATTGGTAATCCAATGTGCCAGTCTCTGCTTCGAGACAGCGCACCATTTGGTGTTCTCACCCCAACACACAAAAAGCTGTTCTGTTTGACTAACAGTTATTGTTGCAGCAAGATAGGCACTCAATACCCTAACCGGGCAAAGTGTATGCAACACATGACTCTCCTGTGAGAAGTGGGGAGGCGGGTGAAATGCCGCTATGATGAAGGGCTGGTTAGCATGTGATGATGAAAGCACCTTAGGTACGAATGATGGATTTGGTAAAAGCACTGCCTTAAATATTCTGCTAAAGTGAGGCATGAAGGATGGGTAGAAAGCGCATGTAATTCTCCAACATGCATGGCTGAAACAATAGCCAATAGAAAGGCAGTCTTGACAGAGCTCAGATAGCTCAAATGAAGGCAGGGACTCAAATGGTGGGCTCATAATTGATTGTAGGACATCTAACTCCATAAGGGTACTAAAAGGAGTCTTGGTGGGGCCGTAAGCTGTGGGCACCTTTCATGAATTCCGATACAAGAGGGTGGGGCCCTGGTGATATACCTGCAATCTGGTCATGACCCATAGAGATGGCTGCCATATACAGTACACTTTCAATGTAGATGGGGACTTCCCTGCAGCCATAAGCTCCTGGAGGAAAGTCAAAATGACAAAAATTGGGTAGGCAGATGGTGATTCTGCATGGTCAACACACCACTTCCTGAACATGTTCCACTTGTAGGAATACAGGGTTTGTGTAGAGGATGTCCTGGCTGCCTGAACTGTATCAATTACCAAGGAGGGAAACCCTGCAGCTACAAGGTGGTGACGTTCAGGGGCCACATCCACAACTTCAGTATGCTGGGTTTGGGATGCCAAAGCTTGCCGTTTACTTGTGACAGGAGGTCCACTTGAAGAGGGAGTTCCCATGGTTAGGAGGTTGTCAGCTGTACAAAGTCTGAAAACCAGTGATGCTGTGGCCAATGTCGAGCAACAAGTAGAACTGATACGCTTTCCTGGAGACCTAAGGGAGCAAGGGAATTGGTGGAAACGCATACAACAGCCCCTTTGGCCATCTGTGTGATAGGGCATTGACCCCGTGTGGGCCTGCTGGACCCTTTATGGAGAACCACATAGGACAATCGGTTGTCTTGTGATGCGAACAGATCGGCGATGGCCCTTCCGAATCGCGCCCAGATCATCTTCACTACTGTGGGATGTATTCAGTTTGAATGAAGAAGGCCTCCTCTGGAGAGAAGGACTGCTGTCTGACTCCTGGCAGGTATATTGCTCTGAGGGATGGAGGTGTCTGCTTGCCCAAAGCAGTAACTCCCTTGCTGCCTGGTGCAGTGCCATTGACCTCAGTCTGCCCTGGCAGTTGATGTGTGCAAGCACGGTTGTGTTGTCTGTCCGTATCAGTACATGCTGTCCTCTCAGTACTGGGAGAAAGTGCCGAAGTGCAAGGTGAACCACATTGAGCTCCAGTACGTTGATGTAACTCCTGAGTGGCGCAGTGGTCTAAGGCACTGCATCGCAGTGCTAGCTGTGCCACTAGAGATCCTGGTTCGAGTCCAGGCTCTGTCGCAGCCGGCCGAGACCGGGAGACACATGGACGGCGCACAATTGGTCCAGCGTTGTCCAAGGTAGGGGAGGGTTTGGCCGGCAGGGATGTGGGTTCGTTTCCCATGGGGGGCCAGTATAAAAAAAAAAACAAGAGAAAAACAACATGTATTCACTACCTGTAAGTCGCTCTGGATAAGAGCGTCTGCTAAATGACTTAAATGTGAGCTGTTGTCCATGGTAGAGGCTTTCACTGGTCCAAAAAGTTGGACCTGCACTGAAATGGACCTGGGGGTTTCCCACCCAGACCTGATATGCTTAAATAAAAAAATTTAAATATAGGAGACCCATTCCGAACGGATCGGAGGACAACGAGACCCGTTCCGAATAGACCTGGTCGGATCCAGACCCGGTCCGATTCGTGTGAGGGAAGCAGCAGAAAAGTAATTTTTTAGGTTACTTTATTAACCGGAGCTGATAAAGTGCGAGAGGCAAGGGAGGGGCCATACTGTGAGCAAGTGACATGGGGAGCAGGGAGGAGGGAGGGGGACACAAGAGACAGCAACCAACCTAGTAGACTAATAGCTACCATAGCTAGGTTATTTATCATGAAATTGATTACGTAATACCCGTCTTGGACTGCATCAAACTGGGAGAAGCTAGTTAAGCTAGCTAGCTAGGCTAACTGAGGCTGCAGTGCATGCGCTTTCTCGCCCTACAGTTACAAATAACAACAACTCCATACAGAATATTAAGTGGCAGCCTGCCTACCTGTTGGCTCTTGGTCATTGTAGCCTATCCTCCTCCTTTAACTTGTAATTCCGTCATTTTAATTCCATCTTCCATTGATTAGATATCTCCTAACTTTTGCCACACACAGAGCGAGGCTCTATGACTGTAGCCTATTTGTTGCTTTGATAACTTATGATTGGCCAACAATAAGCTACACGCGCCACACTCCACTCTTGTGAAAAGCAAGAGCAGCAGCATAAATTAGAAAATGTCTCTCTCGCCCTCTACATGGGGATCCGTGAAGACCTCTAGTCCATGGTGCTGACCATACACCATGGACCCCTGGTTGGTTCAAGACTGCTCCCCATCCATGTTGGGAGGAGTCTGTGGTCAAAGTCACCCGGTTGTAAACTGCGCCTAGGAGAACTCCACTGGGAGTTTGAAGTGCTAGGCGCCACCATTGTATTGCTCTCCAGCAACTCATTGAAATTGACAGCTTTTTGTGTTTTTCCAATCTGGGACATAGATTGTGTCTGTTGTACCAGCACTGTATTAGGTGCATGTGGAGCAAGTCCAACGGTACAACATGAATTGCAGCAGCTAGGAGGCTCTCTAGCGCGGTCACCTGTTTTCTCAGTTTTAATATTGAAAGACAATTTGTCAAAGATACCACTCTTTCTGGAGAGTGTTATTTCCATGATTTGAGTGTCCAGTGTCAAGCCCAGGAAGTGCACACACTGAGTGGGGACCAGGTAACTATTTTCCAAGGTAATTGTTAGTCCCAACTCGGAGAGGTGTTGTGAGACCATGGATGTGTGTGCCAATGTTTAGCTTTATGATCCTGCACCAATCTAAGTAGTTCAGGACCTTGACTCCTGCTCTGCGAAGGGGGGTTGGCGCTGAGCTTATGCACTTTGTGAAAGTGCGAGGGGCAAGCAAAAGGCCGAAGGGTAGTAAGCAGAACAAATTTTTTTTTGTTTTTTTAGGGCAAACGTCAGGTATTTTCTGTGTGCTGGTAGAATGGGGATATGAAAATATGCATCTTTCAGGTTCACTGTGGTGAATCAATCACCTGGTTGTACTGACTTGACGGATGGTTTTGATTGTCAGCATTTTGAAGGGAAGTGCTGAAAGATGATAATTCAGGCACCTTAGGTCCAGGATCAGACGGAGGCACCAGAAGATAGATTGAGTAGAACCCACAGTTTTGTTGCACTGGTTCTACCTCTTCGATTGCAAGCAAGGAGATGATGATGATGATGATTATTATTATTATATTTTTCTCCCCAATTTCAATCTTGTCTCGTCACTGCAACTCCCCAAAGGGCTCGGGAGGCGAAGGTTGAGTCATGCGTCCTCCTAAACATGACCCGCCAAACCATGCTTCTTAACACCCGCCCGCTTAACCTGGAAGCCAGCCACACCAATGCTTCGGAGGAGACTGATGACCGAGGTCAGCCTGCAGGCGCCTGGCCTGTCACAAGGAGTCGCTAAAGTGCAACGAGCCAACTAAAGCCCCCCCGGCCAAACCCTCCCCTAACCTGGACGATGCTGGGCCAATTGTGTGCCGCCCTATGGGACTCCCGATTACGGCCGGTTGTGACACAACCAGGGATCGAACCTGGGTCTGTAGTGACGCCTTTAGCACTGCGATGCAGTGCTTTATACGGCTGCGCCCCTCGGGAGGCCACAGCAAGAAGATTTCTAAGCAGAGTGTTTGCTTTTGAGCAGGGTTGCGAGCTGTTGTTTTCAAGACACCCCTGAAGTGTGGGGGTCGCTGACAAAATTGTGGTGCGTAGCCTTGTGTTACAGTTCGTAACACCCATTTGTTGGCTGTTGACCTTTTCCAGCTGGAAAGGTGGCGCTCGAGCAAACGGTGTTGCTCTAGAGAGTCGGTCCCATCAGGACCGAGGCTCTGCGTGCTGTGGTGCAGAGGGGACGCAGCCTGCATATGGTGTGCCTCTGCCTCTTGGGCGATGCCGCGCTCCACCTCTTCGGTAGGGCTGAGTGTGTCTGTTCCTCCACTCCTGAGCAGGTGCAGCGTGAGTCTGAGCCTGGTTTCTTGCCAACCCAGTTGGGGCCCTGGGACTGGAGTAATGGTTTGCTGGCTGATGCATTCAAGGCTTTGAAATGAGGCGCTGAAGCGCCATCTGTGTTTCTCTGTCCTCCTTAAACACTTGGAGGATGTGGGCCGCTGCTGCCCAATGTCCGGCCAGGTGATATGGGTACACCTAGGAGTGGAACCTTCTCTTTGTCAGGGAGCTTGGACTGCGCTAACCATAGGTGGCGTTGTGCAACCGACACTGTTGCCAAAGATTTCCCAACCATCTGAGCATTGCCCTGAAGGCATTGGATGATCAGGTCTAACTGTAGCCAGTTCTTTCATGGTCTCAGCGTCTTTGTTTGTGGAGGGGTTCCTGCAGCTCCTACAAGGCCAGTATCGCTGCTGAATTGCTAAGCCTAGTGGCTGAAGCAGTGCTTTCATGTGTCCTTTTTAAATGTCCTGCATCGTTTGTTAGGCAGCTATTGGTCTGAATTGTGATGAGAAGCAGGCAGAAGTGGTGATGCAAATTATTTGTCCATATGAGGGAAATAGCCAAAACCATTCTCATCTGTTCCATGAACTGTAGCTAAGCGAGTGCATATGCTTTGCATGGCAGGGGTTCTGTCATTTGGCATACTCCAAGTGCATTGGAGCTCACGCACAAGTCTTTGAACAAAGGGATGCATGTCTTAGTCTTTGAAGAACTGAATTCATCAAACTTGGGTGCAGACCCCATGACAGTATCATTTCAAATCCAAAGTGCTGGAGTATAGAGCCAAAACAACAAGAAATGTGTCATTGTGCCAATACTTTTGGAGCTCACTGTATATGTGGCTAATTTAGCTAGCTAGCTACGAGCTACAGTGGCTTGCCAAAGTATTCACCCCCCTTGGCATTTTTCCTATTTGGTTGACCTTACAACCTGTAATTAAAATGGATTTTTTGGGGGTTTGTATCATTTGATTTAAACAACATGCCTACCACTTTGAAAACATTTATTGTGAAACAAACAAGAAATAAGACAAAAAAACAGAACTTGAGCGTGCATAACTATTCACTCCCCCCAAAGACAATACTTTTGCAGCAATTACAGCTGCAAGTCTCTTGGGGTATGTCTCTATAAGCTTGGCACATCTAGCCACTTGGATTTTTGGCCATTCTTCCAGGCAAAAAAAAACTGGATTTGATGGTGCTCCATGAGATGTTCAAAGTTTCAGATATATATTTTTTATAACCCAACCCTGATCTGTACTTCTCCACAACTTTGTCCCTGACCTGTTTGGAGAGCTCCTTGGTCTTCATGGTGTCGCTTGCTTGGTGGTGCCCCTTACTAAGTGATGTTGCAGACTCTGGGGCCTTTCAGAACAGGTGTACATATACTGATATCATGTGACAGATCATGTGACACTTAGATTTCACACAGGTGGATTTCATTTAAATAATTATGTGACTTCTGAAGGTAATTGGTTGCACCAGATCTTATTTAGGGGCTTCATAGCAAAGCGGGTGAATACATATGCACGCACCACTTTTCCGTTATTTATTTTGTAGAACAAGTTATATTTTTCATTTCACTTCACCGATTTGGACTATTTTGTGTATGTCCATTACATGAAATCCAAATAAAAATCCATTTAAATTACAGGTTGTAATGCAACAAAATAGTAAAAACGCCAAGGGGGATGAATACTTTTGCAAGGCACTGTAACTTCCAAGGTACAGGATTGACCCAAAGCTAACTAGCTAGCTAACACACAAGGATGGAAATGCCCGACAAAAAGCAATAAAAGTGAGCTAGTATGAGCAGGCACAATAACAAGTTAGAGGGGGAGTAGATTTGATAAAAATCAACTACTCACGGCACCTCCTCGAGTCGTTGAAAAATCGTAATTGCGTAAGAAAGTAATCCGAAGGGGATTAATAGCAATCTTGTAATGTAAAACACATGTGAGTGAAGAATAGACAGTATGTCACGCCACACCGTCTTTTATAGTGACAGGTCACATGGGTACATTAAGGGTGTGGCGTGACTGTAAAGATCTTTGATATTAAGCATCTCAATCACATAGCGTGAAGGAGTTCCCATAGGTCGTTTGGCGACCCGTTACGAAAACGAAAGAGAACAATACTTGCATACTCTCTCGCTCAGTACAAGTTAAAAACAACCCATTATAGGGAGCTTCAAAATGGCATCTCATTCTGAGAAACAACCAAATATGAAATGATTTGTGAAATGTCAAAAGACTAATTATGGTGAATGTTGGCCGGGGTCTCTCGTACTTTAATTCCGCGAACTCCGAGGGGGCTAGAAGTGGTGAACCACAGCGTTGTACAAGGAGAGGCCCTGTGTAAAACTTAACGACTGTTAGCTAGCTGCACATGCACCCCTCACTGTGCTATTCTTCTATGTCGGCTAAGGCTTAAAACATTATTCTGAACACTATGGGTCAGGACTTTCTCGAATTATATCTAGCTCTCCTTTGGTTTTCCCCACACATGCACCTAATAAACTTCAACACATGATTTACGTTGGGCTAATTAATACCCTCTCTGACAGTACTGCCAATATACTGACCAAAAACATTTAAAACTGTAGCCAAAAGAGGATACCTCATTTATGAATGTGGCTCACAAAACTTTCAGCCTGCATGGCTGCCTCCCACTTCTTTTCATATCACTCAGGGAGGTGGAAGGTGAGTTATTATCAGTGTTGTAGTCGAGTCACTAAGCCTTGAGCCCGAGTCAAGTCCCCTGTGCTCAAGTCAGAGCCGAGTCATGATACCCTATGGCTGAAGTCCGAGTCGAATCCAAGTCACCAATGGTTATGTCCATCAATTTATAATAGATCTTATTATACAATTGTTTCTAGTCGCCACCAGATGGCAGTATATCGCCACTCCCTCATGAGAAAACAACTAATTTACTAGTTATCACTACCTCACAGGTTCTACTCAATACCTGTGTTTAACTACTTACTTACTACATATATGAATGATAAGTCAGGCTCTCAGATACTTCTTTGTAATCGCCCACTGATATTTCTGTAGGTTTTTTATTGCAGAGTGAAAACTAAAGGTAGACTTGTCAGAACCTGGCTATGGGATGCACGGGGGAAAGTGGGAGGTGGGTAGGGCTAGATGACAAATTCAAAGACAGCCTATTTGTCTATACACAAGGGGAGGGAGACAAATAGCTAGACTGTTGTTTTACCATTAAACTCAATACTAGTATTGTTTTCAATTTCTTAAAGCAGTTTGTGTTTCTTACCCAGGCAAAACTAAATAGTAGGCTGGTGACTGGTGGTTATGGGGAAGCAAGAGAGTCGCTTGTGCGATGTGTAGCCTATGATTGGCGGAGCAGAGCCTGCCTGTCTGTCCACAATCATCGCTTGCTCCCATGCAGCTCACCAGCTGATGTAGGCTATGTGCTGGGTGTGGCGTGTCCTTTCCACTGCTAGATAACAGAACCCTTGCTGTTCTGCGCACCCAGTGCTGCTAATATTCTCCTTATCATAGTACCCTATCTAATCCAAGTGCAAATACAAGTCACGAGAAGGCGAGTCCGAGTCACCAATGGTCGAATCCAACTCAAGTCATAAGTCATGAAAATCAGGACTCCGTCCTGACTATAACAGTGGGTATCATGCTATTTCAGTGACATACTGCTCAAACTCGTGGGGAGGATGACAAAGGGATTCTGCAGTGCAGACAACTAATGCTTTCCCTGCCCTCTACCCAGCTAACAATTCTAGGTAGAGAGAAAGGTTTTGTAATGTTACCCTAATGTTTGAGTGTCCAGTTTTCCTTTAGTTGGGGGAACATTCTATCAATGTTAGCAAAAACCTTCTTATAATGTTATCATGTGTTGGTGTTAAAGCTGAGAACATTCCCTTAAAGTAAAAAATTACTTATTTAGAACGTGGTTACAATATTCTCAGAATATACTATGTTCTAGATGCGTTTTAAGAACATTAATGTGTCTGAGGGTTAAAGTTGTGGGAACGTTTGTTAGCTTGGTACATTTATTTACTGTACAAAAGCAGTAAAAAAAACAACTACAGTCCAAAGGTCAAACATGGGGGGGGAGAAATCATTCACCTGCCCATTGATAAACAGAGAAAGGGGGGTGGGGTACAAGTCAAACCAAAACACAAATTTACTTATACAACCTTACTGATTTAGTTATGTGTGTATGTAGACTGATTCGGAAAATGCTGTGTAGACCTAAATACAGAATGTTGCCCTATAGAAATCCAGCAGTTCAGCCTGAAAAATAATTGTATTATTCATGCAGTGTTCTCACACGATGAGCAGTGTTCTCAGGTTATGTAACACTGTGTTATTTCCAGGTAATTAGGGTAAACATCCCAGGGTAAATATTTTCCATGTAACATGAGGGCTGAGTCCCTGGTGCTACTCTCCCAAACATGGGGGGTGGTGGGGTAGTAGGGGCCACAGTGGCAGGTATCAGGGCGGTCCAATTCCATTTCAATTCAGTCAATTCATGAAAGGAACTGACATTTATTTTCAAAGAAGATTTTCCAATTCAGTATATTGATGGGGAGTTGAAATGGAATTGGCCTCAACCCTGTTCCTTTCCCTCTCTCATCATCGGTGTCTGCTCCTCTCCTTGTCTTTAGACTTCTTGGGTGAGCGACTGCGGCTCCTCTCCGGCCGGTGCTTTTCACGGGACTTGCTGTGCTTGTTGTGGCTGTCTCTGTCTCTTTCCCTGGAGCGAGAATGCTGCCGGTCTGTCTTTTTCTCCGGCCTGGCCTCCTCACTGTTCCACTGTAGGTGTAACATAGGGAGAGAATGAGGTTTGAAAAAGGTTAAAGATACATCTCTGACTTGAGTGACTGGTGTCACAACTGTTGAAATGATAAACCATTCCCAAATGACATGAGTCATGCTTACTCTGATTCTTACTCTAATGCCCTTACTGAACATTCGTGTGAAAAAAAAATACATGGCTCCTTCCCCCGCCCACCACAAGGAAAACAATTAGATCAACCTTGGATTTTTTGGATTTCCTGGTTTCCTCGTCATCGGAGTGATTGTGTTTCTTATCTTTGTGTTTCTTCTCAGCATGCCGATGGCTCGTTCCTTCTTCCTCTTCCTCTAAAAGCAGGTCGTACTTGGAGCTTTTGAGAACGTTTAGGAACATTTTAGGAAGTAAAGTGTGTAATTCCAAGTCTTTCAGAGACATTTAATATCCTCCAACAATAGTTGACCTCTCTCTAACCTGATAGCTATGTGAAATGGTGCACAGTTGAGTTGAAGTATTTTACACTTTAACGCCTATTCTCCTCTACATATCGAATAGCAAATATAAACACATTTAAGGATACTCTTGCTTAGGTTTGACTTTATCCTTAAGAGCTAATTTGGATCCCACGTCTTTTTCATAGGCCTTGAAGTCATCCTTGGTATACTTTCCACCTAGAAAACAAAATAAGACCTTGTTAAGTTCTCTACTTATCAGAGAAGGTGAATGGCAAATCCTTTAGCTCAAGTGCCTAATTAGGGCTTAGTTGAGTCTCTGAAAGTATACATAATGCATACTTTATGGAACACACAAAACCTTTAAATAAAAGTCCAAGTGATTTGTTTTAAATAAGTGTTTACCTTTGCCTTTCCATTTGATCTTTGAGACAGACTGGCTGAAGTCCACGTGTATGCGTCTGTCATCTATGAGCACGTTGTCCATCTTAAAGAAGGCCTTTTCACAGTCCTCCTCCTGTGCACAGAAAGGACATCAATTACATCTTAAAGAGGGTAATGTGAGCCCTTATGTGTCTAGTGAACAAGGAAATCAATTTCAGTAAACAAAACCATGACCCTTTCAAGTGAATGAATTTGTACCCTCAATTCTGACTAACTGGCGCCATCTATTGATATTGTGCATAACGGCACTTGAACTGTTCAAAAATTAATCTCAATCTTTACATTTCTCTGTCTTGATTTGTATACTGAACTAAAATATAAATGCAACATGCATCAATTTCAAAGTTACAGTTCATATAAGGAAATCAGTTAATTTAAATAAAATCATTAGGTCCTAATCTTTGGATTTTACGACTGGGCAGGAGCGCAGCCATGGGTGGGTATGTGAGGGCATAGGCCCACCCACTTGGGAGCCAGACCCAGCCAATCAAAATGAGTTTTTCCCCACAAAAGGACTTTATTACAGACAGAAATACTCGTCAGTTTCATCAGCTGCCTGGGTGGCTGGTCTCAGACGATCCAGCAGGTGAAGAAGCTGGATGTGGAGGTCCTGGGCTGGCCTGATTACACGTGGTCTGTAGTTGAGGCCGGTTGGACGTACAATTCTCTAAAATGTCATTGGAGCTGGCTTATGGTAGAGAAATTAACATTAAATTATCTGCTAACAGCTCTGATGGACAGTCCTGCAGTCAGCATGCCAATTGCACATTCCTTCAAAACTTGTGACATCTGTGGTATTGTGTTGTGTGACAAAACTGCACATTTTAGAGTGGCCTTTTATTGTCCCCAGCACAAGGTGCACCTGTGTAATGATCATGCTGTTTAATCAGCTTCTTGATATGCCACACCTGTCAGGTGGATGGATTATCTTGGCAAAGGAGAAATGCTCACTAACAGGGATGTAAACAAATTTGTGTACAACATTTGAGAGAAATAAGCTTTTTGTGCGTATGGAACATTTCTGGGATTTTTTATTTCAGCTCATGAAACATGGGACCAACACTTTACATGTTGCGTTTATATTTTTGTTCAGTGTACTTATGAATCTGAGTGGAGCAATGCTCAACATTTATTTCCATGCATAATCAAAATAGGGCAAAAATTATTTTATGATAACTCATGATACATAAAGAAATCTTGTGAAAACCAAACCAATACACACCTTTTCAAACTCAATGAAAGCATAGCACAGGGACTCTCCTGACTTCCAGTCTCTGATGATCTCACAGCTGTAGCAAAATAAGAACATGTTAATAAGGGACATTTCACCAAGAATCAATATTTAAAATGGTTAGGACTTGGTCTATTTAGAATTAAATATGTATCGTAGTGTAATGGAGGCCAGTATATTGAAATAGACAGGGTCTATTTTACCACTTAATAAGTCCGAAGCGGGAGAAGATGATCTCCAGGTCCTCATCTGTGGTTACAGGGTTCAGCTTACACACGAACAGCACATTCTCAGGAGGTTTCACTTCCGCATCAGGGAGATCACCCACCTACACAAGCACATATGCACATACACAATGTCTCTGAAACCACAAAACTCTTATAAAACCACCATATACTGTTTACAACACTAATATGTTCACTAGCTAATTAACTACGACAGTAGAAGTACTGTTGGGTTCTTCAACAGCAATCTGTACAAATACGTGGTCATGTTGAGTGTTACAAAATGTATTCTGCCATTACTCCTGAAAGTATGGACATCCTCTACAAGGCTAGGTAGACCTAACCACAAGACCCCCCCTCTCACCATCTCCAGCAGGATGGCCTGGGTCTTGGCCTCCTTCTCCTTCAACAGCTCATCCAGCTCCTCAGCCTTCTTCCCATCTGTGTCGTTGATCACTTCATCAGCTCCAATACGACCACTCTGCACACCAAAGCGGGGACAGTAAGGTTAGACTTTGCAAATTAATGGGGTACAGTACATTTTACATTTAAGTCATTTAGCAGAAGCTCTTATCCAGAGCGACTTACAGTTAGTGAATGCATACATTTTATTTTTATTTATATATTTCTTTCTTCCATACTGGCCCCCCGTGGGAAACGAACCCACATCCCTGCCGACCAAACCCTCCCCTACCTTGGACGACGCTGGACCAATTGTGCGCCGCCCAGTACATAACATCAAAACGTCAAAAGTTGCATCACAGTTACTTGTTTTCTGGTATTGAAGACCATAATGAACTATAACTGAAACCTTACTACTTTATATGAAAGTAATATTGTTTCCAATACTTTTGCTCTGAAAGGGAGATATGCATTGCTTTTAATTAAATGGTACAGAAAGTGTCCAGTCACACACATCCAGCTGTTCCTTGGTAGGCTCAGGGGAGCGGTCAGGCACGGGCAGGTCAGCAGGGTCATCGAAAGGGTCTTCCAAGATCACAGTGTGGTTTATTCTGTAATGACAAAACAAGTATCATACCCCTTTTCTCTCCACCTTATACTGGGATGTCTGAGTCATTGTATTGACACCACTCTAGCAGGGTTTACGTTAGGAAAATGTGCCGCCGGACATTTTAAAGCTACAATATGCAACTTTTTGGGCGACCCGACCAAATTCACATATAAATGGGAGTTATAGATCTGTCATTGTCATTGAAAGCAAGTCTAAGAAGCGGTAGATCTGTTCTATGTGTGCTATTTTTATGCTTCCCGTTCTTAAGTTTCGTTTTAGCGTCTTTTACTTTTGGTTTTGTACACCAGCTTCAAACAGCTGAAAATACAATATTTTTGGCTATGGAAAATATATTTCACAGCGGTTTAGATGGTACAATGATTCTCTACACTATTCTTGCTTGTTTTGTCACATAAACTGAAATTAGGCGAACTATTAGAATTTTAGCAAACAGGAAATGGCGGAGCGATTTCTGCATATTGCACCCTTAATTTACCAGACATTTGAGAAATGTACCAGACCCATACGCATTGGGTGCGTAACCTGATTAGGGTGTCCACCCACAGTGGTCAGCAAGACAGAAATCCCATTTAGATTACGATAATTCATATTAACTGAAAATGCAAGTCGAGGATGCAACGATGTGCGAGCCGAATTCTGATGCGCACTTTGAAGATGTTACTTTTCATTTTATATTTTAGTCATTTAGCAGACACTCTTATCCAGAGCGACTTACAGTTAGTGAGTGCATACATTTTTCATACTGGCCCCCCGTGGGAATCGAACCCACAACCCTGGCGTTGCAAGCGCCATGCTCTACCAACTGAGCTACAGGAGGCCCTCAGCCTTTTCCTCAGCCAACAAGATGAGTAATGAACAGCAAAATCTCTAGCCTATGTCAATCTACACTGAACAAAAATATAAACACAACATACAACAATTTCAAAGATTTACAGTTACAGTTCATATAACGAAATCAGTCAATTGAAATAAATTCATTAGGCCATAATGTATGGCTTTCACATGACTGGGAATCCAGATATGCATCTGTTGGTCACAGAGACCTTGAAAAAAGGGATGTATGTGGATCAGAAAACCAGTCAGTATCTGGTATGGACCATTTGCCTCATGCAGCGCGACATCTCCTTTGCATAAAGTTGATCAGGCTGTTGATTGTGACCTGTGGAATATTGTCCCACTCCTCTTCAATGTCTGTGTGAAGTTGCTGGATATTGACAGGAACTGGAACACGCTGTCGTACACGTCAATCCAGAACATCCCAAACATGCTCAATGGGTGACATGTCAGGTGAGTATGCATGCCATTTTCAGCTTCCAGGAATTGTGTACAAATACTTGCGACATGGGGCTGTGCATTATCATGCTGAAACATGAGGTGATGGCAGCGGATGAATGGAAAATTGCCATCGATAAAATGCAATTGTGTTTGTTGTTTGTAGCTTATGCCTGCCCATACCATAACCCCACCATGGGGCACTCTGTTCACAACGTTGACGTCAGCAAACCGCTCGCCCACACGACACCATTCACACTGTCTGCCATCTGCCCGGTACAGTTGAAACCGGGATTCATCCGTGAAGAGCACACTTCTCAAGCGTGCCAGTGGCCATCAAAGGTGAGTACTTGCCCAATGAAGTCGGTTACGACGCCAAACTGCAGTCAGGTCAAGATCCTGGTGAGGACGACGAGCACGCAGACAAGCTTCCCTGAAACGGTTTCTGACAGTTTGTGCAGAAATTCTTCGGTTTTACAAACCCACAGTTTCATCAGCTGTCCGGGTGGCTGGTCTCAGACGATCCTGCAGGTGAAGAGGCCAGATGTGGAGGTCCTGGGCTGGCGTGGTTACACATGGTCTGCGGTTGTGAGGCCGGTTGGACGTACTGTTCTCTAAAACGACAAATTCTCTAAAACGACGTTGCAGGCGGCTTATGGTAGAGAAATGAACATTCAATTCTCTGGTAAAAGCCTTGGTGGACAGTCCTGCAGTCAGCATGCCAATTGAAAACTCCCTCAAAACTTTAGATATCTGTGGCATTGTGTTGTGTGACAAAACTGCACATTTTAGAGTGACCTTTTATTGTCCCCAGCACAAGGTGCACCTGTGTAATGATCATGCTGTTTAATCAGCTTCTTGATATGCCACACCTGTCAGGTGGATGGATTATCTTGGCAAAGGAGCTCACTAACAGGGATGTAAACAAATGTGTGCATGTGAGAAATGTCTGGGATCTTTTATTTTAGCTCATGAAACATGGGACCAACAATTTACATGTTGCGTTTATATTTTTGTTCAGTATACTATCACCCATAGTAGAAAAGTTGACCTATTCTATTGGTCAGCTTGTCGAGGAAAGAAATAGCCTATTCCAAACAGACTCTGGGACAGTTGCGGGACAATAGATCCCAAATTCATACAAGTAGGCATCATTAAAAAAACGTTCAAAAGCAATGAGTCTGACGCAACAGATCAGAACCTTTAGCTTAAATGTTGATAAATTATTATTTATTCACATTATAAGTGCAGCAGTGCGCACAAGGCAGTAGTCTACACACACATTTTCTTTCCACAATGCAATTAGTGGGAAAACACCGTTGTCAAAGTGCACCGCACATGTGTGTGGTTTCATGTGACAGATATTAAAATATCTGTTTGAAATTTAGAAAGAGTGAAGATCTAATATGCAACAACTAGCATGGGTTGGTAATATTAGGACTAGGATTGTGCCTTTGGCTACTGGACAATGAAAGAAAGTTGATATAAAATAATTGCCTCCACGGATATGGGTTTGATTTTGGGTAGGCTACTTTGAAGCAAGGTAAGACATGCCTCATAATATGTAGTAAAACATTCAGTTTTCAAACAATTAAGTATATGTTTTCAGAATGCATACTGCCTCCAGCTCATTGCAAAGTGGTGTGTGACACGCTGATGAAGCCTGCTTTCTGTTGCCTATGCATGCTGTTTGAAATGCTGTAGCAGCAGCTCTCGCGCTGTCTGACAGATTTTCCACTCAAAGGCTCTGTATCTGTATACTGTACGCGTGTGATAAATACGATGCATAACAAATATATTGTACCCACACGCCAATTTAATTTCACCAAATTATGCAAATTAACCTATAGACCGATAAGAATGACCAGTCAAATGTATTTCCATCAATGAATAGGCTAAAAAGCATAATTTTTATCTAGGAAAAAATCCATGTTGCAAAATAATGCTTTTTAGCCTATTAATTAATTGAAATACCAGTCGATGTAAATACATTTGTCTGGTCATGCTTATTGGTCTATAGGTTAATCTGGCCGGCGCCAATTTTATTTATCGGCTTTTCTATTTATTTGTTAAATCGGCCAAAAGCCGGCTGTTACCGGCTAACGGAAACCCTGCACTCTAGGTATTCCTGGAACAGTGAGTGAATATTTTTTAAAATAAAATTATATTCTAATCTCCCTCTAAAATGGCTATATTGAAATATGATTAAAGGATATTAAATCTGCTGACCTGATATCCTGAAAAGGGATGAAGTCCTTGTCAACGAAGGTCTCATTGATCTTGGCCAAGACGTCCATACCCTCTGACACCTCTCCGAACACAGTGTGGACCCCATCCAGGTAGTCCAGATTTTCACCAGTGGTGATCAGGAACTGGGGAGCAAGGAGATTGTTACAGCACAAATAAAAGATTTCAGATGCTTGCCATCTGTCCTACTTGAATCAGTAGGCTAACATTGTGGCTTTCAAACTGATAGCAGTTAAATACTGAGGAGGTGGATGGCAGTTTTACCAACCTGAGAACCATGTTGGTCACTGCCATTGTTCACCATGGACACCATCCCCTTCTTTCTGTGTTTGATCCGTGGGTTTTTCTCTGCATCATAGAAGCGGGCCTGGTCTCCATATAGTTTACTGAGGGTATAGAAAATAAATTATCAACATTCCTGTAAGATATAAACAACAGCTGTGATGATGATTTTGGACAATGCTGTTTATGCTGAGGAAGACGACTGACCCATAGACAGATTCTCCACCACGGCCAGTCCCAGTGGGATCTCCAGTCTGCACAATAAAATCTCTCTGGACATTGTGGATGAGGCAGTAATTGTAGAATTTGATTTTGCATAACTTCAGGAAATTCAGGGATGCTGAAAAAAAAACGAGCTGATCATCATTATGTTAGCAACACATCACATTTATAAGACATTAGGATTTCCTTTCCCTGAGTTTCATTGATTGCACCACATCAACACAGCGTGAACGATCAGATGAAGTGTCCCCAAAGCAATCCTATTTTTTTAAATGTTTGTTAGCTAGCCGAAATATCCAATTAACAAATTAGCAACAGTCAGCATTTGCTATCGCTCGGTAAATGAATGGTTGGCTATCTTGTTACCTGTTAGCTAGCTAGCACTTGCTAGCAGCAACTTAAAAGGCGAGATTTGACTTCCTGAGAAGCTTTAATTATTATGAAATGTATGCTGTGTGTTACCAAATATTAGCCTTTTGATGTGTTGGTGCATATGTTCTTACTTTTAGGCCTTTCTTCTGTAAATAAATCAATGACGATATCACCCAATGTTGTTTCAAGAAGAACCGCCATGTTTTCGGAGTGACTGCGCAGCTGCGCACGCGCTCTTGTTTGATTCCGGTGTCACTTGGGGGTGTTGTAGGTATCCACTAGTTACCACCGCCACAAAATCTAAACGGCTGTATCGTGAAAATGTATGAAAACAAAAATATTTTTGTTGTCTTATTTTAAGGTTAGGGTTAGGTATAAGGTTAGCTGCGTGGTTAAGGTTATGGTTAAGTTTAGGATTAGGTTTAAAATCACATTTTAAGAATATACATCTTAGAAATAGGCGGGGTTTATGACTTTGTGCCTTGGTAACTAGTGACGACTGTGTTGTTGTTGTTTCCTTTCCCCCCACTGAAAATAAGTTTCCTGCAAAATCTTTGTAAACAACAGCTAGAAGATGGCGATGAAACGAACATCAAGTTATGCTCTAATTTTACTGTTTATGTCATTTATTTTAACTGAGTCTGCACCTCGACAGTTGAACACGGTAGGAGACGACTTTATCACGGCACTAGTCTAGATAGCTAACGTCAACTGTTAGCTAGCCAATCAACAAGCTAGTCGTAGCTATGTTTACCTGCTGTACTGAATGCAGCTAACTAGCTAGTAAGCTAATATTGGTAGGTAACTAGCTGGCTAATGGATGCTAACGTTACCTTTGTTGCTATCTGACTCACTGCAGTTAGCTAACTAGCTAATGTTTGTTTTTAGCCAGGTAGCATGGTCACAATACTAGCAAGGTAGAATGCCCTGAAGTATGTCACTCAAGGGTCCTGATATTTTGGTGAATAATGTTATTTACCTAGCTAGCTAATGTGTATGTCATGATCATCATGTTCCTCTTTCCCATTCATGATTCTCACACAGGAAAGCATTCTGATCAATGTGACAGCAGGTACATTGGATGACACACAGGTGCAGGAGTCCAACAACTTGCAGGTAAGCTATAATATTCTGAAGTGGTCTATTAGTAAGCCTGTCAGAATGTTATTGAATAATAACATAATACAGTGGGGGAAAAAAGTATTTAGTCAGCCACCAATTGTGCAAGTTCTCCCACTTAAAAAGATGAGAGGCCTGTAATTTTCATCATAGGTACACGTCAACTATGACAGACAAATAGAGAATTTTTTTTCCAGAAAATCACATTGTAGGATTTTTAATGAATTTATTTGCAAATTATGGTGGAAAATAAGTATTTGGTCACCTACAAACAAGCAAGATTTCTGGCTCTCACAGACCTGTAACTTCTTCTTCAAGAGGCTCCTCTGTCCTCCACTCGTTACCTGTATTAATGGCACCTGTTTGAACTTGTTATCAGTATAAAAGACACCTGTCCACAACCTCAAACAGTCACACTCCAAACTCCACTATGGCCAAGACCAAAGAGCTGTCAAAGGACACCAGAAACAAAATTGTAGACCTGCACCAGGCTGGGAAGACTGAATCTGCAATAGGTAAGCAGCTTGGTTTGAAGAAATCAACTGTGGGAGCAATTATTAGGAAATGGAAGACGTACAAGACCACTGATAATCTCCCTCGATCTGGGGCTCCACGCAAGATCTGACCCCGTGGGGTCAAAATGATCACAAGTGAGCAAAAATCCCAGAACCAAACGGGGGGACCTAGTGAATGACCTGCAGAGAGCTGGGACCAAAGTAACAAAGCCTACCATCAGTAACACACTACGCCGCCAGGGACTCAAATCCTGCAGTGCCAGACGTGTCCCCCTGCTTAAGACAGTACATGTCCAGGCCCGTCTGAAGTTTGCTAGAGTGCATTTGGATGATCCAGAAGAGGATTGGGAGAATGTCATATGGTCAGATGAAACCAAAATATAACTTTTTGGTAAAAACTCAACTCGTCGTGTTTGGAGGACAAAGAATGCTGAGTTGCATCCAAAGAACACCATACCTACTGTGAAGCATGGGGGTGGAAACATCATGCTTTGGGGCTGTTTTTCTGCAAAGGGGCCAGGACGACTGATCGGTGTAAAGGAAAGAATGAATGGGGCCATGTATCGTGAGATTTTGAGTGAAAACCTCCTTCCATCAGCAAGGGCATTGAAGATGAAACGTAGCTGGGTCTTTCAGCATGATAATGATTCCAAACACACCGCCCGGGCAACGAAGGAGTGGCTTCGTAAGAAGCAATTCAAGGTCCTGGAGTGGCCTAGCCAGTCTCCAGATCTCAACCCCATAGAAAATCTTTGGAGGGAGTTGAAAGTCCGTGTTGCCCAGCAACAGCCCCAAAACATCACTGCTCTAGAGGAGATCTGCATGGAGGAATGGGCCAAAATACCAGCAACAGTGTGTGAAAACCTTGTGAAGACTTATAGAAAACGTTTGACCTGTGTCATTGCCAACAAAGGGTATATAACAAAGTATTGAGAAACTTTTGTTATTGACCAAATACTCATTTTCCACCATAATATGCAAATAAATTCATTAAAAATCCTACAATGTGATTTTCTGGATTTTCTTTCTCATTTTGTCTGTCATAGTTGACGTGTACCTATGATGAAAATTACAGGCTTCTCTCATCTTTTTAAGTGGGAGAACTTGCACAATTGGTGGCTGACTAAATACTTTTTTCCCCCACTGTATATAACTCAATACATGTACATTTTCAGATCAACCTAAATATTTCAGTGGATGAAGAGCAAGTGCTCATCAATGACATCCCTGTGGAGTTGTCAGGGGTGACTAGGTTGAACTGCCAAGCCTTGCTGTGTGAGTAGTGAAAATGTTTCTGCTGCTTATAACTTATTTACAGAACTGCATTATGCACCTGATTAACACAGCTTTCTACTCTGTTTTCAGTGGATACCATCAATGGTACCAGTGAATTTGAATCTGGTGACTATGTGTCCACTGTCACCCGGGTGATGGTGAGCCAGAATCGCCTGTGGAGTGATTTAGAAGAGGTGGTGGCTCTTCAGGTGTTCAGCGAGGTCATTGAGATGGAGGGGAAAAAAGTAAGATTGCTTGATGGAGAAAAGGAAAATAAAAGAATGGTGTTAGGATATTTCTGTAACAGCTAAAGGAGCATATTTTCACCATGGTGGGTGGTACAATGATGGAAAATCTGTGATCTTATGGCTTTGTATCCTTTTCTATCATTTAGGTCCAGCAGCCAGAAATGTGCGAAGTGAAGATACTGATGAGCACCAATTTCCAGAAGCTTGCTCAGTATACCAACACCTACCCCATTGGACACAGTGAGATTTTCAGGATCCCAAGGGAAAATGATGTGGTCATCACAGATCCAACAAATCCTAAAAATGGTCTGCAAGAATAACTGTTTTCATTCTCTTCTTGTACTTTTACATGAAAGGACAGGTTAACTAAATTCCATTACTAAAATAATGTTCCTTAATTAGTTTGTAAATGATAATGATCCACTTCCTTCTCTCTCAGCTGAAGACCAAGTGATGTCCCAGACCACCAATCATTACCCTCTGAAGCATGCTGATACCACCCAGGAGGAGATTGCTGCCCCAGGCAAGCTCCCAGAGACTCCCCTCCGCATGGACCCAGACCTGCTGTATGATAACAATAATAAAGATGATGACTTGGGAGGGCTGTCGAATGAAATGCAGACAGAGGCACCGCTCAAAGAATCAATTTCCTCTTACAGTGTAAGTAAATTGGACATCAGATCCAAATAGAATCCACACAATTAATGTTTCCGAATGTGTTCGGAATGTGCTTTGAAGTTTGAATCTGTTTGCAGGCAATGTGTCGATGGGTAGAGGAGGTGAGGGACCGCCTGCGACGCTTCTGGTCTGAGTCGTTGCCCCTGTTCTTCTTGGTCATGTGGGTGGTGGTGATTGGTGTGGTTGGGTCAGCGGTCATTGTCAAGATCCTGGACATGCTCTTCCCAACATGTGAACACAAGTATGTTTTCACACAGGTCCTGTTGAGCCTGCTTACATGATTGTTGTAGAATTAAATGAAACATAGCCAGGTCAGTGTGCAGGATTTGTCATTGACCACACATTACTGCCAAGACCATTTAATGATGCACATCAGTTCTCTCATCTTTTCTTAAAGCGGCAATCAGCAGTAGAAACAATAACAAAGTGTCTTCCCCGCACCTGTTTTGGTAAAATGCTGAGGGATGGGGCTGGAGAAATGTAACCAATCTCAAATTCAGACAGAGGTATGGATGCAAGGACTGAACATCTATGCTATCAAAATTATAGTTTGAACCATGTTTACTTTGTTTACAAACATTGGAGCTCATGAGGCATTCATAAGTTATATTTTTCAAGAATCAATGGGTACATATTATTAATGATTAATGTTCAGAAATTGAAGTAGCAACTGCTGATTGCCCCTTTAAGTGTGGTTCTTATTAGGAAAATTCATATTGTACTTTTTCCTCTAGGGGAATTTTCCATTTAAATCCAGCGACTCTGATGCCGGAAGATGAGAAACACACCCTGCTAGAGAACATTGAAATAGAGGCAGATAAAAAGCCTTAAATGAAGACTGAAGACTGAAAACTGATGAAGTGGAGTGAGTCTGATTGCAGCCGTTGACAACACAAGGCATTATGTGGTTAGAGAAACAATATTTTTGTAGCACTTATTACACATGCATTGCATACACATTTTTTACTTTATTTTTCAAACATACCCTCTACTCAAAACATGAATGTGCAATGTTAATACTGCAAGCAGATCATACTTATGGACCTAGCTACCTACTGCATTTTACATTTTAGTCATTTAGCAGACGCTCTTATCCAGAGCGACTTAGTTAGTGAGTGCATACATTTTTTCATACTGGCCCCCCGTGGGAAACGAACCCACAACCCTGGCGTTGCAAGCTCCATGCTCTACCAACTGAGCTACACGGGGCCTGCACACTGTTACTTTTCATATTATGATTGTTACCTCAGTGCCTGTTACAATTTTACTTTGTGTTATGAAGTTTGGATATACCGAGGTGGCAGGTAGCCTAGTGGTTAAGAGCATTGGGCCAGTAACCGAAAGGTCGCTGGTTTGAATCACCGAGCTGACTGTTCAATTAATCTGTCGACATGCCCTTGAGCAAGGCACTTAACCCTAATTGCTCCAGTAAGTCTCTCTGGATAAGAGTGTCTGCTAAATGACTAAAATGTGAATATACCATACATTAATACTGATTTCTTATTGGTTTATTTTTTAGTGCTCATTTCATAATATTTTATCATTCTGACTGGAGGTTTCAATTGAGGATTTGGTGTTTGTCTGCATGCAACTTTAAATCATAAGACAAACAGCTTTTATTTACTGTTTTAGAGCCAGTGCATATTATTATGTCAAGGCCTCACCTATGCATTCGTTGTAAAATTATAAAAACTAAAAATGTAATGTTGCTATTGGATTTTGACTGAACTCGACTCTGGGCTGCGTTTTAAGTTCATGAAATGGGATAGGAGGGCCTAGTCTTGCACCCATCATGAGTGCAGTGCAGAATAAAGAATGATCAAATATGAAATCTCGTTCTAACCATTTCAATTGATAGAGAAGGCACTGGTAGTTCCTATAGCGGAGCGCTCTCTGGGGCATATTTACTTGTCTCTCTATCACAGAAGATACAGATAGACCTAGAAAGTATAGAATGGACATGAACTGAAGTAGAGAATCATGTCCTGTCTTTACATTCAATTTATGTTCACATGGGAAACATTGCACTCACTGAATAAGCCCCTGCTGCTTTAATAAATGCATGTTTGTATGCGTTTGAACTTAACTGAAATGTATGAATATAGTTAATGGATGTTCTTTGCAATGTGAATTAATGAAAATGGCTACACTTATAGGACCAACTTTTTTATAAAGCGCATTTTATTGTCTCGGAATATAGTTATTGTCAAACCTACTCTTCTCCCAGTAGCGTATTGGCTGGTTTGCCTCAAAGCAGGCTAGGCATGACCAAAATAGAATTGTATCAATGTGATTCTCAAGACTAGGCTCCTGGTTGACGTACGCATGGCATTGAATGGGGCCTTGGCACATTGACTTTCTGCCTCAGCAGAACTTGCAGGAGAAGCCCTAGTAGTGAATGCAGTTGGCTGTCACAGAAACAGCTTCATAGTTTGAAACTGCATGCTGATTTGAACTTCAGTGAGTGGGTGAAGAACTTAAGTTATTTTACCTTCCTTTTTGTTGCTTCTATGGTGCCTCAATTCCAGTTCAGTCTTGTGTGTTGTACTGGAGCATGACTTGTGTGCATAATGTATTTTCATTCAAATCAAACAGTACATTGAATTCCCAAATCTTGCTCAATAAATGTGTTTCTGTAATGTTCTTGACATTCACGCTACACAATACAGCCAGGTTCCATGTAAAGAAAGCACATGGAAGCCTTGTCAATGCAAGTCATATTTTACTTTTATAGCTTTATTAAGACATTGTTAGTGTTCTGATTGGTATATAAATTCACATCCACAGAATGTGGGTAGAACCAGTTGGTCCCTAAATACACATTTAGAAAATAAATCAAGTGCATAAAACAAATGTTTTCAGGTAGTGTAACTTCAATTAACTGATACCAATAGCACATCATCAGATAAAACCCAAAGACAGTGGATACTTTGGTAGCAAAGGTGTTCAAGGCAAATAGAAAGGACCATAGGATTTGCTGTCATGAGACCTGGTAGTGCAAACGAATGAACTATCTAAAACAGCCAATCTACTAGTGTAAATAGAGCTATAATAACACACGAATCAGAGAATAATTTGGTTTCATCACTCCTGGGTCATTATAGAACAGATTACTTAGGTGCATATGGTTACCCTACTTTAAAGGCATGTCGCATCACCGAGCCTAAAATATAAATAATTTACAAAGAAAGGGAAGCCATGACAGTGGTAAATTATTGTTCCCAGAATATCAACTGAGCCTCCCACAAATTCCCCTGCAGATTTGAGGCGCTGCATGCTTCCTGATTAACTCTCAGCAGGAGCCAAACTCTTCGATCCACTTCTCATACTTCTCTAGATCGGAAGCTGATACAGACTTGGACACTTTCTTCAGAGAAGACTCAAAATCCTCCATGGTGGTGGGCATGTGCATCTCTGCTCTGGAGATGTTACGGATCTCCTCTGGCGTCAGCCCCTCGATCCTTCGCCGCATGGCCATTAGAGAGGCGTCCCTACAGACGTAATGGAGACAGGGTTCACTAAAAGCAGTGGAACACAACATTACTCATATCACAAAAGGTTAAGTGGTTCTTTCCACCATTTTTTCTTCATTGAAGTGGCATCTCGTTTTCAAATCAGTGATAGTCTCAGCTGAATAACTGTATTGGAACAAATACACTTGACTAATCTATTCAGTGTTTACTTGCGATTGGTTTTTGTTTGTTTAAAATAAAAATAACTAGCGGCCTCCCGAGTGGCCCAGCGGTCTAAGGCACTGCATCGCAGTGTTACAGCGTCACTACAGACTGGGGATTCGATCCCAGACTGTGTCATAACTGGCCGTAACCGGGAGTTCCATAGGGCAGCGCACAATTGGCCCAGCGTCGTCCAGGTTAGGGGAGGGTTTGGCCGGTGGGGCTTTACTTGGCTCATCGCACTCTAGCGACTCCTTGTGGCGGGCCGGGCGCCTGCAGACTGACTTTGGTCAACAGTTGAACGGTGTTTCCTCCGACACATTGGTGCAGCTGGCTTCCGTGTTAAGCGAGTGGGTGTTAAGAAGTGCGGCTTGGCGGGTCATGTTTCGGAGGACGCATGACTTGACCTTCGCCTCTCCGGGAGCCCGTTGGGGAGTTGCAGTGATGAGACAAGATCGTAATCACGAAATTGGGGAGAAAAAGAGCTTAGAAAATAAATATTATTATTATAATAAAATGAACATAAACCTGAAAAATAAAGGCCTTACCTGCACACATTGGTGATGTCTGCTCCTGAGTAGCCCTCCATCTGCTCTGCTATCTTTGCCATGTCCACATCATTGGCCAGCTCCAGCTCCTTTAGGTTGATCCTCAGCAGCTCCACTCTGCCCTTAGCTGCAGAGAAAACAAGCCATAATCACACACACCATTGTGAATACAAATATATGTTTAGGTTTTGAACTGTATATATTTCAGGAAAACAGTGTTCCAGTGATTGTTGACCTGAAGGCAGAGGGATGTAGATTCTCTTCTCCAGACGTCGCCTCAGAGCCTCATCGATGTCCCAGGGGAAGTTAGTGGCTGCCAGCACCATCACCATCTTAGAGGGATCCTCATTATCTGATGCCCCTCCCACACCTAAACAGCATAACATCTCATTAACAATCACATCGATATTATCACTGCTATGTATTTAGGTAACAATAATTTACTGGGCAAGAAACATTGGTGTAGAGATATGAATCGCGCATGTAATTAATTGGGCCTTCCAATTAAGCAGAGTGGCTGCTGTTACTGTACCATCCATCTGGACCAGCAGCTCTGCCTTCACCCGCCGGCTAGCCTCATGTTCCTCTGACGTTCCTCTGCGGCTGCACATGGAGTCAATCTCATCAATGAATATGGTGGTGGGGGCATAGAACCGGGCCTGTCCAGAGGAGAAAAGAAACACCAACTAGAGCCACAACACCTCAAAAACATCATAATTTTCACATCTCATGTAATATGATGCTGCCAGTTTTTTCTTTCAGGAAGACTAATTTTCTGCACGGGCAGAGGCGCTGATGAGGGAGAATCTTACCATTTCAAATAGAAGGCGGACCAGTTTTTCAGACTCTCCTCTGTACTTGGAAGTGAGAGTAGAGGACGAGACGTTAAAGAATGTGGTTCTGCACTCTGTGGCGACGGCTTTGGCCAGAAGAGTCTTTCCTGTGCCTGGAGGACCCACCATAAGCACACCCTAAGAAAATATTGCACATGGATACACCCCATGTTAGCAAGGTATATCAGCTCTTCCAATCAAAATAATCTATTAAGCAAGAGGGCCTTGGGCTTCGATGTATACCTTCCATGGTCTTCGTATTCCTTTGAAAAACTCTGGCATCCACATGGGTAGCACAACAGCTTCTTTCAAAAGCTTTTTTGCTTCTTCCAAGTCTGCAATATCATCCCTATAGGCATTGGAAAAAAAGAAGTATTTCCTGTTAGACAACCCTTACAACGAGAAACATATGTTATATATTTAGGATAATCCTGTTCAGGAGGTTAATGATAGCCATTTAGGGAGGTTAATTGATAGCCAGTCAAACACACCATTTGACATTGGGGTTCTGTGATATGATGTCTCTCTCCAGGGCCTCAATAAGGTCTTTGTCATATCCTTGCCCGTCAAACCTCTTCACCTCTTTCTCTGAGACTTCAGCTTTGTTCTGCAAGGCAAACATTCAGGAGGATTATTTGTCAGCCCTGAGGGGGCTCAATGATATTGTGTGGCAGAGGTTCTCTCTAAGCCAGGAACCACACTGACAAGGTGGTGATGATTTGAGGTAAACACACAGAGTGAACAATGTTTGGTCAACAGTGCAAATAGTTTTCAAGTTAAGGTTGGGTAATGCCAGGCAAAGCATTAGGCTTTTCCCCTGTGCCAGATCCTGGGACAGTGATATAATTTATAAAGTTAACCTTAATATTTTCGTGAGTTTACAATGAAAAGACAGAGCACTTCTACAGCAAGCAGGATTATGTGTGTATTATGTAAGGGTGTAACAAATAACCTTTCAGTCCATATTTGAGCACATGATGGTACGTTGTCGTTTACCTTGTCGTCTTTTGATTTGGCTGGGGCCTCTTTCTTTTCCTTGCCCTTCAAAGGTTTGGCTCGGTCCCCATTGGCCCCACGTGGTGACTGGCGATGCTGAGCCCGCACACCAGCCACACTCAGGCGGTTGTTGTGTGGTTTACTGTCTTTGTAGGGAACCGGGGGCCTCCTAACCGGAAGAGGAGAGGATCTTTAAGGAAAGAAGGGAATAGTACATCAATCAGCTTAAGCACTCCAAATAATACTTTTAGGTTCAGCTATTTTGGATCTTAAAAGATCACATTTGGACCTCAAGTGGGTCTATACCTTTGTGAGTGCTGAAAGAAAGAGCAGGCCACTACCAGGCACTCTGAGCACTAATCTCACTCATATGACTGCATCATTAAGTTATTTTCTTCAGACAAACGGCTTATTCTCCCCTCTTACTAACCAAAGTGCACACTCCATCAGATACTAATGCAATGACATGAAAACAACTCGAATATATTTCCCCAGTAAATTAATGACGGGGCCTCTAAATATATACACTAGAATAGAACATTGTGTGAAAGTAGTCCATGCTGTACCTGCGCTCTACTTGTACGGGCCATATGTCATGAATGCCTTCTTGATTACTTGGTGGTTTGGATGGGGTGGTCTCCAGTTGAAAACTTTCTAGAGTTGTCATTATTTCTTGAACCTGATTGTTTTCTTCGTTTATCTCCTGCCATACCTGTAAAGAGATGTCAAGAGCAACATTAGGAAGTGACATTTGCTGACCAAAACTCTGTTCCAATGGTTCCAATCAAACAAACTTAGGTTTTAAAAATGACAAATGTCATAGATTTTACCTGTTGCCATCTTTGTTGGAAGCTACTGTCCCGTACTGTGAAAAGGTATTTCTTGATTTGTTCAAGTACTCCCCGATAGCAAACAATAGCAGAACTGTAGTTCCCAAGCAAGGCGTACTCTCGAGCAAGTTTCACGTTTTCATTGATCTCATGCAGACTCATTCTAGAGAGATTAACATTTGATTAGATAAAGTTTGAGGTTATAGTGATGTTTTTTTGTGATGTTAAAATGCAGTTCCCTCCAGAAGGCATGACAACAGAGATCATGTAAAACAAAGCATCAAGGGCACAAGATGGACATGAAGATGCCAGCTGACAGGGAGTTGTATGATATCTGACTGTTAGCTTAGCATAACTTGGCTAGCTTGCTAACTAACTCAGCTAGTGAGTTAACTAACACGTTTCAGATGAATGAGCAAACACCACAATTTAGAAAATACCAGCAATAAAACTAGCAAAAGCATTTGTTACATAACGTTACTGGCACATAAAACATTTCATGTAAAATTAGCAACTGCAAACTAACTCCCAACTTCTTTAGCATGCTAGTTTGCTAGCTACACCCACCTGTTGCATTGACGGTACATAAAGTGTAGAACCGCACCCAGGAACTAAAACAAAATCGATACAAGCGTTTAAAAAATGACAAAAATATACAATTACATCGGTAGCCACGTCTGTCAAGATAGCTAAAACCACACCAAAGTTCGATAATACACAACACACCCGCCTATTAATGTTTGAAGCCGTCAACTCAGGCGTCATATCCTGAACTGAATTCATAATAGAACGGCAGTAGTAACAGCAGCATTATTTTAACACGTTAAAATACTAATATGGCTGTAAATTGTACTTCATGGGCCTGTGGCTTTGACCGTCTTCAACAGACTACACATTTGGGTGAACAGATGCTGGCTCATTTGATTTGAATAGTACCCTCAAACTCAACTCTGGACCACGAAGCCAGTTCCACTGCGTTTTTTCATTGTTCCCAACTAATCAGGGACAGTGGTGTAAAGTACTTAAGTAAAAATATTTGAAGTACTACTTAGTTAGATTTTTAGGGTATCTGCACTTTACTATTAATATTTTTGACATATTTTACTTTTACTTCACTACATTCCTAAAATAAAATAATGTACTCTTTACTCCATACATTTTCCCTGACACACAAAAATACTTGTTACATTTTGAATGTTTAGCAGGACAGAAAAATTGTCCAATTCACACACTTATCAAGAGAAAATCCCTGGTCATCCCTACTGCATCTGATCTGGTGGACTCACTAAACACAAATGCTTGGTTTGTAAATTATGTCTGAGTGTTGGAGTGTGCCAAGGCTATGTTATTTAAAAAACAAGAAAATTGTGCCATCTGGTTTGCTTAATATAAGGAATTTGAAATGATTTATAATTTTACTTTGATACTTAAGTATATTTTAGCAATTACATTTACTTTTGATATTTAAGTGTTTTTAAAACCAAATACTTTGACTTTTACTCAAGTAGTATTTTACTGGGTGACTTTCACTTTCATTTTCTATTAAGGCATCTTTACTTTTACTCAAGTATGACAATTGGCTACTTTTTCCACCATTGTTCAGAGACAGATTTAGACCTGGGACACCAGGTGTGGGCAATTAATTATCAGATCGAACATAAAACCAGCAGGCTCCGGACCTCATAGGGTAAGAGTTGAATACCCCTGGAGAGTACTATAGAGCAGCCTGTGTTGGATAGTTCCAGGCGTCAGGTGTAAATGGACAACAAAATGGACAACAAAATGGAATTCGGGGAAGTGCTTTACATTCTTTATTCATCAGCCCTTCTCCCTGCACCCAACCCCTGAAAAAACATTTACACCATAAATCACATTAAGTCATCTTTACATGATCTCAACAAGAACAGTGCATATTCCATAACTACATTCAAATCTTTCCAAGTCACTAATAAAAGGCAAAGTATGGGATAGAGGAGGCGACCCATCTATCCACTATGATATGTGGGCTACTAAAGAGTGCCAGTTTATCATTCTATTTTTCAGTACAGTATCAGTCCTTCATGAACAGGTTTGCCATGTCAGTGAGCTCATACATACACAGCATAGTGCTTTGGTTGAGATACAATGTCAGAAGTGATGAAGGCAGATGCTACCGTGGAAGTGAATGAGAGAAGAAAATGTACTGTAAACAGCATAACGGAGCCTGTCGGCCCCAGTCATTCCATCTGTTTTTTGTTTTTTTATAGTATTATTGCAAAAGGTACCTTTCAGATTGGCCTCTTTCAGCAACCAGGAAACAAAATAGACAGTGGAATGATCGCTATCAATTGTAGGAATTATTAGAGGAAAGAAATTAGGGGAATAATGAGGGCCTGCCCTAATGAATATCAACTAACCAACCGAATAGATAGAGAAAAAAATATTTACAAATGTGTACAACAATTTATAAATAGATTTTATGTATACATTTAAAAAATACACAAAACCCTAGTTCAATCAACTAAGTCTAGTTTAAAATGCCAGACCGATTATTCCCTCCCATACAGTATTTGGTGAAAGAGAGCAGAAGATCAAAGGCACAGCAATGAACAATTCAAGATTTACTTATCCCTGCAAATTCTACCAGTGATATCACTAATATATCCCCATTGCAATATACTTATTCAAATATAAATTAAGACAATTGCCAATAGTTGTAAAAAAAAAAAATAAAAAAATCCCATACCTATGAGTATCAATTAGCATCACCAGTCTGTAATATCTTAATGTATTTAAGGCTTAAAACAGGGTTTGTAAGTCTTCGAAAAGCACCCTGATATTCTTGCTTTCAATTCCTTTTTGTCTGTTCAGTCAGACAGCCTATAAAGCGTACCCTGTACAACCCCATGAATACACCTATAGTGTGAAAGACTAAACTCTCCTCCTGCAGACTGTCGTGTAGAGAGACTATACTGTAGTGTAGTTATATGTACTGCGTATCTGCTCTGTATGGTACAATTATATCTGGTCCTAATTGTTCCACCCCACAGAAGCAGCAGCTGAATACACACGCATGTCATATACCCAACTCCTGACCCGCTCTCTGACAAACCAGCAACCTGTTTCCCAGACCTATTATGTACCAACAGTCCAGCAGAACAAAGATGTTCATAGAAGATACTACACATACACCAAATCACGGCCCTGTGCCCTCCTGCTGCTCTCTTCCTGGTCTCCCTCCTCCTGTGCAGGGGCCTCAGAGTCTGCCTCGTCCCCATCAGATCCCTCCTCATACTCTATGCCAATGGGCTTGGGACAGCTGTAGGGGTGGCCGTTGTCGTCAAAGAAGCGGCGGAAGGTGAACTCGTAGAAGGCGTGCTCGGGGTGCTTGCCGTTCCTGAACCACCCATTGAGGGTGTCATTGTGTTTGCCCTCTGCTTCGTTGTCGCTGCTCCACAGCTTATCTGGGTCCACTGGGTCAAAGTTGGAGGTGTCTGTGCAGTGAGCGATGGTGGGGATGTAGGGGGCCGGCTGCATCTGCCGCAGGTCATTAGAGAAGTCTATGGTCTTGAAGAAGGGCTGCACCTTGATCTCGTCGGCACCGTTCTTGCCGAGGCGGTCCTCAGGGCCGCGGCATAGTTTAATGATGAGGTCCGATGCCTCTCGGCTCAGCTTGGCTTGAGGGGGGATGTGCAGGGTGGTCTGCCAGTTTATCACCTGCGTACAAGAAAGAACCGGAGCGTTTAATATAGAGAGGAGGAAAACAACACCTGACAAACCAGGCCAACATGAGATATGCTCAGTTTTGAACTGGTTAATTTACCTTGAGCTGGGTTTCCAGGGGTGTAGTTGTTAAGAAAGGAGGCTGCCCAACCACCATTTCATACAGAATGACACCAACACTCCACCAATCACACAGTTGGGTGTATCCTTGAACAGAGTGGTGTAACAGTCACATGTTAGAGACAATAACATGGTGCACAAGAGCAAAAATAATAACCTTTCATACATTACACACAAAATGTCACTCCCGCATTGGTAATTCAAACATCACCAATTATATTTCCAACTTCACTGCAGATTCAACTTTCTCTTACACAGGCTTACCTGTTCTGAGCAGCACCTCTGGAGCGATGTAGTTGGGTGTCCCCACCAGGGAGTGGGCCAGACAGCGCTGGTGTTGCCTCGCCTTCCTCCTCTCCAGGGGCTTGAGCCGGTCTGCACAGCGACAGTTAGCTGGGTCCTGCTCCCATTCCTTACTGAAGTCCATGCTGTCCTGCCGAACATGGTCTCCTACAGAGAGAAACGGCACAAAGATTAGCTTGGCTTTACAGACAATGAAAAGGGGGAGAACAGTGTTAGCCCAAAGGCCAAAACATCCTCTTGGATTGAAGCAGCAACAAGCATCATAAGACATGGATCATACTAACCACTCTGGTAGTACTTAGAGTCGTGCGTCCAACGGAAGCCGGTGCAGAGGCCAAAGTCGGTGAGCTTGATGTGTCCGTCCCGGTCTATAAGGATGTTGTCTGGCTTGATGTCGCGGTGGATGAAGCCCATCTTGTGCACACTCTCCACGGCGCAGGTGAGCTCAGCGATATAGAACTGAGCCAAGTCCTCTTTGAAGATGCCCAGCCTGATCAGCAGACTCATCATGTCTCCTCCGGGGATGTAGTCCATCACAAAGTACAGGTTGTCCTTGTCCTGGAAGGAGTAGTAGAGCCGCACCACCCACTCATTATCAGCCTCAGCCAGGATGTCTCTCTCTGCCTTGACGTGGGCCACCTGGTTCCTGAGGAGAACGTCCTTCTTGCGCAGCGTCTTCATGGCGTACAGGGCTCCTGTGTCCTCCTTCCGGGCTAGACACACCTCTCCAAAGGCTCCGATGCCCAGGGTCTTGATCCTCTTGAACATGGACTTGTCCATCTTGGCCCGCTTCAGTCGGATGTAGTTGGACTCTTTCTGAGACAGCATCATGCGCATCTGCTCCTGGGCATCCCCTGACAACCCAACCTAAATAGCAAAATAAGACAATTTACATTCAGGCCCGTCGCGGAGATCTCCCAGAAAAACTGTTTATTTAAGAGAGCACCACAGAACATTCATTAGGCACATAAAATAAGACAACCAAAGATACATTAGCAAAGCAATGCATTCAACCTGGTAGGATGCAGGCACAGGTAAGGTAACAACATAGTAACCATTAAAACACATTGGAAAATGCAGGTTAAAAAACTAACCGAGATACGCTACATGACCAAAAGTATGTGGACACCTGCTCGAACATCTCATTCCAAAATCATGGGCATTGATATAGAGTTGGTCCCCCCTTTGCTTCTATAACAGCCTCCACTCTTCTGGGAAGGCTTTCCATTAGATGTTTGAACATTGCTGCGGGGACATGCTTCCATTCAGCCACAAGAGCATTAGTGAGTCGGGCACTGATGTTGGGCAATTAGGCCTGGCTCGCAGTCGGCGTTCCAATTCATCCCAAAGATGTTTGATGGGGTTGAGGTCAGGGCTCTGGCAAGGCCAGTCAAGTTCTTCCACACCGATCTCGACAAACCATTTCTGTATGGACCTCGCTTTGTGCATGGGGGCATTGTAATGCGGAAACAGAAAAGGGCCTTCCCCAAACTGCTGCCACAGTTGGAAGCACAGAATCGTCTAGAATGTCATTGTATGCTGTAGCGTTAAGATTTCCCTTCCAGGAACTAAGGGGCCTAGCCCGAACCATGAAAACCAGCCCCAGACCATTATTCCTCCTCCACCAAACTTTACAGTTGGCACTATGCATTCGGGCAGGTAATGAGTGTTGCAACCAAGGACAGATGATTTTTACGCGCTTCAGCACTCAGGGGTCCCGTTCTGTGAGCTTTTGTGGCCTACCACTTCCGGCTGAGCCGTTGTTGCTCCTAGACGTTTCCATTTCAAAATAACTGCACTTACAGTTGACCAGGGCAGCTCTAGCAGGGCAGAAATTTGACGAACTGACTTGTTGGAAAGGTGGTATCCTATGACGGTATCACATTGAAAGCCACTGAGCTCTTCAGTAAGGCCATTCTACTGCCAATGTTTGTCAATGGAGATTGCATGGCTGTGTGCTCAATTTTATACACCTGTCAGCAACGGGTGTGGCTGAAATAGCCGAATCCACTAATTTGAAGTGGTGACCACATACTTTTGTATATATAGTGTACAGCAGACGTTCTCAATAAGGCTGGTTTTCTTGGCAAGCATGAAGGTGTTAATAATATATGCTGGAGCGGAGCACTAAAATGGAAAGTGGATGGAAAGGCATGCCTCTCCCTAAGGAGTTGGTGTGATGCTGTCAGTCAGCAGAGGGCTTCATGCTGTTCAATTAAAATGTTCCAGCTTTCAACAGTGGCTTACTTGGTCACTGATCAGTGTGGGCTATTCAGGTCACAGCATTGATAGGAGATACTTTTACCTTCTACATCAGCTGTTAGTGACAGCAAGGAGAGAACAGGAGAGAAAGAGAGAGAGAGACAGCTAAGCAGACGGAAAGAATAGAACATTCAAAAACAATGAAAATACAGCTTGAACAGGAAATAAATAGTAAGAAAGAGACAAAGACCGAAAACTAAGTAAGTCTGCGTGAGGACATATTCGACTGTCATCGGCCAAATCCATTACGGTGTAAATGTTGGCTTTTCAGTTGATAAATAATGACCCTGTATTCCTGTGAATTGAATTGATTAGACCAAATTCAGATTCTACCATTGTTTAGACCAAATGTAACTCATAGGGACATTATAAGCTGTAACTGTGTCCTCTCACCCTCTGCATCTCACTCTCCAGCTGCTTCTTCCTATGGATCCTCATCTGGTGGTTCTTCAAGACGTTCTCAACGTGCTGCTCCATGAAGAACTTGAAGGCCTGGGGAGAGTAGAGTGGCACCCTGGGGTCTCCTCGCCGCTCCTCATCTTTATTGTTCCGGCGCATAGGCACCGGAGACGTGGTGATCTGTTTATTCTCCTTCTCTGTTCCCACAGCAGCAGAGTCTGGGCCTTCTGGCCTGTCACTAGAGCTGCTGCTACACTCCTCTTCCTCTGCAGCCTCCTCTCTCCCAGAACTGGGCTTGGGCCCTGGGTCATAGGCAGGGCAGAGTGCAGCAGGCTGCTGGAGGAGGTGTTTGGGGTATGGGGGTGGAGGACCTTGGTAACTGGGCACCTCTGCTACTGTAATGGGTATGTGGGGCATGGGTGCAGCTGGTAGTGGCTCCTGGTAGGTAGTGGGAGATGGAGAGGGTGGGGGCTGGTGCATCCAGGGTGGGTGTGTGGGGGCCACAGCAGTGTGTAGCTCAGGTTTCTGCACACGAATGCTCTTAACGGGCTGCAGGATGGGGGCCTGGGTGATGGCCGTCACTGTAGTGGCAGAGGGCTGGGAGCTGGCTGGGTGGCCCTGCCTGTTGCTCATCTGGTGGCTGTTGAAGGAGCTGGATCGGACAGGGATGCTGTGCGGCTGCCATGAGGGGGACATGTCCTGGTTGCTGCTACCTGGGGAGGACTGGGGCTGGCCGGGGGGTGCTTGGGACCAGGACTGCGGCACGCCCATGTTGTACATGTCAAGGTTGTGACTGTTCCGGTTAGGCACCATCATGGACTGGGGGAGGTTACCACTGTTGACGTAGGATGGGGAGGAGGCAGGACCTCCGGCCTGCATCTGCTGAGCGGTGGGGCTTTGTCTACTGCTCTGGTTCACTGGGTAAGGGGGAGGGAGTTGTCTGCTACCGCCACTCTGGTGTCCCATGTAGTCTGGTTGAGGGGAGCTGTTCTGAGACCAGCCGGAGGGGAAGCTGAACTTGTTCCCCCCAGAGCTCTGCATGATGATGGGCTGACGGCCCATGGGCACTGGGCTGATGCCCCTCTGGTTATGGGGGGCTGGGGCTGAGTAGCCATCGGGCCAGGCTCCTTGAGGAACAGGAGAAATACGGGGCACCAGGTAATCCATGTTGCCAGAGAAGCGCTTGGTGGAGGGGTTACTGTCCCAGGAGGGTGGAGGCGGGGTTCCACCCCTATTTGGGGGAGGGGTGACACTGCGCACTTGAGGGGGTAGGGGAGGGTTGACCCGTGGGTTGTTGCCAGGGTGGCCCTGTGGGAAGGCTGGGGGAGGGCCTCGTCCCGCCAGGTCACCCTGGGGTCCAGGGCTGTCTGAACGGTACATCATCCCCTCCACCATCAAGTGGCCATGTCTCTGAACAAGGGACTCCTTGGAACCCTTCCAGCTCTGCCTCCTCAGCACAGGCTGCTGGATGTTAGATGAACCTGTAACGATGGGAAGAAAAACTACAGTTAAAAAGCACCATATAGAGATCAATCATTATGTTTGCAATAGATGTTACTGCAATATCAAAGAAAGCAAACCCTTGCATTGTACAGCATTCTCAATTCAAACACACTCCCTTCCCCCAAAGCAGTTGTTCAATAGAATCTTGTTCCCTCAACGACAATCTATTGTGTCTCCAGCGACAAATAGTATAGCCCTAGATCCTGCAACAATGGTAGCCAGGGTCCCGTGAACAACCCTGGAAAAAGGAGAGGTTTGGTCCCAGAGGACAGACACCTACCGGGGGCTTTCATGCCTGCATTAACGGGGCGGGCGGCGGCAGCCACCATCTGCTCCCTCACAGGATCCTGGTAGCTCATCTTACTAATGTACTCTATGGCTGCCTCCACGCTGCGACTGTTGGTCTGCTTCAGAGCACAGATCACCATTTCCTGCACACAATACATTTACTAGCTATTAATACCTGAAATAAATAAAGGGTTGCCCGAGGTGCTGTTAGACGAACGTCAGATCAAGTTAACAGGAACTACTCAACAACTGTCAAATACAATGTAATTCATACATGTTTATTATATATATATATTTTTTAAAGAGCCAGATATTCCAGTAGCTTTTTAAATGACATATGGTTTCATAGAACATATTTTATACTCTGCTTCAGTGCTGAATACAGGAGTCATGTGACTGACTAGTTGAAAACCTCGTTAGCATTAGGGTAATTCCACAATAACAGAATCACTGAGACTCCGACTTTTCACTTTATAAAGTATGCCAATTGCCAAATCAAAAAACATTGATTGCAAAGTTAAACAAACCACACAACTATGAACTACTTTAAACTATACAGAAATGCTTAACTATGAATGCCATTCTTTTCATGGTGATGTATGCTGAATAGGTACACAAACATAGGAACATTTCATTTCCTCCTTTGAATGCTTGGGTATTATTCTACACTGGCAATTATTCTAATGAGCGCCGCACAGTACAGTAAATTACACTGTACTCTACTCTAGTGTGCTCTACTATACTGTACTAAATTCTACAGTACAGTATTGTACTGACCTATAGACTACTGTACTAACGTTATACTGTCCAAGCTTGTGAAACAGACGTCTATGATTGGTTTTGATTTGGACTGACTTTTCAACATCTATGGACGTCCGGTGATGGTCGGTGCTCAGTGGGTGAGGGCTGGTTACTAGGGATTTAATGATTCACAGATAAGCATACAGTGCCCTCCACTATTATTGGCACCCCTGTTTAAGATGTGCCCAGCTTCGCGAGGTAGGCTGCCTGTTCCTGAACTTGCACATCTGTGTGGCACATTCAGCATTCAAATGCTAAAATGGTTTGCGTGATATTAGGCTTAATTAGTTGAGTGACAACCTATGTAATTTGCAAAATTATTGTTATCTATGCACTGTTGAAGATTGTGCTTTACCGGAAAAAAAGTAAGTAGTTTTGCTTTAAACAATCAGTTTATACAGTGCCTTCGGAAAGTATTCCTGACCCCTTGACCTTTTCCACTTTGTTACGTTACAGCCTTATTCTAAAATGGATTCAATAAAAATCCTCAGCAATCTACACACAATAACCCATGATGACAAAGAGAAAACAGGTTTTTATTTACATAAGTATTCAGACCCTTTGCTATGAGACTCGAAATTGAGCTCAGGTGCATCCTGTTTCCATTGATCATTCCTTGAGATGTTTCTACAACTTGATTGGAGTCCACCTGTGGTAAATTCAATTGATTGGACATGATTTGGAAAGGCACACACCTGTCTATATAACGTCCCAACAGTTGACAGTGCATGTCAGAGCAAAGACCAAGCCATGAGGTCGAAGGAATTGTCCGTAGAGCGCGAGACAGGATTGTGTAGAGGCAACAGATCTGGGGAAGGGTACAAAAACATTTCTGCAGCAATGAAGGTCCCCAAGAACACAGTAGCCTCCATTCTTAAATGGAAGAAGTTTGGAACCACCAAGACTCTTCCTAGAGCTGGCCGCCCGGCCAAACTGAGCAATCTGGGGAGAAGGAACTTGGTCAGGGAGGTGACCAAGAACCCGATGGTCACTGACAGAGCTTTAGAGTTCCTCTGTGGAGATGGGAGAACCTTCCAGAAGGACAACCATCTCTGCAGCACTCCACCAATCAGGCCTTAATGGCAGAGTTGCCAGACGGAAACCACTCCTCAGTTAAAAGCACATGACAGCCCGTTTGGAGTTTGCCAAAGGGCACCTAAAGTCTTTCAGACCATGAGAAACAAGGTTCTCTGGTCTGATGAAACCAAGATTGAACTCTTTGGCCTGAATGCCATGTGTCACGTCTGGAGGAAACCTTGCACCATCCCTACGGTGAAGCATGGTGGTGGCAGCATCATGCTGTGGGGATGTTTTTCAGCGGCAGGGATTGGATGTCAGGATGAAGGCAAAGATGATCGGCGCAAAGTACAGAGATCCTTGATGAAAACCTGCTCCAGAGCGCTCAGGACCTCAGACTGGGGTGAAAGTTCACCTTCCAACATTACAATGACCCTAAGCACACAGCCAAGACAATGCAGGAGTGGCTTCGGGACAAGTCTCTGAATGTCCTTGAGTGGCCCAGCCAGAGCCCGGACTTGAACGCGATCTAACATCTCTGGAGAGACCTGAAAATGGCTGTGCGACAACATTCCCCATTCAACCTGACAGAGCTTGAGGATCTGCATAGAAGAATGGGAGAAACTCCCCAAATACAGGTGTACCATGCTTGTAGCATCATACCCAAGAAGACTCGAGGTTGTAATTGCTGCCTAAGGTGTTTCAACAAAGGGTCTGAATACTTATGTAAATGTTATATTTCCGTTTTTTATTTTTAATACATTTGTAAAAATTCAAAAAATAACAGATTTTGCTTTCTCTTTATGGGGTATTGTGTGTAGTTTGATGAGAAAAAAAATCAATTTAATCAATTTTAGAATAAGGCTATAACATAAAATGTGGAAAAAGTCAAGGGGTCTGAATACTTTCCGAATGCACTGCATGGTAATTTTTTGATATACAGGGTAAAGTTGATAACAAAGACAGCTATCACACTTTTGCGAGGCGCACTGCATGGCTGAAGCAAGAGAAGAGAAGTTCACTCCCTAAAAACTTCCAAACCATTCGATTTTGAGATGGGGGTGAAATCCAAAGTTGTGCTATATATTAATTGGCTATGTCATAGCTAATTTGATAATGATAAATATTGATACATTACTAGCTCAAACACAAGTTAATTAGTGGGTGATGGTGATTTCAGATCCAAAGTGGGGGGACAAAAAACATAGGTCTATCCTACATTGCACCCCCCTAATCTGATAGTGTTAGTGGGGTGGTAGATGCTTAGTCTCCCTTGTGGCTCAGCTCAGGTGCCTACATAGCATAAACAACCACACACACCCCAGCTCGGACAGATCCAGCTCAAAGAGGCCCAAGCTCATGAGCTCCATCAGCAGTAGATTATAATTTAGAATGGAAAATGTATGTGGTCTAATCAAACCGAATCTTTTCAAACTAAAACGTATTGGAGCACATGTACCTAGATATATATTGAATCGCCTTGAAAGGGAAAGATGCACAGCCCTACTGGTTACAGTAAGTGGAAAGGGAGGGGGCTCATGGGTAGGTGTCAGTAAGAGCCGGGAGAGGTGACATTAACTGGAGAGAGAAAGAGAGAAAATGGTTGTCCAGACTGTGTTCACAATCTTGCTTTGACCACCACGCAACAGAAAGAGAAAGAAAACAGTAATTAAGAGTTGAACATAACAATATGCCAGCGGAAGGGAGGCCAGTAGCAGGTGACCCAACTGTGGTTTGTGACTACTATGAATTCCCATTGTAGCCAATTCAGTTGCAGTCATTCTGTTACTGATTTGGTAACAGAATGATGCGTTTTAAATCACTTAATACCTCAAACCAAATTGCTATCAGTAAAAACACTAATTGGTAGGTCTACCTTTACTTGTTACTTCTATGAACTTTCCTTCCCCTCCCTCATGATGAGGGAGAAAAATAAAAAAAATATCTTAAAGATGTGGGTTTTTGGCAACAGAATGACAAGACACTAGGCAATATTTATTAAACTTACAGAAGGCAATTCATTTCTGAAAAACTAAATATAAGTGTTGACATTCATTGGCAGGGTCTTTACTTCAACATTGTGTTTTGATGTATTTCTAATACCGTTTAACACTTATTTTCTGCTAGATGTTTTCTAAGACCCCTTTTCAATCTGTTTGACCAGAAATCAAAGCCTTTGCTTATTCCTAATTTTTAGGATGGAAAATTGTATACCGGTACATGCCTTAACTTCTCAAAAATATAGACGCTTAGCTTTCATTTGACACAAAATGTTGTGCGCTCCTATGAACTATGACTTTTTACATGGAAATGCCCATGAGAAAATGACACCCTGAGCATGCCGCCATTAAAGCTGGTAATTCCACATTGCATAGCTTTCATATTTCACATTAGCCTCCTGTCAACCACCAACAAAGGGAAAACATTCTGCAATAGTACTACTAGCTAACAGAGGTGGGACCAAGCCACTATTATTCGAGTCACAAGCAAGTCTCAAGGTCTGAGTGTCGAGTCGAGTCCCAAGTAGAATGGGTTGAGTCTCGAGTCTAGTCCAAGTTGTGCATTCTAAGAGCAAGTCAAGCCAAGTTTTTTCAAGTCTCAAGTGAGTATCTCCTGAGTGGCGCAGTGGTCTAAGGCTGTGCCACTAGAGATCCTGGTTCGAATCCAGGCTCTGTCGTAGCCGGCCACGACCGGGAGACCCATGGGGCAGCGCACAATTGGCCCAGCGTTGTCCAGGGTAGGGGAGGGAATGGCCGGCAGGGATGTAGCTCAGTTGGTAGAGCATGGCGTTTGCAACGCCAGGGTTGTGGGTTCGATTCCCACGGGGGGCCTGTATGTAAAAAATAATGTATGCTCTGGATAAGAGCGTCTGCTAAATGACTTAAATGTAAATAAAACAAATGAGGGCTGTCCCCGATGGAAAAAAATCTTGGTAGACCGAAAGTCGTCTGTTCTTTCAACCAATCGATTGTATTTGTCAATATATACAGTGCATTCGGAAAATGTTCAGAACCTTTGACTTTTTCCACATTTTGTTATGTCTGGCCACTACCATAAAGGCCTGATTGGTGGGTGCTGCAGAGATGGTTGTCCTTCTGGATGGTTCTCCCATCTCCACAGAGGAACTCTGTCAGAGTGACCATCGGGTTCTTGGTCACCTCCCTGACCATCTCCCCAGATTACTCAGTTTGGCCAGGCGGTCAGCTCTAGGAAGTGTCTTGGTGGTTCCAAACTTCTTCCATTTCAGAATGATAGAGGCCACTGTTCTTGAGGACCTTCAATGCTGCAGAAATGTTTTGGTACCGTTCCCCAGATCTGTGCCTCGACAATCCTGTCTCGGATCTCTACGGACAATTCCTTCAATCTCATGGCTTGGTTTTTGCTCTGACATGCACTGTCAACTGTGGGACTTTATATAGACAGGTGTGCACCTTTCCAAATCATGTTCAATCACTTGAATTTACCACAGATTGACTCCAATCAAGTTGTAGAAACATCAAGGATGATCAATGGAAACAGGATGCACCGGAGCTCAATTTCGAGTCTAAAACGTGGCCCTGTGTAGCTCAGTTGGTAGAGCATGGCGCTTGCAACGCCAGGGTTGTGGGTTCGATTCCCACAGGGGGCCAGTATGAAATTGTATGCACTCACTAACTGTAAGTCGCTCTGGATAAGAGCGTCTGCTAAATGACTAAAATGTAATAGCAAAGGGTCTGAATACTTATGTAAACATTTCTAAAAACCTGTTTTCTCTTTGTCATTATGGGGTATTGTGTGTAGATTGATGAGGGGACAAAAAACTATTTAATACATTTTAGAATAAGGTTGTCACGTAACAAAATGTAGAAAAAGTTGAGGGGTCTGAATACTTTCCGAATGCAATGTACATGAAGGCAGTGACTAGGCATCAGGATAGATAATAAGAGTAAAATAAAGAACAGAGTAGCAGCAGCAAATGATGAGTGTAAAAGTGTGTATCGGTATGCGTGTGTGGGAGAATGTAGTGTATCTGAGTGGGTTTTGTGTGGGTGTGTCAATGTAGTGTGTGTAAACGTAGAGTCAAAGTCATGTGACTCAAGTCCACACCCCTGCTAGATCCCTAGCTGAAGTACTGTTTCCACTTTTACATTATTCCTCCTTACCTCCTCAAAGCCAGCAGATAGCAGCTCCAGCAACATCTGTTTGTTAACCTCTGCAGTCCGTCCAGAAGAGCTGGGCTCATTGGCAAAAGGCATCAGGGACTTGCGAATCTCCTGCAAGGCTTTGTGGTAGGGGTTTCTGGGGTTGCTGCAGCGCCCTTGCTGCCTGGGGTCTTCAGGCACCACTATACCAGCACACCCCATGTCCACCTTAGGGGGGTCAGAAGGCCGGGACAGGTTCCGGAGACTCTCCCGAATTTCCTGCAGCATCTGGTGGCTGTTAACACTGTAGTTGCTAGCAGGGAAAGTCTTTGGTCGCATCTGTCGATATCCTTCGGGTTTCTCCCCTCTCTTCATGTAAGAACATGTAGGTTGACAGCCAAAGGGGACAACAGGGTAGCACACAGCAGTGCGTCACTGCGAGGGTATCAGGGGCCAAGAGGAGCTTCAAGTCTCTAATTACTTCACATCTGCATCCTGCTGAGTACCTGGGGATGATGAAACACAGAACATATGAACATCGTGCAGCAAATAGAAATGAATGCAATCTCTCAGATATGAGCAGTGAAATGATCCTACAGCCCCGTGTAGCTCAGTTGGTAGAACATGGCGCTTGCAACGCCAGGGTTGTGGGTTCGTTTCCCACGGGGGGCCAGTATGAAAATGTATACACTCACTAACTGTAAGTCGCTCTGGATAAGAGCGTCTGCTAAATAACGTAAATACAGATTTTCTGTCAATTAATATATTCAGACAATTCATTATGTTAGATAACTGTAATAGTTTAGTATCTATAACATACAACTTAAGGTTGGTTAGCAAACGTGACCATGAAAACAAATGGTGCTTGTAGCTAAGTCAGCTAGGTACCAAATATGGTGGTTAAAAGTACCGACTGTAGGATGTTATGTAATAAGCAGATATGTAATCCGGCCAGCTGCAAAGCTAAAGGGTAGTGAAGAATACAATTCTACGTATCTAGTTACCAAGCAGCTCAACTTCAGTTCAATAGCTAACCAGCTAGCTACCTAGCAAAGCCCGCTGCTGCGGATTGTCCACGGCCTGTCCGCGTCGCAAAGCAACCACCAGCCAAGTTAGCATGCTAGCTAACAGGTTGTTGTCAATGAATTTACCATCAGCAGCATTATTCTTCTAATCAAATCTCCAGACTTCAAATCAACTAGAAAGTGCAATCAACTGAGTTAATCGACTGACTTAGTCGAAGTTTGAAAGTGACGAACTTTACTGCTACTCCGTGTCCTACCTGTCGCTTGAATATTCCTGTCTGACAGAGACAACTTTCCCGGATGTGTTTTTCCCATCATCCCCTGCGATAGCACCTTTACCCCAAACAAAGGCCTTTCACAAGTGATTCAAGGTATTCTTACTCATAAACATAAAACAAATACAATATATACAAACAAAATGAAAACAAATGGATGTCAAAAGTTTATATTCTATATTCTCATTAGACCTAAATGTGGTCCATATCATGGTTCTTTCATGCACTGAGTATATCGTCTGTTATGAAAAGTTATGCATAATTGGATAAGTGATATCATATTTATGTAAAGACATTTTATTTCAAAACACAGGAGTTAAATGACATGAATACAACCAATATGACTACCCCAAAAATCAAGTGCTTTATCTGTGATTGGTTTTGAGCACAAGTTCCTGTACAACCGGTACTCATCATTAAGAGTGTAAACTTTATTTCAGTGGTAATACAAGATCTCTGTATGCTTTCAATTTATTCAACCTCCTTCAGGACTATCAAACACAATCATACAATTTACAAAATACTTTCACCTGATGAAGGTTATCTAATCCTCAAGAGCAGGACCTTATACTGGGAAAAGATTTCAACAATCAGTTTAGGTAAATAATTGCCAGAAGATAACGACCCTACCGTTACGCACTGAGGTCGGAACGCAATCATGGTTACATTAAGACACCGTGGAGCCAGCGCGAGACATGGGTCGGAAAACGTACCTCAATGCAGGGATGGGACATGCCACTGTACTAAAAGTTTTACCTTTATCCACACTGCTCCATCGAGAAGATTGAAATGCTGCTTGTTTTCGCGGGAAACTGCCCTTTTCGTCCTCATGCTAGGTAGCAGTAGCCATCGCAGCCATTTTGGAATGGCAGTGTTAGCCAATCAGCTCCTTTGTTGTTCAACGCAATGTTCCATTCCATAATGGCTGCTAGCCACAGTGAAAGAATCTGCGATGGTTCATTGCCCTGTTGCCTGAAGTCCCATAGTTTGAGCTGGCCAATAGAATTGACGGTAAGGATCTCTGTAGTCCTCAGGAAAGTCACAGCATGGATTGTGCTACTATCAGCCTTTTTCTGACAGGAATGAAAAATAGTATGTCAGTATCATCTTGGCTAAAGGGTGGGATTTCACTTGAAGTTCCAGCTGATTTTTGGAAATGGGTATGAAGGCTATGTCATTGCAAGTTCAAAATCCAACCTTGAAGAAAATAATGAGCATTGCCAGGAGAGCATACAATTATATACACTCTTATTAACACATAAGGACCTATTGTTTCCTTATCAGACCAATGGTGTGCAGCACTCCTTCCTGGTCCGCTCTGAAGAGCATGATCCTTCCATCTTCCCCGACCGCTACAATCTCAGGGCTGTTACATACAACTCCAGTACATGGAGCGTTGTCGCAGGGATAATGATGTGCTCTTTCCCACAGTTGACAAACAGACAATGTTTGTAGAGAAGAGCTAACTTGACATTTGTAATTGATGTAGCCATGATTGTTGGTATATCTTCATTATGATTATGTCTTGTGAAATAACATCCATACCTGGCTGTTGTGGTGATGCCGAAAGATGGTCACCGCTCCAGTTGATGATGCTGTTACTATTCTGTCTAGATCCAGAAACTAAAGGAGTGTAAGATTGACATTCAATTATGACAAAATCAGGACCAAGTACAATATTGTCTAACGTCAGGATAGTATCTTACACCTAGTAGTATATTAACTTACTTGAAGGTCCAGAACATCCCCATTATGTTTGTATAAACATACTAATTGAGGGTCTCCCTCAAATTCATCGTCCATACTGGAGACCCCATTCTCTCCGATGGACCAAATGGAAATGTTGTTGTCCTGAAAAAGAGATTTCGCTAGAGGTATGCAATCAGACAGAAATGTTCAACAGCTGAGTGATGGTAAATTACACTACCTTGCAGTGCTTAATTTCTGCCGGATCCTGCCGGAACAGGATCCAGCACCTCTTAGATTTGACTTTATTTGTTCCGGCACCTATTTGATGAAAGACCATCATGTAAAAGCGCGGCGATTCTTCTATGTAATCATCCTATCCTGCCACACTGATTCCAGACCTGCTCTCTTATTTGTACATAGAGGTTATGGGGAGGGCCAGTGGGGTAAGTAACTGATCTTGACACAGGTCTTGGTAGTGGTGGTCAGCTAGTGAAGAGGTCCCTACGTAATCATGTCACATAGCCTAGACGTCGCCCTACTGAATTTGAATCGTGGGAAAGCCAAATAGAAAATTGATAAGAAAAGGGGAGCTGGTGGGGAGGGGGGCAGTGCATCCACCTACGAAGTGCTCGGAGCAGGTGCAATTTGCAGTTCAAGAACAAGCCAACGTATAACCCCTGGCTTGTCATGCAGAATTCAAAGTTGGGCTGTACAACATGCAAAAGGGTAGGGAGCTTGGGTCTAGAAATGACTTGAGGGATTAAACTAGCAAAAGAGTGTGTGGAATATAAAGTAAATTAACATCCTATGCATCAGACATAAAAAAACAACAACAAAGAGCCCTCTGAAAAAAGTCTTTTTTAACATGCCTGAACCAAGGCGCATTTGGTGGCAGCAAGCCTTGTAGACAAGGCTAAAGAGGACACCCAGGTTAACACTAAAAATAAAATAGAAATAGACACTACAGCCAGAGTTTTCAGAACAGCCTTAGAAGGAGGCTAAACATCACAGCCACATGCCCGCTCATGGCTTTGAGCAAAGAGTTGACTCTCAGGAGTTAAATGGACTATGTGTTCCGGGACCTCCCGATTTACAAATGAAGCACTGCTAGCTAGTAACGTTAGTTAACTAAACTAGCTGGCTATGCATAAGCTGCCCTGCCGGCAGTATACTGGACTTCAGTAATTTAGGTTAAGTGACAGGTTTCTTATTATTGACAGAAAATAAAGCAAAGTAACGTTATGCGTTGACAGTACAGACAGTAAATAGCTAGGTACAGTACCAGTCAAAAGTTTGGACACACCAAACTCAATAGCTATGTGCAACCAGAGGAAAAAAAACTCTAGACCACCTTTACTCCACACACAGAGACGCATACAAAGCTCTCCCTCACCCTCCATTTGGCAAATCTGACCATAACTCTATCCTCCTGATTCCTGCTTATAAGCAAAAACTAAAGCAGGAAGCACCAGTGACTCGGTTAATAAAAAAGTGGTCAGATGACGCAGATGCTAAGCTACAGGACTGTTTTGCTTGCACAGACTGGAACATGTTCCGGGATTCTTCAGATAGCATTGAGGAGTACACCACATCAGTCACTGGCTTCATCAATAAGTGCATCGATGATGTCGTCCCCACAGTGACCGTACGTACATACCCCAACCAGAAGCCATGGATTACAGGAAACATCCGCACTGAGCTAAAGTGTAGAGCTGCCGCTTTCAAGGAGCGGGACTCTAATCCGGACGCTTATAAGAAATCCCGCTATGCCCTCCGATGAACCATCAAACAGGCAAAGAGTCAATACAGGACTAAGATTGAATCGTACTACACCGGCTCTGACGCTCGTCGGATGTTGCAGGGCTTGAAAACTATTACAGACTACAAAGGGAAGCACAGCCGCGAGCTTCCCAGTGACACAAGCCTACCAGACGAGCTAAACCACTTCTATGCTCGCTTCGAGGCAAGCAACACTGAAGCATGCATGAGAGCACCAGCTGTTCCGGATGACTATGTGATCACGCTCTCCGTAGCCGATGTGAGTAAGACTTTTAAGCAGGTCAACATTCACAAGGCCGCAGGGCCAGACGGATTACCAGGACGTGTACTCCGAGCATGTGCTGACCAACTGGCAAGTGTCTTCACTGACATTTTCAACATGTCTCTGACTGAGTCTGTAATACCAACATGTTTCAAGCAGACCACCATAGCCCTGTGCCCAAGGACACTAAGATAACCTGACTAAATGACTACTGACCCGTAGCACTGACGTCTGTAGCCATGAAGTGCTTTGAAAGGCTGGTCATGGCTCACATCAACACCATTATCCCAGAAACCCTAGACCCACTCCAATTTGCATACCGCCCCAACAGATCCACAGATGATGGAATCTCTATTGCACTCCACACTGCCCTTTCCCACCTGGACAAGAGGAACACCTACGTGAGAATGCTATTCATTGACTACAGCTCAGCATTCAACACCACAGTGCCCTCAAAGCTAATCACTAAGCTAAGGATCCTGGGACTAAACACCTCCCTCTGCAACTGGATCCTGGACTTCCTGACGGGCCGCACCCAGGTGGTAAGGGTAGGTAACAACACATCTGCCACACTGATCCTCAACACAGGGGCCCCTCAGGGGTGCGTGCTCAGTCCCCTACTGTACTCCCTGTTCACCCATGACTGCATGGCCAGGCACGACTCCAACACCATCATTAAGTTTGCCGACGACACAACAGTGGTAGGCCTGATCACCGACAACGATGAGACAGCCTATAGGGAGGAGGTCAGAGACCTGACCGTGTGGTGCCAGGATAACAACCTCTCCCTCAACGTGACCAAGACAAAGGAGATGATTGTGGACTACAGGAAAAAAAAGAGGACTGAGCACGCCCCCACTCTCATCGACGGGGCTGTAGTGGAACAGGTTGAGAGCTTCAAGTTCCTTGGTGTCCACATCACCAACGAACTATCATGGTCCAAACACACCAAGACAGTCGTGAAGAGGGTACGACAAAGCCTATTCCCCCTCAGGAGACTGAAAAGATTTGGCATGGGTCCTCAGATCCTCAAAAAATTATACAGCTGCACCATCCAGAGCATCCTGACTGGTTGCATCACCACCTGGTATGGCAACTGCTTGGCCTCCGACCGCAAGGCACTACAGAGGGTAGTGCGTACGGCCCAGTACATCACTGGGGCCAAGCTTCCTGCCATCCAGGACCTCTATACCAGGCGGTGTCAGAGGAAGGCCCTCAAAATTGTCAAAGACTCCAGCCACCCTAGTCATAGACTGTTCTCTCTGCTACCGCACGGCAACCGGTACCGGAGTGCCAAGTCTAGGTCCAAAAGACTTCTCAACAGCTTCTACCCCCAAGCCATAAGACTCCTGAACAGCTAATCATGGCTACCCAGACTATTTGCACTGCCCCCCAACCCCATCTTTTTACGCTGCTGCTACTCTGTTAATTATTTATGCATAGTCACTTTAACTCTACCCACATGTACATATTACTTCAACTACCTCAACTAGCCGGTGCCCCCGCACATTGACTCTGCACCGGTACCCCCCTGTATATATAGCCTCCCTAATGTTATTTTATTTTACTTCGGCTCTTTTTTTCTCAACACTTTTTTGTTGTTGTTTTATTTTACTTTTTTATTAAAAATAAATGCACTGTTGGTTAAGGGCTGTAAGTAAGCATTTCACTGTAATGTCTGCACCTGTTGTATTCGGCGCATTTGGCCAATACAATTTGATTTGATTTGATTTGAGCTAGGTACAGTACCAGTCAAAAGTTTGGACACAACAACTCATTCAATGGTTTTTCTTTATTTTTACTATTTTCTACATTGTAGAATAATAGTGAAGACATCAAAACTATGAAATAACACATATGGAATAATGTAGTAACCAAAACAGTGTTAAACAAATCAAATTATATTCTATATTTGAGATTCTTCAAATAGCCACTCTTTGCCTTGATGACAGCTTTGCACACTCTTGGCATTCTCTACCTTCATGAGGTAGTCACCTGGAATGCATTTCAATTAACAGGTGTGCCTTGTTAAAAGTTAATTTGTGGAATTTCTTTCCTTCTTAATGCATTTGAGCCAATCAGTTGTGTTGTGACAAGGTAGGGTTGGTATACAGAAGATAGCCCTATTTGGTAAAAGACCAAGTCCATATTATGGCAAGAACAACTCAAATAAGCAAAAAGAAACAACAGTCCATCAAACTTTGAACGTTTCTTCAAGTGCAGTTGCAAAAACCATCAAGCACTATGATGAAACTGGCTCTCATGAGGACTGTCACAGGAAAGAATGACCCAGAGTTACCTCTGCTGCAGAGGATAAATTCATTAGAGTTAACTGCACCTCAGATTGCAGCCCAAATAAATGCTTCACAGAGTTCAAGTAACAGACACATCTCAACATCAACTGTTCCGAGGAGACTGCGTGAATCAGGCCTTCATGGTCGATTTGCTGCAAAGAAACCACTTCTAAAGGACACCAATAAGAAGAAGAGACTTGCTTGGGCCAAGAAACATGAGCAATGGACATTAGACAGGTGGAAATATGTATTTTGGTCTGATTAGTCCAAATTTGAGACTTTTGGTTCCAACCACCGTGTCTTTGTGAGACGCAGAGTAGGTGAACGGATGATCTCTGCATGTGTGGTTCCCACCGTGAAGCATGGAGGAGGAGGTGTGATGGTGCTTTGCTGGTGACACTGTCTGTGATTTATTTAGAATTCAAGGCACACTTAACCAGCATGGCTACCACAGCATTCTGCAGCGATACGCCATCCCATCTGGTTTGGGCTTAGTGGGACTATCATTTGTTTTTCAACAGGACAAGGACCCAACACACCTCCAGGCTGTGTAAAGGCTATTTGACCAAGAAGGAAAGTGATGGAGTGCTGCATCAGATGACCTGGCCTCCACAATCACCCGACCTCAACCCAATTGAGATGGTTTGGGATGAGTTGGACCCCAGAGTGAAGGAAAAGCAGCCAACAAGTGCTCAGCATATGTGGGAACTCCTTCAAGACTGTTGGAAAAGCATTCCAGGTGAAGCTGGTTTCAGAGAATGCAAAGCTGTCAAGGCAAAGGGTGGCTATTTTGAAGAATCTCAAATATAAAATATATTTTGATTTGTTTAACACTGTTTTGGTTACTACATGATTTCATGTGTTATTTCATAGTTTGTCTTCACTACTATTCTACAATGTAGAAAATAGTACAAATTAAGAAAACCCCATTTTTTTTCTCACCTTTATTTAACCAGGTAAGCCAGTTGAGAACAAGTTCTCATTTACAACTGCGACCTGGCCAAGATAAAGCAAAGCAGTGCGATAAAAACAACAACACAGAGTTACATATGGGGTAAACAAAACATAAAGTCAAAAATACAACAGAAAATATATATACAGTCTGTGCGAATGTAGTAAGTTATGGAGGTAAGGCAATAAATAGGCCATAGTGCAAAATAGTTACAATTTCGTATAATACTGGAATGATAGATGTGCAAAAGATGATGTGCAAATATCATCTTGTGCAAATATGATGATGTGCAAATATCATCATATTGTATTTTTAAATAGAGATACTGGGGTGCAAATTAGCAAAATAAATAACAATATGGGGATGAGGTAGTTGGGTGGGCTAATTTCAGAAAGGCTGTGTACAGGTGCAGTGATCTGTAAGCTGCTCTGACAACTGATGCTTAAAGTTAGTGAGGGAGATAAGAGTCTCCAGCTTCAGAGATTTTTGCAGTTCGTTCCAGTCATTGGCAGCAGAGAACTGGAAGGAATGGCGGCCAAAGGAGGTGTTGGCTTTGGGGATGACCAGTGAGATATACCTGCTGGAGCGCAGACTACGGGTGGCTGTTGCTATGGTGACCAGTGAGCTAAGATAAGACGGGGATTTGCCTAGCAGTCATTTATAGATGACCTGGAAGTGGGTTTGGCGACGAATATGAGTAGGTGTGTCCAAACTTTTAACTGGTACTGTAATTAGCTAACTAACTAGCAGACCCACCTCGTTGTCTCAAGACCCAGTAGCAAAGATGTCTGGTTGCTGTAAAGACGAAGATGAGACCGGTCTCCATCTCGTTTTGCTGATTTTCTGTGACACGTACTTTGCACTGATTTCCTCTATCAAATTAATCTTAAAGGTAGCTAATCTTACTTTTGATTTATTTGTACATTTACAAATAGGTCCTCTCTACATGCATTTCCTTGAATCCCACCAGCTCTCGTACGGTGGCCCAATGAGGACAAACTCAACAAAACTAAACGTCAAACGCCATGTGATAACGTCACAAATTCACTAGCGCGTTAAACTCTCGCGCCCCTCCCAGTGGGTGAACGCGGAAGATAGATACTTGCTCTGGCAATCAAATCTGAGTGGTCAAACATCCAAATTAAAGATGCAATCTCCGATTAGCTAACTAATATGCAACCATAATTTATTCAGAGACTGAACGTATGGAAAAAGCTGCAAGCTGCGAAGTAAAGGTATGTCGCGTGACGTATCCCCTCCATCTGTTTTGGAGGTTGTCAGTTTCATAGGCAAAGGAGTTGGCGCAGGCGCAGCACTAACAGCTGCTCTCTACCTGCTCCGCAGAGTGTGTTTAATAATGGCCTGGAAATCTGGAGGAGCCAACCACGCAGAGCTTGTAAACAACCTCCGCAGTAAGTTTACTCATTATATAAAGTGGATAATTAAGCGTTTTGGTTTAGATATCTAATGCGTAATAGAGAAATGCTGCTTTCTCCAAAGCATGGTGACCACAGTCAGGCTAGGCTATTAAAGCTAGCCGTTGGGACATTGCAAACTGCTGTGATCCTCTGTCGTCCGCTAATATCTGGCTGATGCTTGCAAATCTGCACCTGCTAGCACAGATAGACTGCTAACTTAGCTAGTTAACAATTGCATGGAAGCAGTAGTGGCTTCATTTAGTGCAAAGGCAGTCGTATTTATGGATCCTTACATATTTTATGTGCGTCATATTGTGCTTTTCCCCAACCTCGTTTAGCTACAGTAGCTAACTAGCTACCAGCCATAGCTATGTTGTTGAACCAAAAGAAACATGGCTAGTTAATTTGCTAGCTAGCCAGTTTATATGATAGTAATGTCAATTCGGGGTATTCCTGTGTGGTGATAGATGATTTGTCGGCTCAGATGGTTTGTTTATATAGCAGGTTAGGTTAATTAAATTGGCAGGTTAGGGGAATTTAACGTGGCAGGTTAGGAGAATTTAGGAGACTGAGGTTAAGGTTAGAAAAAAGGTTAGGCCTAGCTACAATGTCTATGGCGTCATCTGTATCATAACACCTGCATGAACGCCATCCCCCCCCCCAAGCAGTAGAACATTTGAGGTGCCGGTACTCGGCTCTGGTGAGCTCCTGCCCAAGTCAAGCACTGATTACGGCCACCACCTGTACTGGAGTGTCCCCGCCTCCCGCCTGTGTACCGGAGTCCTAGCTTAAATCTGGACTGATAAAAGTATAAAGAGGGGTTCCTGCAGATGCAGGAATGCCCACATGCAGGAACGCCAAGAATTGCTGGCCGCAATTGCACCCATCTCATGTGGTTAGCTAAAAAGCTTACCTGTGGGCGAGGTATCCATGCCTTGCATGTTGATCCACTGTACTGACTGTACCTACGTTACTGTAGGATAGGGAATGCCATCCTTTGGAGAGAGGCATGATCCAACCTTGTTGTTGTTATTATAACAGGCTACTGGTCACACACTCAGCACTCATAGGTAGAGCAATATTTAATCAAATTTGCAGTCACACCTGACACACCACTGTGGTAGTTAACCTTGCTGTGAAACAGCTAAGATTTGTTTTTGCAGTGTGTGTGTGTCTGTTTTTGTGTGGGCGCCATACAGTAAGGAAGTGGGAGGTGACATGAGAGAGATGATGAAAGAAAGATGGCAGCTTCTCGCTCCATTTCCCTTCCAGAATTAGCTGATTTAGATGTATCTAATAGATGAGATCTCTTAAATTCACCAATTTACTAAGCAGATACACTACATGACCAAAAGTATGTGGACACCTGCTCGTTGAAAATCTAATAAACTTGCTGCTATAAAAGCCTCCACTCTTCTGGGAAGGCTTTCCACTAGATGTTGAAACATTGCTGCGGGGACTTGCTTCCATTCAGCCACAAGAGCATTAGTGAGGTCAGGCACTGATGTTGGGCGATGAGGCCTAGCTCGCAGTCAGTGTTCCAATTCATCCCAAAGGTCTTCAATGGGGTTGAGGTCAGGGCTCTGTGCAGGTAATTCAAGAGCATTAGTGAGGTCAGGCACTGATGTTGGGCGATGAGGCCTGGCTCGCAGTCAGTGTTCCAATTCATCCCAAAGGTCTTCAATGGGGTTGAGGTCAGGGCTTTGTGCAGGTAATTCAAGTTCTTCCACACCGATCTTGACAAACCATTTTTGTATTGACCTTGCTTTGTGCACGGGGGCATTGTCATGCTGAAACAGGAAAGCGCCTTTCTCAAACTGTTGCCACAAAGTTGGAAGCACAGAATCGCCTAGAATATCATTGTATGCTGTAGCGTTAAGATTTCCCTTCACTTGAACTAAGGAGCCTGAACCATGAAAAACCTCCCCAGACCATTATTCCTCCTCCACCAAACGTTACAGTTGACACTATGCATTCGGGCAGGTAGAGTTCTGGCATCCGCCAAATCCAGATTAGTCCGTCGGACTGCCAGATGGTGAAGCGTGATTCATCACTCCAGAGAACGTGTTTCCACTGCTCCTGAGTCCAATGGCGGTGAGCTTTACACCACTTTAGCCGATGCTTGGCATTGCGCATGGTGATCTTAGGCTTGTGTGCGGCTGCTCGGCCATGGAAACCCATTTCAGGAAGCTCCCGACGAACAGTTCTTGTGCTTGCTGACATTGCTTCCAGAGGCAGTTTGGAACTCGTAGTGAGTGTTGCAACCAAGGATAGACGATTGTTACGCGCTTCAGCACTCGGCTGTCCCGTTCTGTGAGCTTGTGTGGCCTAACATTTCGCGGGTGAGCTGTTGTTGCTCCTAGACGTTTCCACTTCACAATAACAGCACTTACAGTTGACCGGGGCAGCTCTAGCAGGGCAGAAATTTGACAAACTGACTTGTTGGAAAGGTGGCATCCTATGATGGTGCCACATTGAACGTCACAGAGCTCTTCAGTAAGGCCATTCTACTGCCAAAGTTTGTCTATGGGGATTGCATGGGTCTGTGCTCGATTTTATACACTTGTCAGCAACTGGTGTGGCTGAAATAGCCGAATCCTCTAATTTGAAGGGGTGTCCACATACTTCTGTGTGTATATATAGTGTATTTTTGTAACGAAACTAGAAAGATCTCCTGAAGACTTGGTGCAGACTGCAGAGAGCAGCTTTTTGGCTTGCCTATGTCAGTGTCCAACATGAGTTGGCCAGCAGGCCTAGTTGGCTATATTTACACGGTCAGTGTCCAGCAAAGCACTGCAGCAGACACTTTGATACTAGGGCGGGTCTGAGCGTTTTGCCAAAAGCCCTTTGGGCTTGATTGTGCCTTGTTCACGTTAAAATGTAAATCGCATAGCTTTATTCATTGTGATACTCTACACTACAAGGACATAGGCCTATTTTATGTTGAGAACATCTTCTGCGAGATTATGGCCAGCTTTTAATATGCGCAGGCAGGGACAACACTGCATCCAGGGATACAAAAACATGGGGTAAAACGTGATGCTGAAGTGGATTAATATTTCATCCACCAAAGTTGAGTTCTGGGTCAATTTTAGCAACATCCATCCTCCCCCATTGTCATGTGCTTTCTGACCCATTTAGGCCTACTCACCAACTGCAAACCATAAATTAGCCTAAACCAGATTTAAACGGGTCAAACTCAGGATGCATGCTAATTCCTGAATTTCTATATTTTTTTGTATGCTCCTTAGGCCTTTCTCTGTGATCTATAAGGTTATTATCACACACCCTGGGTTCAGAACATCAAGTTATATAACTTGTGGACAACCCGACCAAATTCACATAGAAATGTGTGTTATAGATCTGTCATTCTCATTGAAAGCAAGTCTAACAAGTGGTAAATCTGTTCTATGTGTGCTATTTCTAGGTTTCCCTTAAGTTTCGGTTTTGTACACCAGCTTCAAACAGCTGACAATACAATATTTTCGGTTATGGAAAATATATTTCACAGCGGTTTAGATGGTACAATGATTCTCTACACTATACTTGCTTGTTTTGTCACATAAACTGAAATTAGGCAAACTTTTAGAATTTTTGCAACCAGGAAATGGTGGAGCGATTTCTACATAGTGCATCTTTAAGAGTTGGTCTTTCAAGTGCAATGTCTTTCAAACATTAAATATAGCTTACTAGCCTATTGTGTGCATATAGCTGCATTTGAACTTTTCCATTTGAAGCTGTTGGGAATGCAGATGTAATGTAGACTGGCGACCACTCAGCAATATAGTTGTTGGGGCCTGGGGTCTCGTGGAGAAATAAGAGGAGTAACAACTGGCTGTCGCTGGCACTTCCTACTGTTGGCAGCACCTGTCAGTGGAGCCTCCTGTGGAGGGATTACTTTACTCTGAAGACACTGCAGTGTTTGTGAGTGTGTTACTCTCCACAAATCCACTGTACCGTTAAACACCTCCTATCTTCCTCAGAAAATGGGATCATCAAGTCAGACAAGGTCTATGAAGTCATGTTGGCCACAGACCGAGGCCATTTCTCCAGAAACAACCCCTACATGGACTCTCCACAGGCAATAGGTGTGCTTATTTATTGTAGTACAATAAAGTATTGTAATGCAAATTCAATACATCAGCCATTGATGAATGTTAGAAACTAACTATCACTTTCTTTGACCCCAAAGGCTATCAAGCAACCATCAGTGCGCCACACATGGTAGGCTTAACTATGACTTTTAATATTTGTTTAAATTATTGCATATCTTATCAATTATTATAACTATCAAACATTGATCACCTTGCTCCTATAATGTATACCAACTGAGCTAATACCAGAGGTTTGCAAGTACAATGCTGACAGGTGGTGATGCAGTTGTATGTTGCCCTCTCCCCCAGCACGCCTATGCATTGGAGCTTCTGTACGATCAGCTGTATGATGGGGCCAAAGCTCTGGATGTGGGGTCTGGCAGTGGAATCCTCTCTGCGTGCTTTGCACGAATGGTGAGCTATATTATGATGAAGGGTAAACACATAATATAGGTAATGTATTTTGGTGGTAGGGTTGGGGTACATTTTCCATTTCAGGTTTTGGGGATATTTTGGGTTCTGTGTAATGTTTGATGGCACAGACTTGTATACCTTCCTAATTTATTGTCTTTAACAGGTAGGTCCCAAAGGGAAGGTGATAGGAATTGATCACATCAAGGAACTGGTAGACGATTCTATAACCAATGTAAAGAAAGATGACCCCAGCTTGATAACATTGGGTAGAATCAAACTAATAGGTAAGTCTGAAAAGCAGCAAAGCAAGATGGATTTTTAAAAAAAGTTCAATTTGGTGACTTGTATTATTGGGTTATGAAAATGTCTTGTACAAAATATACAGTTCAAATATAAAATATAAGCTTAAAATAGGGTTGCTGACTGTCAAGTAAGGAATGTTTCAAAGTAGTCTAATGGATGTGTTGACTCAAAGTCACTCCTTGGGATAGGAACACAAAGCAGCTCAGTTGACGTGGGTGCAGCACTGTCTGCTGAATTATTGAAAGGAGAGTGCCTTCTTTTGCCTGTACTGCAGTCAACCAACATCAGTGTCAGAGGCCAGAGACGAGGTCGAGGTGGCATCGCACAGCTCTGATGTGTGCCCTGGCACTCTGCCTCAGTGTGGCCTGCTTGACGGGTATAAGGCTGGCACTGCGTAGCGGACTGGCAGCGTGTGAGTGACAGCTGCTGCCTGTTTGTTACGTTACAGTGGGAGACGGGCGGATGGGCCATCCAGAGGAGGCGCCTTACGATGCCATTCACGTGGGCGCGGCAGCACCCAACGTGCCACAAGCAGTAAGTTCAAATGAAGGCATCAAAGGGTCCCAGTTAATAGGAGTCACATCGCCTCAATCCACCATCATTCTTAGGAATGCTGTGGTCAGAGTAGAGATCAAAACCAGCACTGACATTAACTCTGTGTACCCTGGTCTATTCAGGTGTAACTACACTGTAGCATATTTTGCTGCTAGGCTAGCCATTGCATTGTTAATGTGAACAGCTTGTCTTAGAAGACTAGTCTAGTCTGATGGGGTGGAGAACTGGGAATGTTTGGACCGGGGGGGGGGGGGGGGGTTGTTATCTGGTTCTGACCCAGTGAGTCTCCTCTCCTTCTGTCCTCTCCTCCCTCAGCTCCTGGACCAGCTGAAGCCAGGCGGCAGGCTGATTCTGCCCGTGGGGCCGGCCGGAGGGAACCAGATGCTGGAACAGTACGACAAGCTGGAGGACGGCAGCACCAAGATGAAGCCCCTGATGGGGGTGATTTACGTGCCTTTAACAGACAAAGAGAAGCAGTGGTCCAGGTGGAAGTGACTTCTTACTCCCTCTCCCCCCTCTCTCCTTCACACAATGGGCAAAGGTGAAATGGTGTAGCCTGGAGCAGATAATGGATCCCAAGGGGCTGTGTTTGCTGCTTGTCATCATTAATTGCTTCATCCATACCATGTCAACTGGCTGCACGTTTTCTTACTTTTAATCCCGTAAACTAGTATGCTATTTTAGAGCTGTTCAGCTAAGCAAGTGTGCAGTGAAGCAAACAATCAAGTGTGGATTCTGTTTGGTATTATAAATTGTTTTCTTTGGAGTTGAAATGTCATGTCAATAATGTTTAAAGTGTTTGATGGTTGGCATTTGGCTGTGATACTTCTGGCATGAGATCTTATCAATTTGATCTTATCAATTTGGCTGCATAATATCCTATTTCTTCATTGGTTAAATCTGAAGAGATGGAGAAATCCAATAACCATAGGGATATTTGGATTTTGCACATGGTGTGGGGCTTTCTATAGCAGATTGTGCATGGGAGTGTCTAACTGACCTTCAGTTGCATGACAAGAGGGTGTTGATATGATTTGACATAGTATATTTAATCTTAATGTCCATCTAATAATCTCTTGCCTATTATTTCTCACAGGGATGAACTCTGAAGCGACAGACTGTCCATATTCCACATGTCAGTGTGAGGCTGGAGGAGACTACTTTGGCTTCCAACAACAGCCATTGGAATTTTTTCAAAACATAACAAACCATGGTGATTGGTTTTCTTTATCATGCTGAGGAATAACCCCTGATTTTGGGAATAAGACTGTTAGAGATTTAACAGAAGAAAGTGTTGGGGTTATTATTTTTTCCAGGTCTGCATTGTTTTGGGTTGTGAATTTTCCTTTTGATTTTCTGCAGGATTTTGAGCTAGTTTTAATTTTGGTTACACCTGTGAGTTGCAATCAACCATTTCAACAATAATGCATTTCAGCTCCATCAAAGCTGAGTGTAAAGAGGTTGCCAGACTGTTCTGATAAGGAAAGCCGGAGTTGATGAGATTATTCACCCACTTGCTGTAGATTGCACCTGAAGATCTGACTGTAGATATCTTTACTGCTCTGCTAACATATATCAGCCACCCCCCCCCCCCCCCCCCCCACAGTATTTAAACAGATGCACATGTAGGCTGCACAAATGGCCGCTCTATCCCACATCCAGTTGTTTGATATGCAGCACATGACACTAGATTTACTCATACACTCTACAACAAGAGTGGAACACATACACATGTGAACATGGTTTCCATGACAACATCGTGTGCAGGCTTTACTGATGACCAACACTAAATTAAATAACCGGTGCTTTGCCAAAATAAACCTCAATGTAAAGCAAATGAATGTCTGTTGTTTTTTACACATGGAGTCGAAAAGCACATTTATTTTGGATGATCCATGGCTTTCACAATTTCTGGAATGGCAAAAATGAAAATAAAGAGATGCTTATGTTTTTGTCTCCCTTTGTGCTATGGAGCGTTTATTCCTAAAAGCTGTATATGCTGCTGAAGACAGCACCTACTCCCATTCGTCCTTACCACTCTAAAAACCTCTGGAAGAGCAGGAAGAATCCACACTATATTCTGATTGCATTCCCACTCAAAATACTCTGAACACTTAAGCACAGAATCACAAAATATATATTGATCAAGAGTTAACTTGACTATTTCACACAAACTGTATGCATACAGACGTTTGAGATACATCTATACATCAACATTTTGAAACTACATAGCTAGACGATACAGAAAACCAACATACCACATTGCAATATCAGATAGCCTAGAATGCTTGATATGGGTGTTTCTGGAATTACTTGCTGTTATAACAAAATAATAATTTTCAGTAATGATTGTAGTTTTGGAATTTACAATAAGTTACATAGTTTGCTATCCCCATATTTCAAACGAGTCTGGTACAAAATAAAACTCTATCCCAAGCCTAACAGATATACAGCATCATGGCACAAATAGCACAACAGTGCCACTCAGTGGCAGAAGTATTACGTAAGGGATAAAGTACTATATATCTCCAACGAAAATATACATCCATAATCCATTAAATTTAAATGTTGTACTATAAAAAAATAACTTTGAGGGTGAAAGAGAAATAATGAAAGAGCAGACAAGCATCAGTTTTCACATCAAGCGAGTATACAAAAGTGGCAAAAACATGTATTCCCTGTTAAAAGGTGGGTTTGATTTAGCTCAAACATGACCCTGTGCTGGGTGGGTAGAGCTTGCACTTTTGGGACCAATCCAATGGGACAATTCCAAAGAGTGATCTCTGCCTACCTAGCATGGCGAGTTAGATAAATCAAGTGCACCTAAAGAAGGTGTACACTGTCATGATATAGAACATTTGATAGGCTGTTATCATGAAGACTCCTCCTGGCTAACAGTTGACTGACAGTTTTGGTGTTTATAATAATAATAATAATAATATGCCATTTAGCAGACGCTTTTATCCAAAGCGACTTACAGTCGTGCGTGCATACATTTTTGTGTATGGGTGGTCCCGGGGATCGAACCCACTACCTTGGCGTTACAAGCGCCGTGCTCTACCAGCTGAGCTACAGAGGACCACTTTATGCATGAGGGTCTTTTAGTGCAGAGGATGCATCCAATAGAAATAGAAGTGCCATGCACAGACCTTTTGGGAGGCAGGTGCTCAAACTAAAAAAAGGGCACCCAAAAAAAGAAGATTCTGCAACTGCGGTCACAGACTCATTGAGCAATTATGACTTTAATGATTTAGTTACATAGAAGCAATAGATGGCCACATCTTAATGGCTAATTAAATGACACATATTTAATGTAAATGTAAAGATGACATGCGGGCAGTGGATTCAGAACAACAGCGACAAAAACTGTATGGAAAAAAAACAAAAACTTTTTGTTTGTTTTGTTTACAAAAGGGCACTTCAGAGACTGGAAGGGCAAAGGGCATGTTCTCTGCACAGGTAGAGCCCTATCTGTGCACATGCCTGCTATTCTGCTACAGGTACATGCCATTGATGAGATAATCAGACTCCTCTGTGGTGAGGGGGCGGGCCTTCTTCAGCTTGTGACGGACCAACCGCAGACGACAGCCAATCATAAGCAGCAACAGAGCCGTGATGATCAGGCCCAGAACCAATGGCAGGATTGCACCTGCAGGGGAGACGAGAGAGGTAAAGGCATTGTCACAGGCACTGTCATATACTATCTTCAATTCTCCATGTATAACCTAATAGTACAGCGTTATTGTAGCTAAGTTGGTAAGGATGTTGAACAGACCTGACTCAGGCCCTGGGTGTCCTCCCACTACTGAATGTGGTTTGGATATTGGGAACATGTCACTCTCTGATAGTGGTTTGGTCTCTGGCCACTTCATGGTCACTTTAGGGGTCTCTGCTGTAAATGTAAATACACTGGTTAAGACTGAAACAGGTGAGAGATTGTACTCAGCTCATTAATGATCATGTTCAGGAGTAATAATCCTAAAATAATTTAATTTACCCGTCTCTGTGTGTTTGGTGGTGGGGGGAGGTGCCATGGTCATTTGCTTGATAGCAGGACCTGAATTATTTGTTCCCATTATTCATTTGCATAATTGTATTCCTACATTATGTACACCTCATTCAATATGTAATGAGAATGCACATCAGGATCCAGATAATAATTCTGAAAAACAAAGAAAATGTAATCTCCTAGAAAAATCCTACCTGTTATTTCTATACATTCATTGACACAGTCTGTCTGCTGCAGGAAGTTGTTATGGTTGCCCTTGCAGCCTCCGTAGAGGAAGTGCTTGCACTCTTCAGCCACAGGGTCATAGAACCAGCGTGGGAAGATGCCCTTACATGGCCCCACAGCAGGCGGCGCTGCACAGGGCTCTGCTGGGACAAAGAGAGAACAGAGAGGGAGAGATTAGGTCAGGTGGAACAGAGAGAAAGCAGAGAGTGAGAGAGAGAGATTTGGTCAGGTGGGACAGAAAGAGAACAGAGAGAGGGAGGGAGAAATTTGGTCAGGTGCAACAGAGAGAGAGAGAGAGAGAGAGAGCAAAGAGAGCGAGGGAGAGATTTGGTCAGGTGCGACAGAGAGAAGGAAGGAGAGATTTGGTCAGGTGGTCTCAGTCTGTGATAAGGTAACATGGGAAGTACCCTGCCTCATCCATCTCAGGCTAGCCTAACTCAGGGATCAGGTGGCAGGGAACAGAGGAGTGCTTTGTTCCAGCGCTGAGGGGGGACATGGGTATAAATGGCCCCTGTGAGGATCACTCCCCGTCCCAGGACTGCACTCCAATCCCAGCCCTGCTCGTCTCACAGAGTGCCCCTGTGGGCTGTATTCTGCCTCGCTCCACAGTTTCCAGATCAGCTCTATGGCTCAATGGCTGCCTGCAGGGGTTCAATCTGTCTCTGTCTGCTCTTACTAGCTAACACACAAAAGCCTTCCGCTCTCTGCTAGCACAGACAAAACTCTGGCCAACCAGAAAAAAATGTGCAGCCATACCAAATGGATTGAATTCCTTCATAGCTGACCAAAACCTTTAATCTATAGTTTAACTATTACAGGTTTTTGTCCAAAGCTGTTAATATGGTGTTTTGATTCATGTGCATTAAAATTGCCTACTGGTTTATTGCTAGGTAGTAACATAGCTAGGTAATAGTTACACAATGACAGTACCTTGACTGACAGGGCTCTCCTGTTCACTGTGACTTGGCTGTGGCAGGACTGGGGGCACTGCTTTGCTCCTGTCATTGGACAGTGGGGTCTGTGGGGCTTGTGGAGCATGTGGTGGTGGGGGTCTGGCCTCCTCCATGGTCTTCTGTGGCCTACCCTGTGCCATGGAGTGGTCCTCAGTCTCCTCTGGCTGGGCCACATGCCTGTGTGGGCTGGCACCTGCAGGGTGGGTCACCGACTTCCTGTTCCCATCAACTGTAGAAAGGACATAGAGGACAGGGCAGGGTCATCCTGGGCTCTCGGACACAGTGCAAACAGACATTCACCTGCTCATCATTCATTTACTGCAGCCCTCCTTGCTCTGATATTCCAGACTGAACTGCATGCATACAACTCCATCCTAGTACACTCAAGTCTAAAACTACACCCCATCCTGGTACAATAAAGTCTAAAACTACACTCCATCCTGGTACTATCAAGTCTAAAACTACACCCCATCCTGGTACAATAAAGTCTAAAACTACAATCCAACCTAGTTATTTTTTTATTTTTTATTTAACCTTTATTTAACCAGGTAAGCCAGTTGAGAACAAGTTCTCATTTACAACTGCGACCTGGCCAAGATAAAAACAACAACAACACAGAGTTACACATGGGATAAAACAAAACATACAGTCAATAACACAATAGAAAATATATATACAGTGTGTGCAAATGTAGTAAGTTATGGAGGTAAGGCAATAAATAGGCCATAGTGCAAAATAATTACAATTGAGTATTAACACTGGAGTGATAGATGTGCAGAAGAAGATGTGCAAATACAGATACTGGGGTGCAAATGAGCAAAATAAATGCAGTTTGTTCCAGTCCTTAGCAGCAGAGAACTGGAAGAAATGGTGGCCAAAGAAGGTGTTGGCTTTGGGGATGACCAGTGAGATATACCTGCTGGAGCGCAGACTACGAGTGGGTGTTGCTATGGTGACCAGTGAGCTAAGATAAGGCGGGGATTTTCCTAGCAGTGATTTATAGATGACCTGGAGCCAGTGGGTTTGGCGACGAACATGTATTGAGGGCCAGTCAACGAGCGCGTACAGGTCACAATGGTGGTAGTATATGGGGCTTTGGTGACAAAACGGATGGCACTGTGATCGACTACATCCAATTTGCTGAGTAGAGTGTTGGAGGCTATTTTGTTAATGACATCGCTGAAGTCAAGGATCGGTAGGATAGTCAGTTTTACGAGGGCATGTTTGGCAGCATGAGTGAAGGAGACTTTGTTGCAAAATAGGAAGCCGATTCTACATTTAACTTTGGATTGGAGATGCTTAATGTGAGTCTGGAAGGAGACTTTACAGTCTAACCAGACACCTAGGTATTTGTAGTTGTCCAGATATTCTAAGTCAGACCCGCCGAGAGTAGTGATTCTAGTCGGGCAGGCGGGTGCAAGCAGCATTCGATTGAAGAGCATGCATTTAGTTTTACTAGCGTTTAAGAGCAGTCGGAGGCTACGGAAGGAGTGTTGTATGGCATTGAAGCTCGTTTGGAGGTTTGTTAACACAGTGTCCAATGAAGGGCCAGATGTATACAAAATGGTGTCGTCTGCGTAGAGGTGGATCTGAGAGTCACCAGCAGCAAGAGCGACATCATTGATATACACAGGGAATAGAGTCGGCCCGAGAATTGAACCCTGTGGCACCCCCATAGAGACTGCCAGAGGTCCAGACAACAGGCCCTCCGATTTGACACATTGAACTCTATCTGAGAAGTAGTTGGTGAACCAGGCGAGGCAGTCATTTGAGAAACCAAGGCTATTTAGTCTGCCAATAAGAATGTGGTGATTGACAGAGTCGAAAGCCTTGGATAGTACCATCAAGTCTAAAACTACACTCCATCCTTGTACAATAAAGTCTAAAACTACACACCATTCTGGTACAATAAAGTCTAAAACTACACACCATCCTGGTACAATAAAGTCTAAAACTACACACCATCCTGGTACAATAAAGTCTAAAACTACACATCATCCTGGTACAATAAAGTCTAAAACTACACATCATCCTGGTACAATAAAGTCTAAAACTACACACCATCCTGGTACAATAAAGTATAAAACTACACATCATCCTGGTACAATAAAGTCTAAAACTACACACCATCCTGGTACAATAAAGTCTAAAACTACACACCATCCTGGTACAATAAAGTCTAAAACTACACACCATCCTGGTACAATAAAGTCTAAAACTACACACCATCCTGGTACAATAAAGTCTAAAACTACACACCATCCTGGTACAATAAAGTCTAAAACTACACACCATCCTGGTACAATAAAGTCTAAAACTACACATCATCCTGGTACAATAAAGTCTAAAACTACACACCATCCTGGTACAATAAAGTCTAAAACTACACATCATCCTGGTACAATAAAGTCCACACAGGAAACCTACAGCCCTCTAGGTTATTATATTACAATATGATCAACATTTTAATTATTTCACCTTTATTTTGACAGGGAAGTCAATCATTTCCAGGAGCTACTGCCTCCACGTGGCTGACAGTGTGAGGAGGACAGACTGAGTGACTTACAGCTCTGGCAGAAATCCTCGTCCGAACGGTCTGGACACTGCTGCTTCCCATCGCAGGCGTAGGTGATGTCAATACAGCAGCCATCGTCACACATGAACTGGTAGCGTGAGCAGCTACCTGTGCACACTGGGGAAGAGGAGACACAAACACCTCTGTTTTACTCTCTGGTGACAATGTAGTTCAGTGCCATATCTACACACTCACAAATGGGTGATGAAGTGCTACTATTGGCCACCACCACCACGGCACCCAATGACAGTCCCAGGTATACTTGACAGCCTTTCTATGGATGTTAAACTGCTGTTCTGTGTAATTGGTCACTCATTTTATGTTTGTTGGAATTCAGGATTGGACAGGAGAAATGTATAGTAGTAGTACATTGTACCCATTATGTTGCTGTAATATCTGTCTTTGAGGATATTCATCACTTACAGGTTTAGAAAAGTACCTTCATATTCCAGGTACATAAACAATCCCCACCCTCTTCCTATGTTTATTACTCTAGATGGGGGCTAGACTAGGATGATTTAAGGCATATCTCATCCATGGCCCCTCTATGCAGTGAATATATTAAAATGCCTGATCATCTGAATGGCTATCAGGCAGCCAGCCATTTGACTATGGCAGTACTGCTTAATTTATTAGAGTACTAAATACCAGGCTCTGTTTCATTAAGCGATGGATTCAATCCTTGGAAGCATGGATTCATGTAAGACATTTGTCTAGAGTGGAAATGGTCTTATATGAGGAACAGGACCACAGAGAAGCACAAAGAAATGTTACCACAACAACACAATATTGCTATTAATGTTAGTCACAGAATAGCGAGAAATTAGGCAAGATCCACTAATGAATGATAGATGAACATCAGGCTGGTAACTCTCAGTGATAGAGGAGATTGAAGTGTTTTTCACCTTCAGCTTGGCGTTCTGGAGCCAGCACAGTCACAGTGACATTGTCGGTGCTCTTCTGTCCCGCGGTGTCGGTGACAGTCATCTGGAAGGTATAGACACCCTCCTGTAGACCACTGATCTTCAGTAACCCTGGATGGGTCACCTGCAGACAGGCGCAAATAACATTTTAGAGAGAAAATAGTACAGAAGAAAACTGTACTGAAGATTTTATGCCATGAACAAAGCCACGTTCATTAAAAGAGTCAAGAGGGATTTCTTGTAAAAACTCGCTACTGGTATATCACATCAACTGCTCAGCGGCGTCACAGGGAGAGACAGGGTAGCCTACAATATGGGCTCTTGTCCTTGGGGCAGGTTGGGTGATAATAGCCTTTTATCTGTGTCTGTGCAGCAGGGCATTATGGAGCTCTGGCCACACCATGCAAACCACCATGTTGACTTAACTCACTACACACAAATGCATCAGGCAAGATGCTTACTGTGTCTGCACTCGAAATTCGACCTGTTGTCTATGGCAAACACAGGATCCATTCTAACTGAAGTATATACCACATTCTATGTATGGCATTATAGCAACTAGACAACTGTGAGTCCCAGATCTACTATACCAAATGCCTTTCTACAGTGTTATGACATTCAAGATTACTCACAGAATAAATAACCAAAGCAAAAACAAAGTTTAAATGCGGAAGAATGACACCTGTTTCAGTGTTACCTTCATGTTGATGTCTTGGTCGCCCTTCACCAGGGCCCATTCGTAACGAGTGACTCCATGGTCGTCCACACTGTCCCGGCCATCCACTACGGCCCAGTCAGTGGGCAGCTGGATGACCACATCCTGGCCGGCATCACTGCGGGGCGGCTCGTCCATGTCTGAAAACAACCCAGAGCAGAGCTAAGCCACTGGACACAGACGTCAGTTCAATGTCTAGTTTTGATTTACATTTACATTTAGTTGAGTTGTCAGCTAACCTGTATTCAACATGAAATCAACAAAACATTTCACCATGTCATTGGATTTAGTATAAAAGTTGGGTGAAAAAATATGAAATGCCTTTACATTGATTACTTTTTGCAAATTCAGTGAGAAACTTGTCAAACGCACCTGGACTCACTAACTTAGATTACATCTAATTTTAGAAGCAGGGGGCAAATAACAAATGATTAACCTAAGCTAAACACCAGTCTGATAATTGTTAGAGGTTGTGGAACAGAATTACCAGCAACCAGTTATTATGTATGCATGCTTTATCATAAGCAATAGCAACATATTATATACTTTTGTGGTTTAGACACAAACACTTGCATGTATGTATATTGTATGTTATAATTTATAATCCCATAGAAATAAAAGCAGATGCAGAACCTCACCTGGCGTGCCATCTTCAACACTAGGATTTTCCTCAGGTCTCCTCATTTTGTTCCCACCTCCAGTGCCACTGGAAGAGGTGAGGTGTCCTGTTGTATTGTGTGCCCGGCTGTAGGTGCTGAACCCTGCCTGTGCTGCGAATGAACAGACGTTTTTATTTCTATAACTGCAGTTGACCAAATAGCAGCTGAGTCCGTCGTCCGACTGTCTCAGGTCTTCCTGGACCACCGCCACGGTGCAGTGGGGGTCTGCGCAGCAGGCATGGAGACAGTCTTTCCAACTGTACACCTGGTCAGGAGCCGAGAGAAAGGTGGCCCCCTGCTCTATTGAGGCCCTCGCTCGGATGATGTGTTCCTCTACGGCGTTGAAGTAACCCAGGCAGACATCAACCACCTCCTCCTCCTCCCTGGTATACGTCTGGTCCTGTTGGAGCTGCTTGCGGAATTCTCCTAAGAGCTCCTCCACCCCCGATATTTTAGATTTTAAATCCGATATTTGAGAGGACCGGGTGTGAATGCTAGTCACCACACAGAACAGCAGCATACACACAATAAATCGATGCTGAGCCAAAGCCCTTATGTTTACGCAGTTAGACGGCATCCTTCTCGGATATTTTCTGACGCATGAGGAGGCCCTGCTTTATTTCCACACCAGAAACCTATAACGCAAAAGAAAAACAAAAATATTGTCTCATATCCAATAATCTCGAGTCGCTGGAGAGCACTTTTGCTTGCTTCTTTTTGCAATGCTAAAGGCCTTCTGTAGGTATCGCAGGACATCAACATCCAGCCAGTGATTGGAGGCGCACTGAAATCATTGACGTCACGGATGATGTTTCATATTCAGTCTCTTCAGCATCTGTGCTATCCGGAATCCTTGGGACGTCCCTACCCCAATGAAGTTGAAATGTAAAATGGTTAAGGTTAGTTAAGGGTTATGGTTAGGGTAGGGTATAAAGTTAGGGTTCGAGTTTAGGGTATGGACGTCCAACGTATCCCATATAGCACTGACCGTTTCTGCAGCGCGCCTGTCAGTTTCGGTTTTATGCAACTCCCTGATAGAGATATACTGTATGTCTGCAAGATTAAGAACTGTAGATTTACTGAATATTATTAGGGTACTAGACCTGCATTTCGAAATCATAGTCCTATGGCACATTATTTGTGTTCAGTTGTGTGAATATAATGTCCATAATAAACATTATTTCAGTTTACACTTTATTTCACAGTTAAGATGAAGACGATTTTTTGTTACACAACAATATGTTATTGCACAAATAATGTAATCAATCTATCATGAATATTAAACAAAACGGGCATATTTGAGCAAAACTTCATTTATGTATTTCTGACATAAATATTTTAAATAAAAGAGGTTGGTGGTATAACAATATGATCATATTGTTTTCAGTTCCGATTTTCATTCAAACATATATCTTTTATTTAGAGAATTAGCATTTTTAAAGGGGCAATCTGCAGTTGCTATATACATTTTTGGAGTTGTGAATGAATGATATGTACAGTGCCTTGCAAAAGTATTCATCCCTCTTGGCGTTTTTCCTATTTTGTTGCATTACAACCTGTAATTTAAATGGATTTCTGTTTGGATTTCATGTAATGGACATACACAAAATAGTCCAAATTGGTGAAGTGAAATGAAAAAAACTACTTGTTTAAAAGAATTCTAAAAAATAAATAACAGAAAAGTGGTGCATGCATATCTATTCACCCCCTTTGCTATGAAGCAGCTAAATAAGATCTGGTGCAACCAATTACCTTCAGAAGTCACATAATTAGTAAAATAAAGTCCACCTGTGTGCAATCTAAGTGTCACATGATCGGTCACATGATCTCAGTATATATATACACACCTGTTCTGAAAGGCCCCAGAGTCTGCAACACCACTAAGCAAGGGGCACCACCAAGCAACGGCAGGTCAGGGACAAAGTTGTGGAGAAGTACAGATCAGGTTTGGGTTATAAAAAAATATCAGAAACTTTGAACATCCCACGGAGCACCACTAAATCCATTATTAAAAAATTGAAAGAATATGGGACCACAACAAACCTGCCAAGAGAGGGCCGCCCACCAAAACTCACAGACCAGGCAGGAGGGTATTAATCAGAGAGGCAACAAAGAGACCAAAGATAACCCTGAAGGAGCTGCAAAACTCCACAGCGGAGATTGGAGTATCTGTCCATAGGACCACTTTAAGCCGTACACTCCACAGAGCTGGGCTTTACAGAAGAGTGGCCAGAAAATAGCCATTGCTTAAAGAAAAAATAAGCAAACACGTTTGGTGTTCGCCAAAAGGCATGTGGGAGACTCCCCAAACATATGGAAGAAGGTACTCTGGTCAAATGAGACTAAAATTGAGCTTTTTGGCCATCAAGGAAACGCTATGTCTGGTCAAACCCAACACCTCTCATCACCCCGAGAACACCATCCCCACAGTGAAGCATGGTTGCGGCAGCATCATGCTGTGGGATGTTTATCATCGGCAGGGACTGGGAAACTGGTCAGAATTGAAGGATGGCGCTAAATACAGGGAAATTCTTGAGGGAAACCTGTTTCAGTCTTCCAGAGATTTGATTTGATAGTTATGCACGCTCAAGTTCAGTTTTTTGTCTTATTTCTTGTTTGTTTCACAAAAAATATTTTGCATCTTCAAAGTGGTAGGCATGTTGTGTAAATCAAATGATACAAACCCCCCCAAAATCAATTTTAATTCCAGGTTGTAAGGCAACAAAATAGGAAAAATGTCAAGGGGGGTGAATACTTTCGCAAGCCACTGTATCCATTGATTCTTTAAGAATATAACTTATAAATGCCAGGGGCAGGGAGACCACTTTGTTATTGTTTCAACTGCTGATTGCTGCTTTAAAGATCATATAATATACAAATGAAGGCAGGCTGAAACTCTATAATTCTGCAAATGTACAACAAAAATACATCTTTCATAGAGTAAAATATCAATTGGGTCATCTGTTTTTTCCTTTCAAATATCATACAAAATCGGACATGTGGAAGTATAATGCGTAGGTTAGATAATTTTGTTCCATAATATCTATAAAATTACCCAACGCAACTTTGTGTTAAACATTAGATAGGACATCTATGTTTTTGTAAATTGTTTAACTAAAAATAGTAATTAAGTATATTTACATAATTTCCCCCAAAATCACACACAAAAAATCTTACAATTACGTAAATTATGTTAAATAATTACTTGAACAAATGAAGTCAAGAGTTTTGATGATTCAAAGGCTTCACAGACAGTTAAAGAAAAAGGTACAAAAGGGCAGGCATGCAGTGACGACCTTAAGAGTAGGCAATATGCATAAAAACACATTTAGATAAAGTAGTGATAAGAAGCCACTGACAATAACAATGTTGTTTATCAACATAATGTACAGCAGCTCAAACACATCAGTTAACATTGTATTTTATCTCTCAGGCTTGGTTTAGAAAATGGTCAGTCGCATGTGTTGTTAACAAATGATAGTACGGAGAAAATTCTACAACCAAATAACATTTAAAAGATTAAACACATTCTCAGATATGTATAGGTAATGTTCCACTGTTTGCCCTGTGAATCTTGGAGCACCAGCTTAAAACATGTCATAACTGTTGAACAATATAAAACCAGTGGTGCTTATTTACAATGAACAAAAGTACAAATGCAACATGTAAAGTATTGGGTCCCATGTTTCAAGAGCTGAAATAAAAGATCCCCGAATTTTCAATATGCACTCAAAGCTTATTTCTCTCAAATTTTGTGCACAAATTTGACAAGACAAGATAATCCATTTTCCTGACAGCTGTGGCATAATAGGAAGCTGATTAAACAGCATGATCATTACCCAAATGCACCTTGTGCTGGGGACAATAAAAGGCCTCTCTAAAATGTGCAGTTTTGTCACACAACACAATGCCACAGATGTCTCAAGTTGAGGGAGCGTGCAATTGGCATGCTGACTGTAGGAATGTCCACCAGAGCTGTTGGCAGATAATTTAATGTTCATTTATCTACCATAAGCCGCCTCCAACGTCGTTTTAGATAATTTGGCAGGACGTCCAAGCAGCCTGACAACCGCAGACCATGTGTATGACGGTCGTGTGGGCGAGCGGTTTGCTGATGTCAACATTGTGAACAGAGTGCCCCATGGTGGCATTATGGTATGGGCAGGCATAAACTCCGGATAACAAACACAATAGCATTTTATCGATTGGCAATTTGAATGCACAAAAATAGCGCGATAGATTAGGGCCTAATTAATTTATTTCAATTGACTTATTTCTTCATATGAACTGTAACTCAGTAAAATCTTTGAAATTGTTTATATTTTTGTTCAGTATACTTTTACATGGAAAAGTAAACCCATTTGAAAATAGTAATTCCCAAAAAACATTTCCATAACCCAACAAGGTCTCTCTCACACTCACAGAGAGAGTTCTACAACTCGTGTCATACATGATCAACTACACTGGAGTCTTGGTCTAATAAATACTGAGATTAAAGTGCAGTGGTAAGAGTTGAGGAGAATACTCAGTTGTTGTTGTTGTGGTAAAGTTCCTGTACTGTAGCAGTGGCTAACGCCACACAAAGGCTCCTCACGCTGGCTTCTCTCTGTAGTCTGTGATGGCCTTCCATAGCTTACACAGGATTCCACCTCTGAGGAGGAAAACATGAGAAAGATAAAGACAGACTACTATCACAACGTACGATATTACAGGGTTTCAATCAGGTCATTGACATGGCTGGGTATTTGACAGTGTAGGAGAGAATACTGTATGTTATATACCTTAATCTCAAACTCTTCAGGTCATCTCTCGTCACATAGTGGAGAAGGTCATCCAACGTGTAATCCTCGGTCAAAATCTACAAAATGGAAGATGGATCATGGGTAAAATCATTGGTACATGAAATAGATTAAGCTCGTGGCCAATAGATGGTGCTCAACTGTGTATCTGTTATAAAGGCTTTACATTTTACATTTACATTTTAGTCATTTAGCAGACGCTCTTATCCAGAGCGACTTACTTTACACATACAGTATGCATATAGCCTACTATGCAATAATCAATCAAATATAAATCAAGCCATTAGTTTTAACAGCTTTACAACAACGCACACTGTAGTATAGTGCGAGAGGATTACGTGGGAGTGAGTTTGTTTACATAATGTACCCATTTAAAACAGATGTGGCCGGGGGAGGGGAACTGCCTCAGGACCTACCCTATCCATGGCGTCATCGTCAGCTCCATGGAGTTTCAGCCACTTGATAAGCTCTGGGTCCCCATGGTTCATAGTGGACTTGCTCCTTGGGCTCACTGATAATGTAGGCATATCTGTCACACACAAAAGTACATGTCCAACTATTAAAGGGGCAATCTGCAGTTGCTACATACATTTCAAATGTAATATTTATGATATGTACCCATTTAATCTTAACTTATAAATGCCTCATAAGCTTAGTTCAACTGTCGTACTACATCATAACCCAAAATAAAAGCTTGTTTTACTCCAATGTTTGTAAACAAATTGAATGTAAACAAACACTGTATAGCCTCAAAACATGGTTAAACTATAATTTTTATATCATGGATGGTCAGTGCTTGCATCCATAGCTCTGTCTATGAATTTGAGAGTGGATACATTTCTCCAGCCTTTTAACCAAAACAGTGGCGGGAAGTTCAATTTGTTATTGTTTCTACTGCGGATAGCCCCTTTAACATCAACCATGTATCATCCATATAACCAATCATATTAGACATAGCAAAGAATATGCATTGTCTATTTCCTGATGCATCTGTTGTACAAATATTTCCATTAGTTCTTTAAAAAGCAGTCTTTTTAATGCTCTTGTCCGTAGTGTATGTTGGGAGGTGTGTAGTGTTTGTTGGGATTTGTGTAGTGTTTGTTGGGAGGTGTGTAGTGTTTGTTGGGAGGTGTGTAGTGTTTGTTGGGAGGTGTGTAGTGTTTGTTGGGAGGTGTGTAGTGTTTGTTGGGAGGTGTGTAGTGTTTGTTGGGAGGTGTGTAGTGTATGTTGAGATGTGCTCACAGATGTGCTCTGAGCAGATCCTCAGTAGTTTGATCCCATCTTCCCTCTCGTCCAGGACCTGCTGGAGGATGGCCTGGTACTCTCTCTCCCTCTCCAGCAACTGCTCCATCAGCCTGGGGCGACACAGCAGGGAGAGAGGAGGGGGGGGGGGGACATCGGGTCATTCAATGAGGTAGCACAATACTACTAGACATGGCTACTGCAGGCACAACGATAGCTATGATGAAAGTAAACACATTTTCTCCTCTGTGTTGGGGTCTTTCTACATAACAGAATTCACATTGGTGAGGAAACAATGTGAAGCTACAGGCAATATCTGTTACTAATTCATCACAGATGTGGTGGTAATAGCAAAGGTTGTTCATGACTTCTTGGAATAAATCTCTGCTTTTGTGTCTGACAGTCGTTGTCATGGTTATGACCGCACAGCGACCCACCTGTTGGTTTCCAGCTTCATCTTGCCTAGTTCCATGGTGACAGAGCGCTGGGCATTATTGGATTCGTGTGAAACGGTGGAACTGAGTGTGCTCACGCCGGAAGTGGCGACAGTGTCGTCAGGGGCAGTGTTTGGAGGGGCTCTGCTCTGGTGGGCGGAGGTATCCTCAGGCTCCACGTCATCGTCAACGTTATCCTGGTCGGCTGGGTCACTCTCCGAGGCCAGGCTGAAGTGGGGCCTCAGCTCTGGGTAAGGACACATGATACATAATTACACTGTTACAGCAATACTAGCAATAGCATGAAAACTAGTTCATATGCAACAGCTAAACTGCACTTTGAAAGAGGGTAACATGAAACAAAGACAGCAACATCACAAGCCTCAATAAAGATCAGTCTATGACTACAATAATATTTCAAATGCAATTGTTATAATGGCATCTGACTAGTAGATACAGTCATTCAATATTCTTGTTAAATGCAAATCTCTGTTCTCGTTTTGATGTATCACCATGGGGATTCGCCGGAACACCAAGTCTTGGAAGGACCTATCAAAAGCATCTGTTGGAGACAGACAGCTAGAGTGGCAAATAAGGTGAGCGTCTCACTTCCTTATAAGGAGCCACTTTCCCGCCCTCTGGTCATTCTCGCTTCTCTTCCTTGCGAAGAGCATTGCTTTCTAGCTCTCCTCAGCACGACTGGATCCCTGTTTTCCTGCTTAACTGCTTACAAGCAAACCGAGCATAGGCCTTCAGACCCTTTTGAGATGTTGAGTACGGACCGAAAGGTTTTTGCTTGAGTAGAAATCCTTTTATACTTCTCAGTCTCTGTTGAGACTCAGTTAGCCCACACTGTAAGGCTAACTTGGCTAGCTCGCTGAGAGGCAAGCTAACCTCACTAGCATTCCCTACCTGCAACATGGTAACATTGCTAGCTCCCTTCTGGATGTCTAGCTTAACCTACGTTCACCCATTTGTGTTAACTAGACCGACCGTCTCAGCCTCACGGCTCCTTCGGTCGCGGGACCACACTACCCGAAGGCTAACTCTACCCCCACATGGTTTCCTTCAGCCAGCACTGAGCTAGCTATGGCACACCTTCACCACAAGGTAGCTGCTAGCTAGCTATGGCCCCACTAGCTTCACGGCTATAGCGTTCTACTGTGCTCATTATCGCTAGTTATTAGCCGCAAGGCTTCTAACTAGCTAGCTTTTAACACCATTTACACAAGATACCTTTTGCTAGCCACCAGCCGCAAGGCTTCTAACTAGCCCAAGCCGTCTGCTCGTTGTTCTTTCAACAGGCGTTGCTTTTTCCTCCTAGCAAGCCTTGTTCCTCACAATGGCCACTGCTATCCCATCCCAGGAAGAGCCTAGCACTTGAACCCCCAGGTTTTTGTGCTTGCGGTTCCATGATTGCGAAGAAGGATTCCCACCCTCAATGCATCAATTGATTGGGAAAGGAACATACCCAAGAGGCGTTTGACGAACCTGAGTGCTGTGAGCACTGCAAACTGCTGACTAGGGCAGGTCAGAGGAGGAGGCTTAAATGAGCATCTATCTCAATAGCCCCTCGTTTCAGAGCCAACAGCGAAAGCTGAGGCTCAGCTCCCCATAACCGAGCCCAGTTGGGGCTATCATGGATAGACTCGACTCCCTCCACTCACTGTCTGACGATGTAGTGTCAGGGAAAGTGAGCTAGGGGGTGACGAGGATGACAATGAGATTAATCTCACATCTATCCTTGAGATAGCTAAGGAGATGGGGGCTAACGACCCGGTTCGCCTGCCCTCTCAGGCCCGCAGGTCTGACGGCCATGAGAGCAGTGAAGCCGCCCCCTACTCCATTGGAGTTTGGTGGCCGTCTCCCAAATGGTTGTCTCCCGTAGCGGCTCGGGACCGTTAAGGGACCTATACGACGGGAAGCGACTCCCATCTCATACAGCCCCGGTAAAACAACTGCTTGCCTCAGGAAAGATAAGAGCTCGTGGGACAAAACCCTCACTAGCAAGATTTTATGCTAGGGGCACTCCGAGCCTGGACATGCTCAACATGCAAAATATGGAGGAATCTGGGTTTGGCAACCCTCCCACGGTGGAGCCGTCACTGGCTTACCACCTCAGCCCCTCACGCCATGTTACTAACAACATCAGCACCTCACTCCCTAGAAAGACGGAGCGCTTTACTGCCTCCATTTTTCAGAAAACGTACAAGGCCTCGGCCCAAGCAATCGAAGCTCTCAATGTGACCTTTATTGTTGGTTTATCAGGCTGAGCTACTGGATGAGGTGGGGAAGCAACTGGAGCAGGACACCCAAGGCCAGATGCTTGGGAGATCTGTAGGATTACAGACCTAAATCTCAGTGCCTCCCATAGTGCCATTCAAGCCTGTGGTCGTACCATGAGCCTAGCAGTGGTGAGAGAAAGGGCACTTTGGCTGAGCTTATCCAGCTTAACAGACAAAGTAAAGGTGGACCTCCTGGATGCCCCAGTGACACCCAATGAGTTGTTCATGCGGCAGAAGCCTTCAACTTCTGCCTGCCCCGCAGACCCGGGCCCTGTGGCAGCCTGCTGGTTCCTGCATCTCGCCCCAACAATATTTGACATACAGCAGGGTTTTAAAGAGCCAAAGAGTTTGGTCTGCTTCGTGTTTACATTTTTGCCATGGAAAAAATATTGTGATACTGGTATCGTCACAGCCCTAGAAAATAGGGTGATGCCGTATGCTTTTCCTACTATGCTGCCTACCTTCCCTTTTCCATCAACACAGAGCAAGGGAATTGGGCCTCCACCTCATCTTCGGGCCCCTTGATGACCTGTGACTTTCCATCAGCAGTTACACCCGGCTCACGACCAGTCCTGGCAGCTATCGTAATGCAGGGTTTATAGCCTACTCTTGGAAGAGAGTGCCAGCCCCCTTATGCACTCTCTCTTTTTAAGGTTGTTGTGTTTTTCTTGGAGAAGTGGTATGACTTAACAGATTGTTCCTTCCTACACTTTCCATGGTCCTGTGCTTGTGTCATTGTTAAGGTCCTCTAGCCGCTTTATCAGTGTGCCAAGGCCCCAACAGTAATCCATAACTGTTATGTAGTTTCTAGGGGGGGGGGGGCACGTCTCTAAGCCTTTAGCTAGTCCTGGGACATGTCTATTGTGCTTAAGATACTTTCACAGCAGCTACTAGCCACTGAGAAGCGTGGAGATGTAATATTGCTCCATCTTTCACTTTACTACTGCCCTTGGCATCCCTAAGCGCAGTGTTGGGAAGTAGTGAACTACATGTAGTTCAACTAGTAATTTAACTACATTTTGCAGTAGCTTGGTGGTAGTTGAACTGAATTCAAATCTAGCTACACTCTTTGAAAGAAAAGGTGCTATCTTGAACTTTTAAGGGTTCTTCGGCTGTCCTCATAGGAGAACCATTTGAATAACCTTTTTTGGTTCCTGGTAGAACCCTTTTGGGTTCCATGTGGTATCATTTTCACAGAGGGTTCTACATGGAACCCAAAATAGTTCTTCATGGAACCTTTTACATGGAACCAAAAAGGGTTTTACCTGGAACCAAAAAGGGTTTTCTTATGGGGACAGCCGAAGAACCTTTTTGGAACCCTTTTTTCCCCCCAGAGTGTAGTATTCAGTAGTTAATTACTTTTTTGCCATGTAGTGGTGTAACTAACTGGAACCACACTGTAGGCAATCATTTCCTTTCTTTTTCAACATCAGATCTGGCTAATTCTCACTTGAAACATAGTTTTTGTGTTTATTAGGCTAAAATACACATTCTGTTAACATATGACCCTAAAGTGATCTATTCGTGCAGATTGTAGTATATGACATTTCAGATTTACATATGATAATTTTTCACGAAGTAGTTTGGATGTAGTGAACTACTTTTTAAAAGTAACTTTAGTTAAGTAAACTATATTTTTCTTAAGGGTAGCTTTAGTGCAGCTTAACTTCTTCCAGTGTGAAGTCATTGGTAAACTATATTTTCAGAGTAGCTTCCCCAACACTACCAGCCACTGTTTGCGCCCACAGTCTGCCCAGGGTTTTTTCAGGTTAATGTACCTAACGCCATACTTTGACCCAGGTCGACATTTTCTAATTGTTGCACCTTGCCTGTCGTCTTTCCTGTGGCATTGGCCCCCTTCGTTGTCCAGTTTGCACGTCTACTTGTATTGAACAAGAGCTCAGGCAAGGGTGTTATGCTCTTCGCTCATAGGGCCCTCTCTTACAGAGGTTACCTTTTGGGCACTGTTTTTGGGACATATCTCATTAAACAGAGGAAGAGAAGCATGCTTGAGAATGACCAGAGGGTGGGAGAGTGGCTCCTTATAAGGAAGTGAGGGGCTCACCTCATTTGCCACTACCTGTATGTCTCCAACAGACGCTTTTGATAGGTCCTTCCGAGATCCCCATAGTGATACATCTCACTCATATTTTCAGAGAACCAGAGTTACAAAAGTAACCTTAAGTTACGATTAAATTGGGGCTCTGTTCAAAGTCAAGTTCCTATCTTTAATTAACAAACAGTGTCCTGGGCCCTAGGGGGCATAATAACTCATTTAAAACTCTGCGGCTGGAGTCACTGCTATTACCTGGCACCAGGATGGTGATGGCAGTCTGCACCGCTTTACGGATGATATTGTCCAGGGCGAACATCCAGTGGGGCTTGATGTTGTGGTTTCGGAGTACTTTGTTTACCTGGAGTGGCCACACACACACACACACACACACACACACACACACACAATTAATAAACAGCTGATCCACACACACATACTGCACCTATGCATCCTCTACATGGTACATTAGTGGAAAGGACAACAGGCTTACATTGCGTGTGGTGGCTGCCTTGTAAGATGATTATATCCCCCTATATTTAGCCTATGGAACAAGCATTTCCCAGAAAAAAAGAGAGACTGACATTTATAAAAAGCCATGCATTCTGGAAAATCCAACTGTGAAAAACAAGTGTGCTTCGTGCATTGATAATAATCTGTTGCAGACAGCTTAGTGGTTAAGAGCGTTGTGCCAGTAACCGAAAGGTCGCTGGTTCTAATCTCCGAGCAGACTAGGTGAAAAATCTGTCGATGTGCCCTTGAGCAAGGCACTTAACCCTAATTGCTCATGTAAGTCGCTCTGGATAAGAGCGTCTGCTAAATGACTAAAACATTATTTTTTTTTAATCTATAGACCAGAGCTGGTTTCATATGTATCCACTAGGGGGCATCAGAGCTCATTATTGACAGAGAGCGTTACGTAATACTTCTTGCAAATCTGACAGGCTGCTACAGGCAACAGTTCCATTTGCATAATTGTATTTGTGAGGCAGAGGGCATAATCAGCCCCTTTACATGATGTGCAATTAAGCGGACAGATTTCCCTTTTATTACCTTTTCTTAAAGGTCAAAAGTGTTTCACAGTCAATTGTCTGATGTGTTTGTTCAAACTATGGCAGCATGGCGACATAATTCAGCTGTGAACAGTTCACAGAATCCCCCTTGAATCATACTTCAATGTCTCCAGAGCCTTTGGTCTATACAAGGACTATTTTAATTCCAAGCCATACACAGTGGATAAATAGACAATGGGATATTTTAATCATCATAGGCCATTTATAATGCTTATAGAGAGACCTACTAATAGGTGAAGAAAGAGCACTTACTGCGTCCTGGAACCCGAATAGCACCACCTGTAGTTGGCTGATGGCTGTGCTGTCAAAGTCTAGCTCCAGTTTGAGTTGGGAGAGGGTGTTGGCTATGATCTTCCTGTCCGTCATGCGCACAAATTCCCCCAGACTGACCACCAGGGTGGAGATATGCTGATGTCTCAACTTGGTGTCGGATGTCTCAGAACCCTGCACACACACAGGAGAGGAGGATGGAGAGAAGGGGCGATGAGAGGAGGGTGAAGGAGAAGAGAGGAGTGCAGCTGATAAGAGGTTTGTTTTACTCTGAGACAGTCCCTCTTCTAACCTGTTCCCAGATCTGTTTGTGCTGTCTTGCCAACTCCTACTGTCATTGTCATGACAAGTGACACACAAGGGCAAAACAGAACTGGACCAAGGCCAACCCTTTCCCTGTCCACTACCAGACTAGATGCTAACTGACCTGTTTGAGAGCCTCCACGAGGTTGGCCACCACCTTGTCTCTGTCCTCAGTGAGGATGCGGTGCAGAGTGGCCCTCCTCTCGCTGTCCTTCCTCAGCATGAAGAACCCAGTGTCCTTCTCATCAGGAGACGGAGGAGCACTGTGGTCCTCAAAGTTCTCCACTGGGATACTGGTGGGGAACACAGGTTAGATTAGAGACCTCAGTGACATTTGTTTTAGAACATATTTGTATAAGAGAATAATAAAGTTCAAGTTGGTATACACTGTCCAACGAAATGCTTACTTGCAGGAAGGCACAATTTATAGTCAAATATTTACATGTGTTTTGGGGAAGGGGGGATTGGGGGGCAAGTGTTACCCATACACAAAAAATGTATGCACACATGACTGTAAGTCGCTTTGGATAAAAGCGTCTGCTAAATGGCATATTATTATTATTATTATTATTATTTAAAATGGTCCAGCATTTAGCAATAATAACAAGAGTCTGGTAGCAGCAGTTGTGATGTGTGTTTAGCATGAATGTGTGTGTGGATGAGTGTATATCTGTGTGGGTGTGTGGGTGTATGCGTGAGTGTGCTAAGGTGCGGAGAGAAAACACAGGTTGAACACAGATTAGATTAGAGAGACCTCAGTGAAAATGTTTTGACAACATATTTGTATTGGACAATAATAATGTTCACAAATATTACAGGATATTCTTTGGCAACCGTGGTATAAACATGATTTAATCTGGAACTAATGTACTCCACGGGTATACAACATACCAACGTTGTCCATTATGCCCAGATAATATACAGAGCGTCTGTCTTTGTCTCTTACCATAAGTTTCCTCCAGATTTGTGTTTTTCCAGAACTGTTTGTTGTCAGATTAATTGAGATGGTAGAGGTGCAGTGTTAGTGTGTTTTTGTGATCTCAAATCCAAAATTCTGGAGTAAAGAGCCACATTTAAAATGTTAGCTTCACTGTCCAAATACATATGGTGCTGACTGTATGTTGTGTTACCTAAGGAACAGGGAGCGGGTTCCTTTGACCTCCCGATCACTGTAACACTTGGTGCTGGGCTTAAAGATGAAGGGGTTGGTGTTGAGGTCGTTCTCAGGGGAGACGGAGCCGTACTCACTGCTGCTGCTGGTGTCCTCCACCACCACAGGCACTGGCAGGGAGATGCTGCGCAGGTACTCTGGAGGGCACAGAGACGGGTACAGGCACAGTTACACCACTGTTACACAAAGAAAAGCAGAGCGAACAACTTGTTAGGGACACTACATGGAAATGACATTACAGTCCTACTTCTGTGAGGGTATCATCTCAGGGTAGGGTAGTCAACATGGTTAGCCTAATGTCGTTGGGCTCAGACTCAGTGTACTCTAAAGAGGAGGAAGCACAGACAGATGCTCAAATGGACTCACCTGAAACTGCAGGTGTCAGAGCTGAGGAGAAAAACAGAGATTTTTTATTCAATGATAAGTATGGATTGTGCAGAAACATAGAACAGAAACAAAAAGTATCTAAAACAAAGGATCTAGAAGCAATTGTCTATCTATTCATATATATATCTATATTCTACTAACTACTGCACTGATTGACCAGTGAAGCATTGTCCTAGCTACCTGTGAAGCTGCTCTTGCCCCTTTTCTTGCGGCTGGTGACGGTGAGGAACTCATCGGTGAGCAGGTGCAGGGCGGTGGCCCTCTGGTCGGGGTCGGGCTCAAAGCAGCGCAGGATGAAGGCCTTGGCCTCCATGGACATGGAATCTGGGATCTCAGGGTGGATCTTGAACATGCCGACCTGTCGCCAAGATAAAACAGCACAGTCATGCTTGAGGTAAGAACCTGCAGCTGCAGCAAAGTCACGATACAGCACTAAGTCAAGTGACCTAGCCAAGTCATTCTAGATCTAAGGGCCTAACTTGCAGATAAACTTGCAAGATAAAACCCAGTCATGTTAGATCTAAGGGCCTAACCTGCAGCTACAGCCAAGATAAAACCCAGTCATGTTAGATCTAAGGGCCTAACCTGAATTCAAAACACAGAGCTAAGTTGAGTGACCTAACCAAATCACCCAGCCAAGTCATGCTAAAGATAAGAGCATACAGGACCAAGGGGACCTCAGAGAGGGCAGTCACTTAGAAGAAAGTCAGTAAGAGGAGAGTTGGGTTGATTGAGGTGACTTTAGTTAATGGTGGGTAAACTGATCTCTTGTAACCCATAGCTCTGTGGCACTGTAACACTATGCAGGCGTGCTCATGCCATCACAGTACAGGAAGTCAATGCAACAGTGAAGGACGAATGCGGTAGCACTTCTGATAATAGGCACTCTAGAAATTCCCAACATTGATCCGGAATGTCGGCTTGAGATTAGGAATGTAATGCCCCTCCCAGTGGAGACATTCCAAAATAATGTTTATTTGAGGATTGTTGCCAAATGTTCTCATCTGTACAACAGTATAGATGAGAAATTACTCTAAATGGTCGTTTCTCATGTAAGCCATTGCGTAGAAAGATGACAGTGTTAGTAAAAGCATTGACCAATGATGAGATTGCACTTTAAGTCACACAGGATGAGACAGACAGAATAGCTGCTGAATGTCGTTTAATAGGTGGTTACATGTGTTACATTACAGATCTATACAATCTGGTACGGAAAAGTGGTTTATAAACACTGGAAAATGCACATTACGACGTGTGAATGCACAGCAATTTACTACTGTAATTCAATTAAAATGCATGGAAATGTCCATGCTTCTGGCCTGCATTCAACATGATCTCCATCACGCTCCACAGACCACCCAGTTGGATCATTAGCTTCAGTTTTTAATAGACTACATATGCCCAGACATAGCCTTTGTGCTATTGCTGATGAGGGTAACACTTAAAATTTCCACTTTAGATGAATACATGTGGAAAAAGCTTGAGAAGGGCTCATTAGTGGAATGGACACTTAAAACACACAAAGGATAGACGGTACTGCACACAAATTCTATTTCTAGGTACTATGTCTAACCTGTAATTCAATCACTTGACAACTTGTTGGTACAAATGTGCCTAGAGGCATGTAAAGATAGCTATCTATTTCCGTATCTGACTCCACTACTGATAGAAATAGGTCAGCAAAACCATAAATCACAAAGAACAACAGAATGAGGTTAGACTCATCATTCAAAGCCTAATCATTTCGATAGTGCTACTAATACAATTTTAGCCAGCCAGAGAAAAACACCATTCATCCGGTGGAAAGTGAACTGAGGTCAATAAACTGAACATTAGTTGACCTCTGAACTCTGACCTTGAACATGGCGGCCTGTGGTTCCCCCAGCTCGTAGAAGGGTGGTTTCCCAGTGGCCATCTCAATGATGGTGCACCCAAGAGACCAGATGTCAGCAGGCTTGCCGTATCCTCGAGGGCCTTTATCTATGATCTCAGGGGCCATGTACTGTAGTGTCCCTGCAAAACAACAACACACCAAACAGACAGGAAATTATACAAATCATAGCTGCTAGTTACAAGTTGCATTTGTAGAATTTGCATATCAGGTCTGATACAAGCAAATCAGGTTTTAGGGAGGGTGAACTTTGGCTCTATAGTAACCTGGATGAGTCTAATTATAGCCTACTGTCAGAGGAGCTTTTATAGAGCTTTTAAAAGGTAAGCTAAGTGCTATGGTGAAACTGGGAGAGACACATTGGAGTACAATTTAAACAGGAGAAACTGACTGTACTGGAATGGTTTGAAGATGAAAAGGCGTATCTCTATGCTCCAATCAGCTGATCTTAACAAAAGAGGTCAAGCTGTGCTACCATTGGCTCCCACAATGTCAACACTGCCATAACCCTGGAACCCTGACCATAAACTCTCACCAAACAGCACTCTGAATAGAAACGTCAGGCTATTTTGAGATATATAATTTACAGCAGGGATCATCAACTAGATTCAGCCGCGGGCCGATTTTTTCTTGAGCGGATGTTCAGGGGGCTGGAACATATTTATAAATCATTTGTAGACCACAAATTGACCCAAAGAAGCCCAAACAGATATAATATTTGATTAAAACATAATAATCTCAAACCTTGCTTATGTTTGTATACGGCTACATATATCTCTCTATTATGCGTGCAAATACTTTGAAACAGATTTCCCAAATGAAAATCACTTGGAGCTGATTTGCTGGTGTTTTTACAAAAACAATTCTCAAGCACACAACACAACTAGTTTCTTTGGGACAAAACTAAAGTTATTGTAAACAGTGAGTGAGATCACTATGTGGGTTGATGGTCCAGCACATTTTCAAACATCCTGTTCCATCAAGGCATGTTTACAATGTAGGGAGGGGAAGGTTGGTAGTTCTAAACCCAGTCAGGCAGACCAGAACATACCAGTGAAAGTCTCAGTGCAGGGGTTGATCCCAGCCAGTCGTTTAGAGGTACCAAAGTCAGATATCTTCAGAACTCCACTATATGTGTTTATAAGCACATTATCACCCTGTGGATGTAAAGAGAACAGATGGGATGAGAAAAGAGCTACATTCCAAGTAATCTCCATTCCTTAACCTTAACCCAAATGACTATGATAACAGCCTGGTAATCTAACGTATTTCCTAGAAGGCAATCAGCAACAGTTGTTACAGTGGGCTATATTCACAACCTCCAATCCAAAACAAGACTATTAACATTGATGTGAATGGCCGTTGAGGTCATTTTATTAGACACTATTGTTAAATGAGGCAGAATTTAGAGGCCTATCTTGTCCTGGGTGTAGGATGAAGAGTATGCTAACCTAAACAATTTTTTATATTATGGGATGGGAGTGTGCTCAGTGTGTTTTATTATGACTGAGACTGAGTTATGTCACATTAACCTTCCTGTAGGATGATAAGGGGAAGTATTTTTTTACCAGAGCCAGGCGCCACTTACAAATCAAATCATTTCTGTACCCCTGACATGAATGTGGCCTCCCTATTGGCCAGGCGCATACTGTACAATGGCCAATCAAAGGCTTTGAAATCGAGCAGCGGTAGAGGAAAAAGCCAAGGCTCACCTTGATGTCTCTGTGAGCGATCTGGTTGTCATGGAGATATTTGAGCCCCTCCAGGATCTGTCTGGTGTAGAAGCCGATGGTGGGTTCGTTGTTCTTCAGAGGGCCCCATTTAGACCTCAGCAAAGCAGACAGGCTTCCTGGATACAAACCACAGGCCAAAGTACAATACATATCAATACATTCTGCTTCACTAGCAGCAGGACAGTAGTGGATTCAGTCCATTACATAACTCGGATAATAAACACTCACCTGACAGTTTATTAGGTACACCACCCCATTCACAAAAATGGTTAGCTCCTACAGACAGTGAGTCACGTGGCCGTGGCTTGCTATATAAAGCAGGCAGACGGGCATCAAGGCATTCAGTTACTGTTCGATTGAACATTAGAATGGGCAAAACGATTGACCTAAGTGACTTTGAGCGTGGTATGATCGACGGTACCAGGCACGGCGGATCCAGTATCTCAGAACGTCCGCCTTCCTGGGCTTTTCACGCACGACAGTGTCTAGGGTTTCCCGAGAATGGTGCGACAAACAAAAAACATCCAGTCAGCGGCAGTCCTGTGGGCGAAAACAGCTCGTTGATGAGAGAGGTCGAAGGAGAATGGCAAGAATCGTGCAAGCTAACAGGCGGGCCACAAAGAGACAAATAACGGCGCAGTACAACAGTGGTGTGCAGAACGGCATCTCGGAACGCACAACTCGTCGATCCTTGTAACGGATGGGCTACTGCAGCAGACGACCACACTGGTTTCTACTCCTATCAGCTAAAAACAAGAAGAGCTGGCTCCAGTGGGCACGCGATCACCAACACTGGACAATTGAGGAATGGAAAAATACCGCATGGTCCGACGAATCCCGATTCCTGTTGCGTCATGCTGATGGCAGAGTCAGGATTTGGCATAAGCAGCATCAGTCCATGGACCCATCCTGCCTAGTGTCAACTGTACAGGCTGGTGGCGGTAGTGTACCGCCGTCCAATCTGCAGGGACCAACATCCCTGTGGAACGTTTCCTACTTGTAAAATCCATGCCCCGAAGAATTCAGGCTGTTCTGGAGGCAAAGGGGGTCAGACCCGGTACCAAATGGGTGTACCTAATAAACTGTCCGGTGAGTGTATGTGTTTGTATTTGCCCTCTTACCTCCGGGAACCTGCTCCATGAAGATCTTGATAAAACCATTCTCGCTGATGGAGCCCAAGTACTGCACAATGTTCTTGTGCTTCAGGTGTTTGTGAAGAGCAATCTCCTCATGGAGGGGCTGAGAGTACCTAGGACAGAACAGATTAAACATCCACTGATACATCTAATAGGAAAAAGGACAGGATGATGTCTCCTCTCTCTCTCTCGTCTCTCCCTCTCTCTCCCCTCTCTCTCGCTCTAAAAAAAAAGACCAGGGCACTATGAGACGGGAAATTGCACTGTTGCACTTAGTATCTTGCAGTAACCTATCACAGAGAGAGATGTCAGAGTGACTCAGTCTCAGTCCAGTACACCATGGTCAGAGGACAAGGACCACAAGGACACAGACCAGCTGGCTACATATGAAATGTCACTCTACTGCAATCTTCTTCTAGAGAGAAATGTTCAAACTGAACACCATAAATAAGACTAAATACATTCTCCCTCAATCACACGGTTGGCTATTCTAGTGAGACACTTTTTCAATGTTTTCCCCCCCCGAGAGGATACTCCAGAGTTGCTTCTAAGTGATTCAGAATCATTCTTGACACCTTTGAGTTATCCCATGAGAGCCCTCTAATGACTTGTGATGTGATGAGTGGAACAATGTATGACAGAGGAATCATCTGGGCTGATTGTGCTCTGAAGGGGTCCCATAATAAGACCGGAATAGGTGGAAAAATGAGCAGACCAGTAATGGTTGTGGAAGGCAGCGCAAGTGCTTGGTACACTAGTTGCTAGGCGACACTCTTCCCCACAATTATTTTCATTGCCCAGTCACTCAATCAGGTGTACGGTATATATAACACTTTGGTGTGCCAGGGAAAGGACACCACAGGAACGCAGAGCTAACACAGAGCACGACTTCAACAAGCGTTTTGGCGCCCCTTCGATCTGCCAATCAAATGATCACTCTCAGGAAACCCCTTTGGTTGTTGTGCTCTGAATAACCACTCACTCACTTTAAATAACGACACAGGGACCTGTTGCTATTCAACCTTCCATTAGCAAAGGGCCTCGTAAAAGACCGTAAAAGTGTCATGGATGCTTATTATGTCAACTACAGTAGCCTGTGTAATGACTTCATGTGTATCTGATCTGACAATACTTGTAAGGGAGAATGGTAGGAGCTGAGGATTTGTGGTAGGGTCTTTTTGGAGAAAGTCCACTTAACATGTTCACCTACCTGCTGTCTCTCTCCGGTATCTCCTTGATGGCCAGCCGCACCTGGTTGCTAAGGTCCCGGCCTGCATACACCACTCCAAACGTGCCTTTTCCCAGAACCACCCTCTCCCCGTGCTCATCATACTCATAGTCGTACTGAGGAGGAAATAATGTTAAAGATGACATTTTGTTGCATGTTAACTTCAAGGGCCATAACAATGTAGAGTTATAACAGGGTACAGTACATCTTAGAACAGGTGAGCCATAGAGTGAGAGTTGTTGCATGGTATTAACTAAGCAAAGAGTAATGTGAGTTTTACAAGGTGTGGCACAGATCAAACAGGGTTCAAAAACCAGTTGGGGTATCTGATCTGGGCCATGCTTGTGTTTGACTAGAAGAGGGTGTGACATTGTTTTGGGTAATTATTCACAGGCTATTCTTGTTTCCATCGCACCACTGGGAGAACAGGTGACTAGAGGAGCAGGTGCTTTTCCTGCTCTACACTCTGATGGTCTCCATTGCAAAACATACAATGAACAGCATCTTCCCACTGTAGGAAGTTGGCTCTATCCATCCACTTTACATTGCCTCTATCTGGTTTTATATAGAATTGGAAAACAATCGGAGAGACAATCGCTGCTGACTACACCCTACACCTTTCATACATATTATGTACATCAGGTTAACCCTGTTGGAGACAATATAAATAAAATAATATGTGTAGAAAATGAGTATTCCTCTCTTCTCCCTCACCTCTAGGGCATCAGTGTCACATTCCCCCTCATCTGGGCCTTTCCATGTTTCTTCTGCGATGCTGTTGACCAGATCACAGAACCTGCAACACACAGAGCACCCCAGATAACTTTTACCACACTTACAAATACGTCACAGGAGCAGTTGTGAAAGAACACTAAGCCCAGGCACCCTTTCATACACTCACAGTGTGAAAGCTCAATGAGAGAAAGACCAATCACACCAGCACTGACTCACTGAATCACACTGTGGAGCTAATAAGACTGGCTGGCTGTGCTTTGGTTATGCTCTGTGTAAATCTCTACAGTACAGTCACTTCCTTGGAGAGAGGCTCACATGCTGGTGAGATGGAGTGGTCACGGCACAGACAGAAGAGTGACAGACCTTTTGCAGTGCATCTCTGTGCAGAAATAGATCTGGAAGTCCTCTGAGTTGTTTAGCACGTACAGGAAGGCACTGCGCTCGTCAAACTTGGAAATACTGAGGAAGAGGAGTTGACAGTTAGAGACGAGATGGGGGAATTCACATGACATAGGACACTGGCATAGACTGGATGTCTGGGTGTAGCCATCATCCTCTGAGAAATCATTCCAGTAGTAGGTAACTGCAGAAGCTTTTCATTTTCACCAGAGCTGCAAAATAGTCTCTAACCACCAAACACTCTTCTTCATTCAAACACATACAACAAGTTACAGTAACTCGGACAGAATGAGCATAACTCAGAGCATTCCTTCCCACACACCCATTCACACTGTTGAGTCTCCACCAGTGTTCAGCTGAGCGAACAGGGATTCTAAGCCAGCTAACCGAGGCGAGGGCTGAGCAGAGTGGAGCAGAGCAGAGAATGAGTGGTTGTATTCAGCCCACCATGGCACACTGCTGCAGCAGAGGGAACTGCCATTGTCTCCTAGTGCACTGGAGGGTGAGTGGGCACCAAGTAAGATACGTTCCCTAGCAACATCTCACAGAGGCCCTCTAGAGTGGAAGATCAGTCGGCCTGTCTGTCTGCCATTGAATTATTTTGTGGAGGGGGAGGCAGGGAGGATGAAGGAGGGAGAGGCATGGGGGACCGTCTCTGACTAATATTGCCTTGAGAACCATGAGGCCACATTATCATCGGTTATGTTGTTGGCATAAGGGAAAGAGAAGGAGAGTCGAAAGCAGTGACCTTACTGCCCATATATTACAATGAATGTGTAGATCAGGACAGCTGTGAGATCACTAACCTGACACCCCGTACTGACATAGCGCTGAAGTTCCACTCATGGATCCCCCTGTGCTGTTAGAGATCAGAAAAACATGAACCTCAGAAAATATAATGATGACTGACACCTCAAAATGTAACTCTGATGACTTAGCAAAATGTGTCAGTGCAGAGAGAGAGACAGACATAGACAGACTTCTTTTCTGAGACACTTTCCAGTGGAAGAAAAATCACAAAGCAAAAGGCACAAGGCAGTTGTCAGACACTCTTCCTGTGATCAGTAACTGACCTTGTCATCAGGGGCAACATGCCAGATGGAGACAGTGTTCTCCTCCACATCATTGTTTATGGACAAGTAAGAAGGTTGATAGACTTTAGTGGGTTCCAATATCAACACCTGGAAAAGAGGACAACCAATCGAACCGAGACATTTCACAATAAAGCAGAGAAATAAACAGTCTAGGAACACTGCGTCAGTTGGTGCCATTGTTATGGTTTCTGTATGTACAGTATATGTCTAACTGTCAAGGTCAAGTCTGAACAGTGAAGAATGCCAGGAAGGAAGGCAGAGTGAGCATGGGGCTCAGTGGCAGTCACACCAGGGACACATACTGGGAAGCGGACAGATGAGACATCTTTCTTTGTGGCCTCCACCAGGAAGTCCATCCAGAAGTCCACCAGTTCCTGTTTGGGCGGCGGCTGCTCCACAGAGGGCTTTTTGAAGTGCTGGTAAATCAGGATGGTCTCCACGAGAGAGCTCAGATACCTGGGGTGCAGTCAACACAAACGTTAGCTTGTAATACATTTTAAAGGCCATTGACTGCAGAAACAGAAAAGGCACTTAAACGGAGCAAAATCTGTTTGAATATGTTGTCAAAATCTTGAGCATAAAAGAAAATAGGCCACTGACTGACTACAGGGGTTAAAGCAAAAAAAACAATCCCATGACTAAAACATAAGGATCTCAGATTGATTGTCAGCGGGGCAAAGTCATGACCATGCTTTTATGGGAAAGAGGATCATTTTGTAAATGTATTCAACTTTGAGTTTGATCAATTCCAGTCATTTTCAAAATTGGAAATACATCTAAAAATCTAAAATATCAACAACAAAAAAGAATTCATATGACGGAAATCCCTTGCAGTGACGGATAACTTTAACTCCTGTGACTACAAGAAAAGAAAGGACATTTAAATTGTGCAAAATAGGTTTAAAATAAGTTGTCTACACTGAGTGTACAAAACATTAAAAACACCACCCCCCCCCCCCCCCTTTTTTTTGCCATTAGAACAGCCTCTATTCATCGGGGCATGGACTCTACAAGATGTTGAAAGCGTTCCACAGGGATGCTAGCCCATGTTGACTCCAATGCTACCCACAGTTGTGCCAAGTTGGCTGGATCTCCTTTGGGTGGTGGACCATTCTTGATACACACGGGAAACTGTTGAGCATGAAAAACCCAACAGCGTTGCAGTTCTTGACACAAACCGGTGCGCCTGGCACCTACTACCATACCCCGTTTAAAGGCACTTAAATCTTTTGTCTTGCCCACTCACCCTCTGAATGGCACATATACACAATCCATGTCTCAATTGTCTCAAGGCTTAAAAATCCTTCTTTAACCTGTCTCCTCCCTTTTATCTACGCTGATTGAAATGGATTTAGAAGTGACATCAATAACGGTTCATAGCCTTCACCTGGATTCACCTGGTCAGTCTATGTCATGGAAAGAGCATGTTTTGTACACTCAGTGTATATGTTTATCTTTACATGTAAAAAAATATATATACGAAAACAGCACCCTCCCTCACCAGACTGGGGCCTTGAGTTTGAAGAGTTTCTCAGAGGCCTGTATGACCCTGGTGTTGTCACAGGCCAGGATGCTAGCCCCCAGGAAGAAGCCCACATCCCAGTAGCTCTGCAGCTTGTCCAGGCTTCCCTTCTTCCCCAGCAGGCTGCTCAGCTTCACTCCTGGAAAAGGAGAACAAGGTCAGGTCAGGGACAGATTATAATAATATAAAAGGAAGATACTGAACACTGTTGAATGCTCCCAGAGTTTTATTGTGCAAGGTCTTTGTCAAGGTACATAATTTGCCATATCTTGTGTTCTTTTTTATACCGTGTGTTATTTCAAGGGTTTGGGAATGGGCTGGGCACTGTATAGCCTAGTAGCCTACCCTCATGTCAGGCATTTCACCTGAAATGTAGCTTGGAGGATCTCAATGCCCTCTGTGGATAAGTCTTAACATTCAATGTAGTTGGTTGCCATGTTGCTACTACATTGCAGAGTGATAATGGAACATGGTTGTTTTCGGCCTCGCTGAGGGAAGCTGCCACTACATGTTCTACTCATGTAGCCTGGGGCAGAGTAGAGGAGGGTAGGAAAGGGGGCAGGGACTGGGAGGGGGCCCACGGCTGATTCCCAGGCCTGTCTGTCCTGTTTCTCACATTCCTGAGTTACTTTCTGAGCCTCAGATTTCACAGCAAACACAGAGGATTGGGAGCCAAACAGCACAAAACTCCCTTGCAAAAAAAATAAAAAATGGAAACGTCATTGTTATGTAAAATCGGATGTTTCATATTAACCCCCGCAGTAGAGTAGCAGACTCTCTGTTCACACCCAGACTACCTTTTATGGGACTGTCTCATCATAAGCAGGCTGTTCGTTTGAATGAGCAGTATCTGTCACATGAGTAGATACTGATCTCACACTTTATGACATGAGGGTAACTGCAGTGCGGGGAGAATGCAGATCAGTAACTTCATTATTATTAGTCATCAGCAGCTCTAATGAAAAACAGAATAGCAAGCCAAGTCCAATGCACCATCAGGCAGCTCAAGGCAAAACAGATATCAAGGAGAATAAAGTGTTAGTCAATACTTACCGACTTTGCGGAGCTCGAAGGAGGCGTCAAACTGGTGTCCCGCTGCCAGGAGTAGAACAGCGTAGTTGATGCCAGAGTGTAGTGTCGGCTCAGACTCAAACCCCTTTTTAAACCTGAGAGGAAGGACAGAGAAGCGGACTTAGAATCACCAATATTACACACAATGCTTCATTTTTAAATCTAACTTTATGCTCCTACAGTAATTTCTGATGTGTCCTTGGTGAGAACTTTAGAGTCTTGTCACTTCCTCCCTACTTTTGTAAAAAGCATCCAAAATAACTACAGCATTATTGAGCACGGTGCACAGAGGAACCATTTATTGCACAAAGCTTGACTCTCACAGACAAAAACCTCATTTACTTAATGAGCAATCTGTTCCACTGAGGGAATGAGTGTGAATAACACGAGAAGGCTCTCCAAAGATGTCATCTGGGTTGGAACAGAGGACATGGACAGCCCAATGGGGAGTTATTCTAACGAGATGCCATAAAATTGGCCTGATGAGAGACATAACCATTCCAGGAAGACTGCAGGTATCTTTAGAATATCACTGGTGCTGCTGTTTCAAATCAGCTACTTTCAGAATAACCTGCAGGCTCTTTGCTCCGAGTCAGATGACACTGCTGGCCGTTAGCTGTAGTTGAGAGGTGGAGGACTTCTCTTTCTCTACTTCTCTAGCTGGGGAGGAGTGAGTGAGAGGTTTGTAATTACCCTCATCAGCAGCCAGGCTCTCACCAGTGTGTGTGTGTGTGTGTGTGTGGCTCTCACCAGGCCGTGCCACTGTCCCTGCTCTTGGTATCAGTGAAGTGGGACTCCAGGAACATGTCCTTGTAGATGCGTCCCACCAGGCAGTAGATGTCTGAGGCCACCTGGTCGTCAGACTCCACCAGGGGCAGCATAATGTCCAGGGCCTTCTGACGGTCCCCCGGGAGGTTCCTCCTGAACAACAAATCAGAGGGAATAACCAATGGTCAGAGACAGGGGGCGAGTCCCAAATGGCACCCTATTTCATTTATAGTGAACTACTTTTGAACAGGGTATAGTGGACTACAGTAATTATTCTTACCCCTTGACTTATTCCACATTTTCTTGTGTTACAGCCTGAATTCAAAACTCACCCATTTACACACAATACCCGTAATGACAAAGTGAAAGTGAATTTTGAAAATGTATTGAAAATTAAATATGAGAAATATCTCATTTACAAAAGTATGTGGACACCCCTCCAAAAATGGTGGATTCGGGTATTTCAGACACACCCGTTGCAGACAAATGTATAAAACTGAGCACAAAGCCATGCAATCTCTATAGACAAAAATTGGCAGTAGAATGGCATTACTGAAGAACTCAGTGACTTTCAACGTGGCACCTTCATAGGATGCCATCTTTCCAAAAAGTAAGTTTGTCAAATTTCTGCACTGCTAGAGCTGCCCCGATCAACTGTAAGTGCTGTTATTGTGAAGTGGAAATGTCTAGGAGCAACAATGGCTCAGCCGCGAATTGGTAGGCCACACAAGCTCACATAACGGGACCGCTGAGTGCTGAAGCACCTAAAAAATTATCTGTCCTCAGTTGCAACACTCACTACCGAGTTCCAAACTGCCTCTGGAAGCAATGTCAGCACAATAACTGTTTGTCGGGAGCTTCATGAAATGGGACGGACGAATCTGGGTTTGGCGGATGCCAGGAGAACGCTACCTGCCCCAATGCATAGTGCCAACTGTAAAGTTTGGTGGAGGAGGAATTACAGTGGCTTGCGAAAGTATTCACCCCCCTTGGCATTTTTCCTATTTTGTTGCCTTACAACCTGGAATTAAAATAGATTTTTGGGAGGTTTGTATCATTTGATTTACACAACATGCCTACCACTTTGAAGATGCAAAATATTTGTTATTGTGAAACAAACAAGAAATAAGACAAAAAAACTGGAAACTTGAGCGTGCATAACTATTCACGCCCCCCAAAGTCAATACTTTGTAGAGCCACCTTTTGCAGCAATTACAGCTGCAAGTCTCTTGGCGTATGTCTCTATAAGCTTGGCACATCTAGCCACTGTGATTTTTGCCCATTCTTCAAGGCAAAACTGCTCCAGCTCCTTCAAGTTGGATGGGTTCCGCTGGTGTACAGCAATCTTTAAGTCATACCACAGATTCTCAATTGGATTGAGGTCTGGGCTTTGACTAGGCCATTCCAAGACATGTAAATGTTTCCCCTTAAACCACTCAAGTGTTGCTTTAGCAGTATGCTTAGGGTCATTGTCCTGCTGGAATCTCTGTCTGTCTATAATCTCTGGAAGACTGAAACAGGTTTCCCTCAAGAATTTACTTGTATTTAGCGCCATCCATCATTCCTTCAATTCTGACCAGTTTCCCAGTCCCTGCCGATGAAAAACATCCCCACAGCATGATGCTGCCACCACCATGCTTCACTGTGGGGATGGTGTTCTCGGGGTGATGAGAGGTGTTGGGTTTGCGCCAGACATAGCGTTTTCCTTGATGGCCAAAAAGCTCAATTCTAGTCTCATCTGACCAGAGTACCTTCTTCCATATGTTTGGGGAGTATCCCACATGCCTTTTGGCGAACACCAAACGTGTTTGCTTATTTTTTTCTTTAAGCAATGGCTTTTTTCTGGCCACTCTTCCGTAAAGCCCAGCTCTGTGGAGTGTACGGCTTAAAGTGGTCCTATGGACAGATACTCCAATCTCCACTGTGGAGCTTTGCAGCTCCTTCAAGGTTATCTTTGGTCTCTTTGTTGCCTCTCTGATTAATTTCTTCCTTGCCTGGTCCGTGAGTTTTGGTGGGCGGCTCTCTCTTGGCAGGTTTGTTGTGGTGCCATATTATTTCTATTTTTTAATAATGGATTTAATGGTGCTCCGTGGGATGTTCAAAGTTTCTGATATTTTTTTATAACCCAACCCTGATCTGTACTTCTCCACAACTTTGTCCCTGACCTGTTTGGAGAGCTCCTTGGTCTTCATTGTGCTGCTTGCTTGGTGGTGCCCCTTGCTTAGTGGTGTTGCAGACTCTGGGGCCTTTCAGAACAGGTGTATATATACTGAGATCATGTGACCGATCATGTGACACTTAAATTGCACACAGGTGGACTTTATTTAACTAATTATGTGACTTCTGAATGTAATTGGTTGCACCAGATCTTATTTAGGGGCTTCATAGCAAAGGGGGTGAATACATATGCACGCACAACTTTTCCATTATTGATTTTTTTAGAATTATTTTTTTAATTTCACTTCACCAATTTGGACTATTTTGTGTATGTCCATTCCATGAAATCCAAATAAAAATCAATTTAAATTACAGGTTGTAATGCAACAAAATAGGAAAAACGACAAGGGGATGAATACTTTTGCAAGGCACTGTATGGTCTGGGGCTTCTTTTCATGGTTCGGGCTAGTTCCAGTGAAGGGAAATCTTAACGCTACAGCATACAATGACATTCTAGACAATTCTGTGCTTCCAACTTTGTGGCAACAGTTTGGGGAAGGCCCTTTCCTGTTTCAGCATGACAATGCCCCCGTGCACAAAGCGAGGTCCATACAGAAATGGTTTGTCGAGATCGGTGTGGAAGAACTTGACTGGCCTGCACAGAGCCCTGACCTTAACCCCACCGAACGCCTTTGGGATGAATTGGAGCACCGACTGCCAGCCAGGCCTAATCGCCGAACATCAGTGCCCGACCTCACTAATGCTCTTGTGGCTGAATGGGAGCAAGTCCCTGCAGCAATGTTCCAACATCTAGTGGAAAGCCTTCCCAGGAGAGTGGAGGCTGTTATAGCAGCAAATGGGGGTCCAACTCCATATTAATGACCATGATTTTAGAATGAGATGTTCGATGAGCATACTTTTGGTCATGTAGTGTAAGTATTCACACCCCTGAGTCAATACATGTTAGAATACCCTTTGGCAGCGATTACAGCTGTGTGTCTCAAAGAACTTTGCACACCTGGATTGTACAATACTTGCACTTTATTATTAAAAAATATATATATAAATTATTCAACTCTGTCAAGTTGATTGTTGATCATTTCTAGACAGCCATTTTCAAGTCTTGCAATAGATTTTCAAGCCAATTTAAGTTAAAACTGTAACTAGGCCACTCAGGAATATTCAATGTCATCTTGGTAAGCAACTTCAGTGTATATTTGGCCTTGTATTTTAGGTTATTGTCCTGCTGAAAGGTGAATTTGTCTCCCAGTGTTTGTTGGAAAGCAGACTGAACCAGCTTTTCCTCTAGGATTTTGCCTGTGCTTAGCTCTATTCCGTTTCTTTTATCCTAAACAACTCGCTAGTCCTTGCCTATGACGAGCATACCCATAACATGATGCAGCCACCACCATTCTTGAAAATATGAAGAGTGGTACTCAGTGATGTGTTGTGTTGGATTTGTCCCAAACATAACATTGTATTCAGGACATAAAGTTAATTTCTTTGACAAAATGTTTTCAGTTTTACTTTAGCACCTTACTGCAAACAGGATGCATGTTTTGGAATATTTGTATTATGTACAGGCTTCCTTCTTTTCACTCTGTCATTTAGGTTAGTATTGTGGAGTAACTACAATGTTGTTGATCCATCCTCAGTTTTCTCCTATCACAGCCATTAAACTCTGTAACGGTTTTAAAGTCAACATTGGCCTCACAGTGAAATCCCTGAACGGTTTACTTCCTCTCCAGAGTTAGGAAGGACACCTGTATCTTTGTAGTGACTGGGTGTATTGATACACCATCCAAAGTGTAATTAACAACTTCACCATGCTGAAAAGGAATATCAATGTCTGTTTTTTACCAATAGCTTCCCTTCTTTGCGAGGCATTGGAAAACCTCCCTGGTCTTTCTAGTTTAATCTGTGTTTGAAATTCACTGCTCGACTAAGGGACCTTACAGATAATTGTATGTGTGGGGTACAGAGATGAGGCAGTCCTTCAAAAATTATGTTAAACACTATTATTGCACACAAAGTGAGTCCATGCAATTTATTATGTGACTTGTTAATACCTGCAGTCAAATGACCAAATCACCCTCTTGTGGATGGAATGTTAATAATATTTTTTATAATTTCATAATAAATAAAGTTAATTTTTTAAAGCACAGAAAGTCCAGTGTTTCTATGTCAAACGGTTTTGTTATATTTCAGTCTTCTGCGATGTACTGTATATAAAGTGTCATATTGTGATGCAAACTCAAAATGTCATACATTTCAACTCTATATCTGACATGGTACAGGTGTCTTCTTTTCTTAAAGTCCATAACCATGTGTGTGAGGTGTATAGTTTTGTTTCAAAGTAGATTTGTTTAAGACTACCAAGAAACACTCTGTGTGACCCTGATTTAACCCATTGCAGTAAAAGGTTAAGCAAATTTGTACTCCTGAACTTATTTAGGCTTGCTTGCCATTACAAAGGGGTTGAATACTTATTGACTCAAGACATTTCACCTTTTCATTTTTAATTAATTTGCAAACATTTCTAAAAACATAATTCCACTTTGACATTATGGGGTATTGTGTGTAAGCTAGTGACACAAAATCTCAATGTAATCAATTTTAAATTCAGGCTGTAACACAAGAAAATGTGGAAAAAGTCAAGGGGTGTGAATACTTTCTGAAGGCACTGTATTTAGGGAACAGGGTGCCATCAATCGGCAAGGATAGTGCATAAAGGAAGGATGTTAAAATTACCATGTACTATTCCCAAGGTACCTTCAAATTCTTCCTTCTCTAAGGTAGGCCCTACCTTCATTTGGGCGATTTTGAGTCAGCATCCAATGTAGACCTATCAAAGATTTTAGAATATACTGACTTCGCCTCTTCCTCTGGTTGTTTCCTTAGGTAGGATATCTATGGAAGCCACAATTATTATTTAAAAAAAATGATACTAACTCAAAATGTAGAGATACAGTATTAACTCGAAATTTAGAGATACGTAATTCCACATTTTGAAATCCTAAGTAAACATTTTGAGATACAAACTTGTAATTCTGAGATATGCAAGTAAAAATGTTGATACACCTAAGTAAAAATGTTTAGATACTAATCCGAAATTTGGAGATAGTAGGCCGTACTAATAGGATATGTTTCTTCATTTGTAGCATTGTGTGGTGATTTCAAAGATGGCACAACAAGTCCCAGAGTGGTCGGGTGAATTATTTTTTCCTAGGGCACAAACTTTTTTTTTCCTAGGGCTAACTTAACCAGGTAAAACTCTAGTGTAGGTGTAGAGTATGACATAGTGATTAATCAGTTGTAAAATGGTTTTATACAGTGGGGAGAACAAGTATTTGATACACTGTCGATTTTGCAGGTTTTCCTACTTACAAAGCATGTAGAGGTCTGTAATTTTTATCATAGAAAATCCAGAAAATCACATTGTATGATTTTTAAGTAATTAATTTGCATTTTATTGTATGACATAAGTATTTGATCACCTACCAACCAGTAAAAATTCCGGCTCTCACAGACCTGTTAGTATTTCTTTAAGAAGCCCTCCTGTTCTCCACTCATTACCTGTATTAACTGCACCTGTTTGAACTCTTTACCTGTATAAAAGACACCTGTCCACACACTCAAACAGACTCCAACCTCTCCACAATGGCCAAGATCAGAGAGCTGTGTAAGGACATCAGGGATAAAATTGTAGACCTGCACAAGGCTGGGATGGGCTACAGGACAATAGGCAAGCAGCTTGGTGAGAAGGCAACAACTGTTGGTGCAATTATTAGAAAATGGAAGAAGTTTAAGATGACGGTCAATCACCCTCGGTCTGGGGCTCCATGCAAGATCTCACCTCATGGGGCATCAATGATCATGAGGAAGGTGAAGGATCAGCCCAGAACTACACGGCAGGACCTGGTCAATGACCTGAAGAGAGCTGGGACCACAGTCTCAAAGAAAACCCTTAGTAACACACTACGCCGTCATGGATAAAAATCCTGCAGCGCACACAAGGTCCCCCTGCTCAAGCCAGCGCATGTCCAGGCCCGTCTGAAGTTTGCCAATGATCATCTGGATGATCCAGAGGAGGAATGGGAGAAGCTCATGTGGTCTGATGAGACAAAAATAGAGCTTTTTGGTCTAAACTCCACTCGCCGTGTTTGGAGGAAGAAGAAGGATGAGTACAACCCCAAGAACACCATCCCAACTGTGAAGCATGGAGGTGGAAACATCATTCTTTGGGGATGCTTTTCTGCAAAGGGGACAGGACGACTGCACCGTATTGAGGGGAGGATGGATGGGGCCATGTATCGCGAGATCTTAGCCAACAACCTCCTTCCCTCAGTAAGAGCATTGAAGATGGGTCGTGGCTGGGTCTTCCAGCATGACAACGACCCGAAACACACAGCCAGGGCAACTAAGGAGTGGTTCCGTAAGAAGTATCTCAAGGTCCTGGAGTGGCCTAGCCAGTCTCCAGACCTGAACCCAATAGAAAATCTTTGGAGGGAGCTGAAAGTCCGTATTGCCCAGCGACAGCCCCGAAACCTGAAGGATCTGGAGAAGGTCTGTATGGAGGAGTGGGCCAAAATCCCTGCTGCAGTGTGTGCGAAACCTGGTCAAGACCTACAGGAAACGTATGATCTCTGTAATTGCAAACAAAGGTTTCTGTACCAAATATTAAGTTCTGCTTTTCTGATGTATCAAATACTTATGTCATGCAATAAAATGCAAATTAATTACTTAAAAATCAAACAATGTGATTTTCTGGATTTTTGTTTTAGATTCCATCTCTCACAGTTGAAGTGTGCATATGATAAAAATTACAGACCTCTACATGCTTTGTAAGTAGGAAAACCTGCAAAATCGGCAGTGTATCAAATACTCCTTCTCCACACTGTATGTACAATCTACTATCTCAAACTTTTTGGTTAGTATCTCAATTTCTTTAGATAGTATCCTTTTTTAAACTTAGCATCTCAAACTTCTTACTTACCTATCTCAAAATGTCGAGTTAGTATCTCAAAACGTTGAGTTAGTATTCACATTTAATTGGGTGTCGAGAATGGGATTCCATAGATATCGCATAACACCTTGCGCCACAGATACAACTCCCAACTTCCGGCAAAAACTAATGGTGGACGGAAGTCCCCCCTTCAGAGAAGATTTTCCAGAAGAATGAGGAATAACTTCATAAAATGTGAGTATTACGTTTATTTATTCACCAAATTATGTTATGAATGTTCAACAAATTACTTTCGTACAACACTGAGCTTGCTAGCTGGCTAAGTTAGCTAACTTTTGACGCGATCTAGCAAGCATTCGTCCAAATTTGTTTATCAGCTGTTTAGCTAGATGAACAACTAAACTAACCATTTTTTTTGTAAATTCAGGAATGTGTAAATTATGAAGACCTGGGCAGTGAATTGGTGAACTTGCTAGCCAGCTAATGACTTTTTTCAGGGACTAAAGAAGAGAGGGCAACTGACTTTACAGGAAAAAACACTCTTTCCCAACTAGTTTGAAGGTAGGACATTTTAATATTATCTGATTAAAAACAATAAAGCTAGTTGCCTAGTGAATACATGCATGCAGTGTATGTTAGCTAGCTAGCTACATTCTCTTGTTACTTTCCTAGGTAGCTACATTCTCTTGTCACTTTCCCTGCCTCTCTTGTGCCACTGGGTTTGATGTGACTCATCTGTGAAGTGTGTGAGGACTGAGGAGGGCAAAATACAGCCTTATTCTAAAATGTATTGTATTGTTAATTTCCCTCATCAATCTACACACAATACCCCATAATGGATTTTTTGAAAATAAACTGAAATAGTACATTTACAAGAGTATTCAGACCCTTTACACAGTACTTTGATGAAGCATCTTTGGCAGCAATTACAGCCTCGAGTCTTCTTGGGTATGACGCTACAAGCAAGGCACACCTGTATTTGGGGAGTTTCTCCCATTCTTCTCTGCAGATACTCTAAAACTCTGTCAGGTTGGATGGGGAGCATCGCTGCACAGCTATTTTCAGGTCTCTCCAGAGATGTTCGATCAGGTTCAAGTCCGGGCTCTGGCTGGGCCACTCAAGGACATTCAGAGACTTGTCCTGAAGCCACTCCTGCGTTGTCTTGGCTGTGTGCTTAGGGTCGTTGTCCTGTTGGAGGTCCCAGTCTGAGGTCCTGAGCGATCTGGAGCAGGTTTTCCTCAAGGATCTCGCTGTACTTTGCTCCGTTCATCTTTCCCTCGATCCTGACTAGTCTCCCAGTCCCTGCCGCTGAAAAACATCCCCACAGCATGATGCTGCCACCACCATGCTTCACCGTAGGGATCGTGCCAGGTTTCCTCCAGAAGTGACGCTTGGCATTCAGGCCAAAGAGTTCAATATTGGTTTCATCAGACCAGACAATCTTGTTTCTCATGGTCTGAGAGTCCTTTAGGTGCCTTTTGGCAAACTCCAAGTGGGCTGTCATGCCTTTTACTGAGGAGTGGCTTCCGTCTGGCCACTCTACCATAAAGGCCTGATTGGTGGAGTGCTGGAGAGATGGTTGTCCTTCTGGAAGGTTCTCCGATCGCCACAGAGGAACTCTGGAGCTCCGTCAGATGACCATCAGGTTCTTGGTCACCTCCCTGACTAAGGCCCTTCTCCGCCGATTGCTCAGTTTGGCCAGCAGGCAGCTCTAGGAAGAGTCTTGGTGGTTTCTAAACTTCTTCCATTTAAGAATGATGGGGGCCACTGTGTTCTTGGGGACCTTCAATGCTGCAGACATTTTTGGGTACCCTTCCCCAGATCTGTGCCTCGACACAATCCGGTCTCGGAGCTCTACGGACAATTCCTTCGACTTCATGGCTTGGTTTTTGCTCTGACATGCACTGTCAACTGTGGGACCTTATATAGACAGGTATGTGCATTTCCAAATCATGTCCAATCAATTGAATTTACCACAGGTGGACTCCAATCAAGTTGTAGAAACATCTCAAGGATGATCAATGGAAACAGGATGCACCTGAGCTCAATTTTCGAGTCTCATAGCAAAGGGTCTGAATACTTATGTAAATAAGGTATTTTCTTTATTATTATTTTTTTATCAATTTGCACACATTTCTAAAAGCCTGTTTTCACTTTGTAATTATGGGATATTGTGTGTAGATTGATGAGGAAAACATTTCATTTAATACATTTTAGAATAAGGCTGTAACGTAACAAAATGTGGAGATGTCAAGGGGTCTGAATACTTTCTGAATGCACTGTACTGTGAGTTTGTCTGGGGGTGTCGCTCTCTCTCTTAGGGTCTAAACTGAGAGAGGGGGATGAATAAACAGGAAACAAGCCGGTGTGTGTGTGTGTGTGTGTGTGTGCATGTGCGTGTGCGTGTGTGTGTGTAGGTAACACCAAAGCGCTATGTCTTGGCAGAGAGGAAGCCATCAAAAGGCTGTAGATTAAATATCATGAGGGTAGTGTGTTCAACTACCTCCCTACAGACCTGGCCAACTAACTCCTGTGTTGGAGTGTCAGGGTTTAATGGTATTAGCAAGGACGGAAGTAATGCAGGCAGTAATGATCAGCACTCTATCTGTCAGCAGTCATTCGTAATCCATACTGCAATGCTGCTTTACCAAGCGAACGGGAGCTAAATTCTATCCCTCCCTCGGATCGCATTCTATTTTGATCATACATTGTCTGAATATCAAATATAATTATCTGATTAGTCTTGCAGTTTTCTTATGCCCCCTCTTTATCCCTCTTCTTTGTGTCCCAAAGGGGGACAACAAAGTCTCCACAGGTTCTTTCACAAGGCAGCCGTACAGCATCCCAGTGTGAGCCTAGTGGTCGGAAAAACGTAGTTGGCATGGGCACACTAATATGGATCTCAACACAGCCATAGAGATGGATGTTAAATAAGCATAAGAACGGGCAGCTATTTCCTCTCCCCAGCTTTCACTTCACACCAGAGTGCCACTGAAGGGCAACTGGAGGGGGGCGAAGCTAAACAGTGAGTCAGCCTAGCCTAGATTGTGCAACAGGCAAGGCTTCAACCCTAGCACTTACATCCCTGCTGCTGCTGTTTTCTCACCAGCTTAACCCAATTACTCAACAGAAAACGCTGTTTCATTCTCATCATTCATGCTTAATTGTTGCAGGATAATGGCAAGTTTTTGCAATGGTGCACTAAACTGCTGAGTCATGAACCACCTCCAGTTGAGGAAATTGTGAACAAAGGGGCTGCTGTCCAAACCAGCACACAGACTCATGGCAACCATCTTCATTTTTTAGCCATTCGATGTTTTCCCAATTATGCAAAGCATGTGCAACAGGTTTCTTAATATGTTTCTTTGAGGGTATAAAATGCAGCAAAATGTTATCCTAACTGGCTAGACACCAATGTTGCGTTGTAGCATGCAGGAATTTCCCAATGGCTCCGAAATGAAAGAGCAGCTTGCTTTATTACAGGTGGAGTTAGTTGCACCATGAGAACCAGTGGGCGTTTACAAGAGAGGCAGCATGTTAAAGAGCAAGCAGTAAAATACTTTCCAAGCTGAACATCTGTGATGTTCCGACTCAGAGCACAGACACACATGTTCAGCACATGCATGCGTCTGTGTGTGCATCTGTGTGTAGGGGTGTGAGTGTGTAGACAAACCAGGTGTGACATACCGGGGGTCTTACCGATTCAGTGCAAAGGCATAGTGGAACTTGACATGGGGATTGGCCACAGGGTCGAATGTCGGAAGCTTCTCCAAGGTCTCCACCAGCTTCACTATAGATTCATAATCCTATGTTACATACAAACATAGAAAAACAGATAGTTGGATTAAAGATAATGTACCTACTACTCAGCCATCTTGGTTGCTATAGTCAACATGAAACCTAAAATGTCTATGTCCATGTTCCCTTACAAAGTCACTTTACTGTACTTTGGGAAGGACACTGTTGGCTTATTCAAGTACTTCAATAATTAAATGTCCTCTCTTCCACCATTTCTTGTCCAGTATATATTTATCCAAAACATGTTCAATAATTCCGTTTCTCCTTGTAGCTCTGGTTGTTTGTATAATTTATTAATGTGGCTGGTGGCTGCCTATGGCTGGCAGGATGGGAGGCTGTAGGGTGAATGGCATCGCAATGCAGAGAGAACAGACTGCAGTGCAGTAGCCTTACGATTAGCCACAGAAAGATGACAAAAAGCTTGGCCTGCAGCATTCCACAGGCAGGTAGTCCTTCTGAAATGCCTCTAGTAGCCAAGGGATGCCCTAAAACATTTATGCTCACTGCTGAGGCAATGCAGTCTGCCTAAACTGACTGTGCCGACAGCATCCGACAAGCGTAAAAGAGGGTAAAATGTACCTGGATGTCCCTGTAGGACAGAAGCAGGTTGATGACAATGTCAGCTGAAAGGCACTCTACGTTGTCCAATCGTCGTTGAATTCGGCTGAGTTCTGAGGCCAGCTCCGACCCCGTGAACAACTCCCGTGCTTTCCGGAGCTCGTTGAGAATGGTTTCTCTGAAGTATTGGCTACGAAGGGGAAACAGAGAGACTCATAAATATGTTATTTCACACTAGAAATCAACATGAAATCAACCTTTTCTGCAAAGAACCCATTGTTATGTCTTAGTATGACTTTCTGGGGAAATGGGTATGGGGAATTGAGTTTTGAACATGGGGATACAACCATTGATAATTTAACATAATTTATCTATTCTTCTCAGGCAACCTCTCATATACAGTGTCTTTGATCTTGTCTTGCCTGACCCCGTCATAAATAGTCTACCCTCTTAAACATGTGCCCTTGTGACAGCTGAATGTGGAGCTCATGAATGTGTTCCCTGGTAAGCCCCTTCAATGTCTTCTTCACTGCACTGTTGGAGCGGCACATTTCCAAGAGACAAAACATTCATCCAAAGTGCAAATTCTCTCAGCTCTCTAAAGTATGACTCACTATTCCTGGAAGACATGTTGTGATGCTGAATATTGGCAGAGAGAAAAGCCTAAAACATTAGGACAGAACAAAGCTAAGCTAACATTAAAACGGAGATTGCTATGCAAGCCAACATGTTGCACAGGGACACATCAAATAAAGTAATGCACCATGTAAAAAATATAAAACGAGTGAGTTGTATAATACAATGTCCTCTGAGGAATACTCATGAAGTGCAATATCTGATGAAAAGGGCTATCGCACTTCATCAGCCAGTCATCCATTTTGCATAATCAACCACAGAAAATTACACAAGACAACACAAAAACCAGTACACGCTAGGTCAATTTAATACACCTCTTTTGGCAATAATAGCTCTGTAATAATCACTTCGTTGTGCGTGTTCACACCTCATTCCCATGTACAGTACCACACCTACCTCCCTAGCGAGGTGACACCTGTTTCACTACAGCTAGGTGAGAGAAGAAACATGTGACTTCTACAAATCATGTCAGGCTGAAAGTGGACCTCTGGGCTAGTCTTAGGCCCAGCGTCTAACCGACAAACTCCCAAGCCACAATCTACCCCAAACCTATACTATTCACCAGGTGTTGGACCTATGGGCTAGCTGGCCCAGCACCTAACCCAAAACACTTCTCTGCTACTCACCAGGAGTTGGCCTTTGGCACCTTGAGCAGCTGGACGAAGCGGTCCAGCAGGGGCATGCAGATGGGCCCCAGCAGCATCTCGAAGCTGGGCTGCATCAGCTCTGTCAGGCCCTTCATCAGGCTGCTCTCGCAGCAGTACACCTTGTTGTGGGGCGTCACCATGTATGGGATGAAGCTGTAGTTGGCTGAGCATGTCTGGGGGGGAAAGCAGAAACAACATGATGTGTTGTGGTGCATGTAGAGGTGGTTAGATGTGTTAGAGTCAGACATGGGTCAAATAGCTAAATATCACAAATACTTGGTTTAGTTTGCTCAGTTGAGTCTACCCCAACATGAAGCCCGGAGAAATTGAGAACTGCAACAGATCATCACCTTACATGCCCTGTTGACTGCATGTGCAGGTCCAGAATGATTGGCATCCTTGATAAAGATTAGCAAAAAATACTATAAAATAAATAATACAACTAGTGAGCAAAATAAAACGTATATGCAAAAAAAAAAAGTTTTTATATAATTTTATACTAATACAATAGCTCAGATAAAGTAACAAGTCATATTTATTTTCTCAAAACGATATGTGTCAAAATGATTGGCACCCCTGTTTTCAATACCTCCCCTTGCGAGGATAATGGCACTGAGTATATTCCTAAAATGTTTTATGAAATTGGAGAACACATTTTGAGAGATCTTAGACCGTTACTCCATAAAGAATCTTTCCATATCCTTGATATCCTTTGTCCGGAGACTAGGACCCAGGACCAGTGGAAGCAAAATAGTCCCATAACATCAAAGATCCACCACCATATTTGACAGTAAGTATGGTGTTATTTTCTGCTTATGCATACTTATTTCGATACCAAACCCACCACTGGTGTACATGGCCAAAGAGCTGTATTTTCAATTTGACCAAAGAACTGGTTCAAATCCAAGTGCCAATGCCATTTAGCAAACTCCAGGCGTTTACATTTGCAGGATGACATGAAAATAGAGGTCTTTGGCCACGCACACCAGTGTTGGGTTTGGCATTGAAATAAGGATGCATAAGCAGAAAAGAACCCCATACCTATTGTAAAATATGATGGTGGATCTTTGATGTTATGGGGGCTATTTTGCTTCCACTGGTCCTGGGGCCCTTGTTAAGGTCATCATCAACTTTACCCAGTACCAGGACATTTTAGCCAAACACCTGGTTGCCTCTGCCAGGAGGCTGAAACTGGGCCGCAAGTGGGTCTTCCAGCAAGACAATAACCCCAACCACACATCAAAATCCACAAGGTAATGTTTAATATAACACAAAATCTACATTTTACAATGGCAATCTCAGTGTCCGGACTTAAACCCCATTGAAAACCTGTAGTTTGAATTGAAGAGGGCAGTCAATAACCGCAGACAAAGGGTATCAAGGATCTGGAAAGATTATGTATGAAGGAATGGTCTAAGATCCCTTCCAATGTGTTCTCCAATCTCATAAAACATTTGAGAAAAAGGCTCAGTGCCGTTACCCTCGCAAGTGGAGGTATTGAAAGGTATTGAAAACAGGGGTGCCAATAATTTATTTTTTGAGAAAATACCTTTTTATTTGTAATCAAAATCGCTTTCTCTGAGAAATTGTATTAGTATAAAAAATGTAGCATACAATATAGCTCAGTACTCGTATTATTTATTTTATACAATCTTTTTATTCATCTTTATCAAGGGTGCCAATAATTCTGGACCTGACTGTACAATGAGAGGACAGCGGTATGGGCCTTTTTCGTGCTAGTAATTTACCACTTGTGACAGAAGGAAGATAATCTGATCTGCAGAGACAATGGTGATGTTGTACCCATGGAGAATTGGACATAATGAGTCTGTCTAAAGAGCCAGTGGCCTGAGGGACAGATCCACATCAGTAATTACAAGTGACATTAGGATCTGTTTAACTGAACTGCTCACACTGCCCTCAGGGCAGAGCTGCCCTTAAAACTCCCATTCATGTTGCTCATGGAAATTAATTCAAACCAGGTCTGTCTTACTACTCTTGTCCAGCTGTATTTGCATGTGGTGTAGAGCGTACCAGTAAAACTATCATTGTTATTCACAGTATACTCAACACTCAGCACTAGAAAAGTTGATGGATCCTGACCAAATTATACTTGAACATGTAGGCTACAGTGAAAAAAAGGGATTATGCTGATCCACATCTGTTGTGCTGCCCAGATGCATCCTGAGTCTGCACAGTCAGTGGATATTTTAATCTCTCTGGTTCACTTCCATCTTCAAGAACACACCCGGGATGCTTGCTACTCACACTTGCAACAAAAGGAAGTGAACAGAGGCTAAATTTCTGCCTTTAGAAATTGGAATGATCCACAGTAAAACTGCTTCCTCTTCTGCAATCATATCTTTTAAATGACATCACTAGTCATGCCATAACTTTCCAAAATAACCTGTGGCGGCTTGTCATGGCTACGTGCAGCCACAGATTACAACATCCTTCCTGTCCTATATTGAGCCACACACACTGTGTGATTCATGGCCCGGCTGATCACATGACGACAACACATCATAATAAATGTTTTAGTCGCTAGGAGCCATCCTTCTCCCCGGCAACCCCAGCTGCACCTGTCTCTTAGTCTCATTAGATTGTTGTTTGTGACAGTATTAGGTAATGGTATGTGGCACGCAGGTGGTTTACCCAATACATTACTGGGAGTTTATACATAGAGTGTGCGACTCGCTTTGTTTTTATAGCTTACAGTTTATTCACCGTTAGTCAGCACCTCTACACTAAATCATTTTCTCTGGGTGTGCGCCAGCTCATGGTTTTTATTTAGGTGGCACGCAGGTCCCAAAATCAATACCTTTAAGAAGCAGAAAGGGACCGAAAACTGGGGGTGTGTCCCAAATCACGTCCTATTCCCTACATAGTGCACTACTTTTGACCAGGGCCCATAGTTCTCTGGACAAAAGTATTGCACTATGTAGGGAATAGGAGGTGATTTGGGACACAGCCCCAGTTTTCGGTCCCTTATAGGGAATACACACAGTGCCATTTGGGACGTAGCCAGGGTATTTGCACGTTACAGTAAATAAGGAGTTAAATATCAGTCAGGCAGCATAGGATTAACCCCATTCATGAAGGGGGAGGGTTAGACGGGAATAAGTAGTGTGTGTGAGTAATGACTTGACATTAATCATTAGCCCTAATACCTGTATGACCGCCCGGGTGGCTGCAGCCATAAAACAATCCAGGAAGTTTTCCTGATTAGTGGTGTACCATGTGATACAACCCCTTGGTCAGTACCACTAATGTGTCATATCCTTCTGGGGCGTGGTGTGTTTGTTCTCTCAGAGCAGAGAGAAGGGAAGTGATGTGTAGATACAACTAGAGAAAGACAGTCAGTCACAGATGGCAGTAGTGCACTCTCACTCTAATGCAGTAATCAAGCTCTGTCGCCACACACAGATCAGCCATCAACCTGCTTCCTGGAGCACCAAGCCACCTTATTCCACTCCGTGAAGTCATTTACGCCAGCTAAGCCTGAGGAGGGTAACCCTGCCGGTCCAATTAGCCCTACAGGCAGCACCAGCCCTGCAGGCGGCACCAGCCCTACAGGTAGCACCAGCTCTGAAGGCAGCCCATAGCTGCTCAGGAGGCCCCCTGTCCATGCCCTTGCCTCAACCTCACAGCTTTTTCCCCTTCATGCCACAGTACATCAATGTCACCATATCATATTATTCTGTATAAGAAAGCCAGCCAGCCAGACAGACACAGACGGTGTGGTGCCTCCTTGTCTGACCTGGCTATCACTAGGCAGAAGGAGTGGCAGACACTGTGTTGCAGACGGCAGGGAGGCAGGAAAACGGAAATGAGAGTGAACTCATTCTCTCGTTTTCTCTATGCTTTCCACAGCACCCAAGTCACCCTGGTAATAAGGCTGCCTGTCAACCAAGTACAGCTATTCTGGAAAACTCTCTGAGTAAGGGAAAATGCTTTAGTTTAATGTACACGCAGCAGAATGCACAAAGACAAACTAGAGGGATATTGAGCTGGGTAATGAAAAGTGTTTGATAATAGCAGCGATGGCTGTGTTGTTGAATGTTGGCGTGAGTAAAAATCTGTTAACTGCATTTACTTTCACACAGGAAAGGTAAAAGAAAGAAGAGACAAGAGAGGTGTGCTATTAACAACTTAGAACTAGAGAGACACAGTGTTTAGTTTGTGTACTTACAGTGTTCTTCTGGCAAACAATCTCCTGCAAGAGAAAAAGAGAAATGTCAATACTGCATTGTGGTGAGTAAGTGAGTTCGCAGGGCTGATGTAGAAAATCACAAACATTACATTGGTCACAGTTCACTAGAGCCATCCTTAAGTCAAGCTATAATTGGACTCCTGCAGTTGCAAACAAAACCAGTAGAAATGCGGATACATTAGCACTAGCACTTCATTTTGCAGTGCCATTGTGTGTAGGCTAAGGGCCAGCAAACAACCATGGACATTTTAGACATGGTAAAAGGCACTTTAAAAAGAGGTTGAACCTCAGCACTTGTACACAATGGAGTATCTTTAATGCAGGTTCCTATGCTATTCTAAACAATCTATAACGGTTAACACAGCAGCCATTGTTACTCTTAACCTTCAGTTTGAAGACTGCAGGCTGATAGTGATATGTTAAAACCACTACAGAAAGTCCTATTTTTATTACTGCAGGGTGTATGTACGTGGGTGGAGATGGAGGATATAGTTTATCAAGATTACAGGCAGAATATTTATGTTAGGGTACACTTTGTAAAATATTACTTATTCTTTGAGGAATTTACGACAATTTCAAAAGATTGCAATGCTTTTTTATGTCAATGACAGTGTCAGAGCAGAGCATAGCAGGTTACAGGAGTGTGTGGGGTGTCTTGGTTTCTGCATTTATACCCACAGGAAACCATAATCTCCCCATTCTCTTACTTGCATGCCTGTGTGTTGTTGTTGGTGGTCATTGATAGGGGATTCCCATGTGGCTGCAAGGCTCTCTCACTTTTCAAACCAGTTTAGGCTAATGTTAACTCGACTATGCATCCATCGCCTGACAGACTCAGGGCCGAAGGTTAAAGGTCCATTGCAGCCGTAAAAAAACAAAAAACGCAATATCAAATAATTTCTGGGTAACAACTATGTACCTTACAGTGATTGTTTTCAATTAAAATGATCAAAAACTAACAAATTGCTTCTTAGTTAAGAGCAATTTTTAAAGCAAGAATTTTGCTAGGACTGTCTGGGAGTGGTCTGACTGGGGAGGGGAAAACTGAAAATTAGCTGTTATTGGCAGAGAGGTTTTAGCTAAATGAAATTTCAGGCGGTCTTTTCAAACAGCTATTACACTTAAAGGGCATTATCATAATTTTCACAATTTCACAGTATTATTCCAACCTCGTGTGGAAATATATACACTGAACAAAAATATAAACGCAACACTTTCAAAGATTTTCCTGAGTTACAGTTCATATAAGGAAATCAGTCAATGTGTACAGATCCTTGTAACATGAGGACATGCATTATCATGCTGAAACATCAGGTGATGGCTCCGGATGAATGGCACAACAATGGGCCGCAGGATCTCGTCACGGTATCTCTATGCATTCAAATTGCCATCGCTATACAATTGTGTTCGTTGTCCGTAGCTTATGCCTGCCCATACCAGAACCCCACTGCCACCATGGGGCACTCTGTTCACAACGTTGTCATCAGCAAACCGCTTGCACACACAACGCCATACACGCTGTCTGCCATCTGCCCGGTACAGTTGAAACCGGGATTAATCTGTGAAGAGCACACTTCTCCAGCGTGCCAGTGGCCACTGAAGGTGAGCATTTGCCCACTGAAGTTGTTTAGAGTGGCCTTTTATTGTCCCCAGCACAAGGTGCACCTGTGTAATGATTGTGTGTATGGAACATTTCTATTATCTTTTATTTCAGCTCATGAAACATGGGACCAACACTTTACATGTTGCATTTATATTTTTGTTCAGTATAGATATTACACAGGAAAATCACATTTTTGAGTACACTGGGCCTTTAATTGCCAGGATATGAGTCAGTTGGTCATAAACACATTTCCCTGTCATCAACGTTCTCTTTTACAAGACTAGAGGGCTAAACAGAGGTAAAGGGGTGCAATATTAAACCAAATTGTGTGTGTTGATTTTTTTCTTCAGTCAAATGCTATTTTTACATAGCCCTAATATCTTATGAAACACACCATACCCTGTCTAGGTGCTAATGCATCTCCTACCAACAAATCACTAATGTGTTTACCTGTCACTACAACACAACAGCAATTACAGCTATTACATGTTCCCCACACACTCATATTCTAAATATAGACTGTGACCTTGTGCACTTAAAGGCTTAAAAAGTACACAGAGAATAAAAAACTACATTTGTGCAAAATGAGCAAGATAAAACAACAAAACGGTTTGGCAATTCAAAGGTTCTAAAACAGGGGTGTCAAACTCGTTTTAGCTCAGGGGCCACATGGAGGAAAATCTATTCCCAAGTGGGCCGGACCGGAAAAATCATGGTATATATAACTTAAAAACAACAACTTCAGATTGTTTTCTTTGTTTTAATACGATCAACATACAACATAAAGCTGGAGCCTGAGGACAGTGTGTCCAAAATAGTACAAGCACAACATCACTATTAATCATAAAACACGTCAAGTTTATTTGAAAATTCTAAAGAAAAAGAACACACAAACACACAATGCCTCAGTGATTAACAGAACTGTTTCACAGATCACAGAACTATATCAGGGTGTCATTTCTCAGGCAGAAATGTAGATAAAAATAATGAAATCCTGTTCCCAAAACAAGTGCAAGAACCACAGAGTCAATAATAGGTTAAATATACAAATAAAATAAAATCAATTAAAAACAATAGCACATCAACATAAAAACATATAAACATAAAGCTGGAGCCTGAGGACAGTGTCCAAAAGCACAACATCACTATTAATCATAAAACACCTCAAGTTATTTGAAAGTTCTGAGGACAAAGAACACACAAACACACAATGCCTCAGTGATTCACAGAAGTATATCACAGATCACAGAACTATATCAGGGTGTCATTTCTCAGGCAGAAATGTAGATAAAAATAATGAAATCCTGTTCCCCAAACAAGTGCAAGAACCACAGAGTCAAGAATAGGTTAAATATACAAATAAAATAAAAACAATTAAAAACAATAGCACATCAACATAAAAACATATACATAAATCTGAAAGCGTTGCTCAAACTCCCGTAACAGTCCCGTTATTTTATCTTTGAACCGCTTCATGTCTGCCACATGTTGGGTCGCACACACATTTTTCAGACAGGGGAAGTGAGCTGCATCACCACCGGCAAGTTGCGTCTCCCACAATGACAGCTTCAACTTGAAAGAACGTATGCTGTCATAATACCGCGTGACAACTTTGTTGCGCCCTTGCAGCTGTTTGTTCAAGTTATTCAGGTGCTCTGTAACATCCACCATAAATGCAAGGTCCGGCATCCATTCTGCGGAATGAAATTCTAACCCTGGTTTGCCCTTTTCTTCCATGAACTGTTCAATTTCTTCTCGTAAATCAAAGAAATGCCTCAGCACAGCACCTCGGCTTAACCATCTTACCTCAGTGTGGTATGGCAGGCCATAGATGTGGTCTTTCTCTCTGAGAAGGCTGTCAAACTGACGGTGATTCAGGCTTCTGGATCGGATGAAATTAACAGTTTGGATGACCACCTTCATGACGTTATCCATCTTTAATGACTTGCAACACAAAGCCTCCTGGTGCAATATACAGTGAAAAGTCAAAAAATCACGTCCTCCATTTGCAGATTGCACTTTCTCTCTGAACTTTGTCACAACGCCTGCTTTTTTCCCGATCATTTAGGGCGCACCATCTGTAGCCAGGCTGACAGCGCGGGACCAGTCCACTCCGACCCTGTCCAGCGCGCCGACGAGTGCAGTAAAAATATCAGCTGCTGTCGTTGTATCTGTCATCGGCACCAACTCCACGAACTCCTCGGTGACGGTCAATGTGTCATCAACTCCGCGGATGAAAAAATGGCCAGTTGTGCAACATCTGTAATGTCCGTGCTTTCATCAATTGCAACCGAAAACGCAATAAATGACTTTACTTTTTGCTTCAACTGGCTGTCCAAATCCACTGAAAGATCGGAAATCCTGTCTGCAACTGTGTTTCTTGTCAGGCTGATATTTGCAAAAGCCTGCCGCTTTTCAGGGCACACAATCTCCGCTGCCTTCATCATGCATGTTTTTACAAATTCACCCTCACTAAATGGTTTTGAAGCAACTGCGATTTCATTAGCAATGAGGTAGCTAGCTTTCACTGCAGCGTCACTGATGTCTCGGCTGTGAGTAAACACAGACTGCTGTTTCTTCAGACCCGCCAACAGTTCATTCACCTTCTCTCATCTCCGCTGTCCTTGAAAGTTGTCATATTTGTCGGCATGAAGACTCACATAGTGGCGACGAAGGTTATATTCTTTCAGCACTGCAACATGCTCTGAACACACCAAACATACAGCTTTCCCATTCAATTCCGTGATTAAATAGGATTACCATTTTTCTTGGAACACTCTGCGTCCACTTTTCTCTTTTTTGACAGAGACATATTGGGGCAATGAGGGTGCCAAAGCACATAATGTTAAAAGTAGAAGCCGTAATAAATATCGCGGGCAAAACAAAGTAGCTCATTGGCTGCACGTGCTTGACCTACTTGCTCTGCCCCGGTATAAACAGTTTGCTTGCTTAACACAATTGCTATTGCCATCCAGTGGACGCAATTGGAACAGCAGTTTAAAATCAACCTCTCAGACATGACTCCCTCTAAATAAATAACTTCATATACATTTAAAAGAGTCCAATGTCTAGTGAAGGAGCATTTCCTTTACATATACCGTAGTCCCCTGTAGCTCAGTTGGTAGAGCATGGCGCTTGCAACGCCAGGGTTGTGGGTTCGTTTCCCACGGGGGGCCAGTATGAAAAATGTATGCACTCACTAACTGTAAGTCGCTCTGGATAAGAGCGTCTGCTAAATGACTAAAATGTAAAAAATGTCATTAACCTGATGAGCCTTATTACATTAAATATATTGTGGGAACATTAATGATTAATGTGTGGACAAAGTGATGAGAAAATAACAGGCTGCAGATATGTTTATGTCAGGCATGTGTGTGTGCGCGCAAGCATGCCCACACCGCTTACCTGTAGGGACTGTAGCGAGTCGGAGTTGGTGTCACAGTACAGGATGATGTTGTTGGCCATGCTGAAGCTTTCCCTCACACCCAGGTGGTAGAACAGGGAGGGCTGGCGGAAAGCATCCGTCATCTCCACCACAGCTATGTCTGGGAGGGACAGAGATGGCCTGTTAGTAGGCTTAAAGGCCCAATGTAGTCGTTTTTATCTCAATATCAAATCATTTCTGGGTAACAATGAAGTACCTTACTGTGACTGTTTTCAATTAAATGGTCAAACAAAAATTGCTTCTTAGCAAAGAGCAATTTCTCAAGCAAGAATTTAGCTAGGACTGTCTAGGAGTGGTCTGAGTGGGGAGGGGAAAACTGAAAACTAGCTGTTATTGGCAGAGAGGTTTGGAACTCTTTCTTATTAGTCTATTAACTAATGTACCACCTGGTGATGTCACCAGACAGGCCAAAACTCCATCCCACCAAAACAGGCTGAAATTTCAGGCGGTCTTTTCAAACAGCTCTTACACTAAAAGGGCATTATCATCCTTTTCACAATTTCACAGTATTATTCCAACCTCATAGTTTGGAAATATATATAAAAACAGAGGGAAAATCACATTTTTGACTGCACTGGTCCTTTAACACTGAACAACTGTACCTAGGCCTGTAGTATAACATATTTTAAGTCTAGTTTACCACAGTTTGTTTAGGTTTCATATAAAATCATATTGATGAGACGATAATGGCCTGTACAATTATTTTGGACTTCATTTTCCCAAATGGTCCTTCTTAGACCAGACTGTGAGACATCACTAAATCTTCCAAAAGAAAAGGCCAAAATAACATTGTCTGGTAGTAAGCCTGGGGTGGGGTTCTTCCAGAAGTCCCTCTGGTAGCTCCCACTGACTGATAACTGCACAAACAAAACTGAGCTAGAACAGTGCTGCAGCGTTTTGTAATGACAGAGCTCTCCAGAGAGATAACATTTAACAGACCCACCCCACCTTTTCATGTGCTTCCAAGTTTCCCCTTCCATGTCAACATACACATGACATATAGCTTAGCATAGAGCTTTTCATCCCTTCCAATGGAGCTCCCTTTCACTGTAATACCTGGGTTCCAGTCCACTACAAACCCAACACTAGTCTCACTTACTAAGAACCAAACATCCACACAGACAGCCAATGCCACAGGGATAATCAAAGCAAACAGGCAATCTATTTTAATGTGCATTCTGGTGTGTGTGCTGCCGTATAGTGATTCAAAAACAAGGTCCCAGTGGAGACAGCCTGTCTTGTTTTAGCTAAATGTTAATTATCATAGGGCCAGTCCCCCCAGGCAAGAGCACAGAGCAGTCCCTCCCACTCAGCAAGGACATATAAATGCCACCAGGAAGTGGTTTCTTCTTACTGCGTCTTAAAGGCTCTGTTCTGGCCCCGGGAGATCACGTTGTTGTCACACACTTTCATAACAATCTAAGAGGAAGTGATGTACAGTACCAGTCAAAAGTTTGCACACACCTACTTATTCCAGGGTGTTTCTTTATTTTTACTATTTTCTACATTGTAGAATAATAGTGAAGACATCAAAACTATGAAATAACACATATGGTATCATGTAGTAACCAAAAAAGTGTTAAACAAATCAAAATATACTTTACATTTTAGATTCTTCAAAGTAGCCACCCTTTGCCTTGATGACAGCTTTGCACACTCTTGGCATTCTCTCAACCAGCTTCATGAGGTAGTCACCTGCAATGCTTTTCCAACAGTCTTGAAGGAGTTCCCACATATGCTGAGCACTTGTTGGCTGCTTTTCCTTCACTTTGCGGTCCAACTCATCCCAAACCATCTCAATTGGGTTAAGGTCGGGTGATTGTGGAGTCCAGGTCATCTGATGCAGCACTACATCACTTTCCTTCTTGGTTCAAATAGCCCTTACACAGCCTGGAGGTGTGTTTTGGGTCATTGTCCTGTTGAAAAACAAATGATAGTCCCACTAAGCGCAAATCAGATGGGATGGCGTATCGCTGCAGAATGCTGTGGTAGCCATGGTGGTTAAATCTGCCATGAATTCTAAATAAATCACAGACAGTGTCGCCAGCAAAGCACCCCAACACCTTTAGTAGTGGTTTCTTTGCAGCAATTTGACCATGAATGCCTGATTCACACAGTCTCCTCTGAACAGTTGATGTGTCTGTTATTTGAACTCTGTGAAGAATTTATTGTGGGCTGCAATCTGAGGTGCAGTTAATTGCCGATTTCTGAGGATGGTAACTCTAATGAACTTATCCTCTGCAGCAAAGGTAACTCTGGGTCTTCCTTTCCTGTGGCGGTCCTCATGAGAGCCAGTTTCATCATAGCGTTTGATGGTTTTTGCGACTGCACTTGAAGAAACTTTCAAAGTTCTTGAAATGTTCTGTATTGACTGACCTTCATGTCTTAAAGTAATGATGGACTGTCATTTCTCTTTGCTAATTTGAGCTGTTCTTTCCATAATATGGACTTGGTCTTTTACCAAATAGGTCTATCTTCTGTATACCAACCCTACCTTGTCACAACACAACTGATTGGCTCAAACGCATTAAGAAGGAACGAAATTCCACAAATTAACTTTTAACAAGGCACACCTGTTAATTGAAATGCATTCCAGGTGACTACCTCATGAAGCTGGTTGAGAGAATGCCAAGAGTGTGCAAAGCTGTCATCAAGGCAAAGGGTGGCTACTTTGAAGAATCTCAAATATAAAATATATTTTGATTTGTTTAACACTTTTTTTTTTATTTCATAGTTTTGATGTCTTCACTATTATTCTACAATGTAGAAAATAGTAAAAATAAAGAAAAACCCGGGAATAAGTAGGTGTGTCCAAACTTTTGACTGGTACTGTACACGTGTGTAGGCCTACAGTAATTCAGTATTGTCTCCCAACAGGTGGAGCTACTTGACGTTGAGGGAAACCTAGATATGAACCCTCTACACAGACCGGTGCGACATAACCAATCAGAGCTGCAGTAGGCCTATATGCAAATAGACCATTGCCATATATGGATCTGTGCCATTTACTTTGAACTGGACTGTGTTTACAGCTGTGGTCATGAGTAGATGCGCTTGTTTTGAGATCAAAGCAAAGCAATAGCCACGTGTATATTTTGTTCATACCCTTTGCTAGTTAGTGAGTGATTAGCCCAGTTATAGATCATTTGAAGTCAGCAATAGGGGAGTGATTGCTTCCTACAAGAGCACAACACGTGTACATTTCTAGACATCTTTGAAAAGACAGTCAGGTAAAGAGCTTTTTTTTGTCTTAAAGGGGCAGTGTTGTATTTTGAGACAGGCTTGAATAAGCTAAGTAGCCAATAGGCAGTGGGTAGCATAATTTGTCTGATTATCTGTAATAATGGTATGGGAATAATAATGCTTTTTATTTTGCAAAGTGGTTTCTTGCATCAAACAACACAACAACATTTTCCGTCACCTCCTTGTCTGAAGGACAAGTTCATAAACAGGTTAATGTCAAGCCCTGCATGTTTTTTTCAAAAGTCTCATGAAATGTAGGCCTACATTGAACACCACACATTGGCTGCTACTGTAGGCTGAATGATAGAACAGCTATTTCTGTGTTAAAATGTTATGGGATGCATTTTCTCCATAGTTTTTTATGATAGGCCACTCTGGTAGGCCTACATTATGATCAAATAGCCACAGTAGCCTACATGGCCACTGTTAAAACTGTAACTTAAAGCGGGTACAGCCTCAGTGTTCACAGTAAACGCATGCTGGAAGTTGCACAGAATTTTCACAAGGTTCAAGTTTGCGCTCAGCAGACCAGAAATTTGCTCAGTGCCGAAAAAGATTGAGACTGAGTCCCTGATACAGACATACGCAATAGGAAATTTAATAATATATTATGGGACTCATTTATCCGCTAGCAGAGGGGCCCCATCAATATTACATTTGAGAGATATGTTCATGTGAAAAGGCCAGAGAAGTGCAAATGTTTGATACCAGTAGTGTAGCCATCCATCTGCACAGAAGTTATAGGTGTCTTTGGAGTACTATGAGGAAATGGGTGGGGAACATACAGCGCTATCCTTGGAAACTTCTGCTTTGTATAGGATTAGGTATGAGCCAGGGAAAATATTAGCGTACATAGGGCAGGGCTTCTTTGAATGATGATTTAGGAAAATATAGACATATGGAAAATGTGGTAGACACAGAGAATGAGAGTCTTGTAGTAGAGAGTAAGAGGAGACATGAGTGGCCTCTTTGACTAAAGAGCTCCTCAGTTCCAACACTGAGATGTCTGGTGAGGCATGATACAGTACTGAACACGTGACTCCATTATGCACAGTTGTACTGGCACTGTGTGTTTTAAAAGTACTGTTTTAAGAGTGCTGGGATAAGATAGTAAATATTGATTTGAGTTTAGTGAATAGATGTAGCATTAATGGGTTGGTTATAAGTGTTAGTGGTGATAAACTAGCCAATTATCACAAGCCAACTCTCCAAACATGAATAGCTGGTGATAAACAACTCTGCACACAAAAGCGATGTGGGCCATGTACGTAAGTCCTTGTATCTGAATCCTCAAAACAAGGTTGGAAGTAGAAAACCTGAGTGCCTCAACTGTGACACATGAGATGTCATAATCTGCCCCCCCCCCCCCTCCCCCCCTTTGCTGGCACTGCCCATTTCTCACATCTCCCCCACTGCTTATCTTTTCCAAAGAACAGAACAGTGAACAACAAAACAGAAGGAGGAAATGAGGCTCTGGGAATAGTGGAGGAACAATGTGTGAGTTCTTGGTGCCCTTGCCTTTTACTGAGTACTATTCTCTGACGTCTATCCATTTACTGACAGAAATGATCACTTTTCATTTCACTTCTCAGAACAACGCACAGACACAACAATGGGGTGAGAACAGACTGCAGCTCTTATTCATACGCTGTGTCCTTAACTGTTCTTTGAACTTGATGGCTACTGCTGCAGTCGTGACTCTCGGTAAAAATCTTTTTCTTTTTTTTTAACCTTTAAGAACAAATTCTTATTTACAATGACGGCCTACCGTCATATACTTGAGACTGAGACTGATGCTCCTCTTCTTCTTACCAAGCAC